AACACTTAGATCCAATCGTATCTAGTTAACGAGTTCTAAATCGAATAAAACACATTTTTTTTACACTTTACTGCAAGCTAACATTTATTTATTCTGTAAAATTATGTAATATGATAGTAAAACACTTCAAAATGCACATTTACCAACTAAGGACTAATTCATTTTCAGTTTTGAATATATATATATATATATATATATATATATATATATATATATTAATGACGAGATAAATTCAAATCCATACTTACTAATCATCAGTACATTGTTTGGAAATTTTTGTCTGTTTCAGACAACAGTTGTAACAATTTACTATTGTTATTTTATTCACTTAGCTAATTAGAAATTTGAATCCAAACTCTATGAATGACTATATTGATAGTACCCATACTGTCTCTTCATTAAGCCAATACATTATAACAAGACAAACATGTTACAGCTCTATTGTCTTTAATCTTTTTAGTGGATCAACGAGCTTCTTTCGTCTTGTTTGTTTGATTTTTTTAAACAACATAATTTAATGATGAAGTCGCTCTTCAGTATATTCAGCTTTGAGATTTGTAATTTTGTATGTAATTACTAGTGAACTACTTGTACTGAAGTAGTTAAATAGAAGTTGACTGATCGAGGTTTGAAATCTGTAGCCGAATGGTTAAAATTTAACTATTTGCTCCATTTAAAATTTGCAAACAGCCATACACTTTACAATGAAATCGTGAATCAATCATTGTTAGACCACCATTAGAAACCTAGAAGCACTAGACAACCACTTCTTCCTTCAGCAGTAAGCATCCACACAAAGCTTAACCTCTAAACCAATGAACCGGCATCTAACAGTGTTAATGTTCAACTTTGAACAATCTAACGATGATTGGTTTACGATTTCAATGTAAAACAAACACCTCCATAACTCTTTCATGAAAATTCATAGAATATGCTCACTATTGACTAACTTGGTGAGGAAATTCTCGGATCTCTAGTGAGACCAGTGAATTTCATCCCTGTCAGGTGTAGGCAGTAACTACCGAAGACAATGGGTGGCGTTGTGCAAAACGTCAGATTGATCAAAGTTAGACATTAACACTGTTGAATGCCGGCTCAGTGGATCAGAGGTTAAGCGTTCATGTGCAACACCGAAGATCATGGGTTCGGTTCTTGCGAGTAGTGGGATTCGTGAATGCGTAACGCTTGATGAATCCCATACCAAGAAGAAGAGGCTCTCCAGTGCTTCTATTTTTCTGATAATGGTCTAACGATGATTGATTCTGTTGGGGACGTTAGATCCACAAAACTCGCTTGATAAATGCCTTATTTTGGATTTCACGTTTGCGAGCATGGGCTAATCAATTGACCTTGAGATTTCAATTCCCACCAGGAAAATCCATGGCTGTGATTGGCTGCTGTATATTAAAGTGTGCTATTTTCGTAACTGTTCCCAAGGACGTTTCTATGATGTATAAATAAACGAGAGTTATGTGCTTGATTGTTTTGTGATTGCTGGGTGTTTGTAGAATACACTTTCTAAGCTTACAAAGCCTTCCATCTTCAGCTTGGGATTCAAGGTAGCCTACCTGGACGCTGGTAATTGTCTCGTTCGCGTTTATCGACTAAGGTGAACTCGTTATAGCTTCAAGCGTACCAAGTGACTAACGTAATAGATTCACATTTTCGTTATAAAGTAACAATCTTCATAACTCTATAATAAAAAATCTACATATTTATATTTAAGAAAATAATAATAATGTCAAGAAATTTTTTAAGAAACTCTCATCAAAATTTTAATAAATAATTTCAATAAAAAATAATGTATTTATTAAAACTTGGCAATTGTTTGAATACTAAAATGTCATCAAACTAATGTAAAATATTGATTTGACATTTTTACATCTAATGTTTTCGCTTGTAGATAATCTAATGTAGAGAGAAAAAATTTATATATTTTTATCAGATTGTATCAATGTCTGACTATCAATTTTGACTAAATTTGTAAGTTTAATGAAAATAATTTTTCTAATACAGAATTATACACTTCGTTATAAACCACACTATTCATATGAAAGTCAATAAAGCTACTTCATAAGTGGAAGGCTGCAAACATGCATGATACTGGTTGAAACCTGAAGCACATGATGAAACAGTATTACCACCTAGAAAATTTTAAATCATACATTTTTTGTAAGCAAGAAAATGTTTGACTAAACAGTTAGATCAGTATAAGATGATGTTCTCACTGATGTAAAGATCGGCACAGACAATATAGGATCTAGTAGAAAGGTATCGAAATTGCAATATTTTATATGAATACAGCGTGAGAGAATATTGTCAAGATTAAAAATCACTGATAGTAAGAATTTACCATCCGCTAGAATGAAAAATGAAGCATAACCAATTCGATAGCATGAAAAGACGCTAACGTCCAAGTTCAGAATACAATAGAAAATTATTTTAACTGCATGAATTCAACTCATTTAGAGATACATGTCACCTAACATCTCCAACTATCATTTCTAACTATTACACTGTTTACTACAACAAGAAGGTTCACCTATTTATTAAGACATTCAATAACTTCATTAACTAATGATAATTATTTTGTTTAAATACCTCTTGATTTGCTTTCAACCTACTCCAATGTGAGTCAATACTAATACATATAAGGATAGGCGGTGGCTAACAATGTGTACAATAAATCTTTTATCATCTGTTGGTTTTTATTAATAAATATGAACAGCTTCATAAGGTGATTTCATTAGGAAGTAACATAAATTAGATGGTTTAACTTTTCAACTGAAGATCACAAATACAAATTGTTACTTGGTTCTTTAACATTAGTAAACATCTACTATTTATCATGTTACTGAATAGTTATGTTAAACTAACTTGTTACTTTCAATGACATCATAAATCGATCAATATTAGATTGACATTAGAAATTTGGAAGCACTTGTTATATAGTATATGCAACATTAAAATGATTTACATTTATGTATATAATTTATAATATATTAAATTATTGATATATATATCTGCTATGAAGATAGAAAGAATTTAAACATTTTCAGTTAAATATGTATTTCTAAATTAGAAAACATGACACTTTCCCTGTATTCATGATAAAAAATGATGATAATGAAATCTTTTTTATGATGTATATTAATCAATTTTTTTGTGTCGTGTGTGTTAGTTGTTTCTTTGTATTTTTCTACATACCTACACATTCAATTTGTATTACTTCGTTAAGTTGTTTTTTAGCTTATGATATTTATCAATGAAGTTAGTAGTACTTTGGAAATACTATTGATTACCGAACAGAAATGGCTGACCTTAAACAAATTTTGGTTTTTGCCTTTGTTGCGTATACAAGCTAGTTATTTTTAGTTATTTAAACCAAGTTATAATGTGGTCACATTAAGCTATGTAACTGGATATCATAATACACTTTTTTTGAATCTTTGAAAGTTTAGAATTAGTTCACACATATAGTCCCTATCTTCATTTTTTTTAATTCTCAACTCACTAGTGATTATTTATTCCAGTATGAAGCCTTATCTGTAGAGCTTTATGTTAATAACCTTAAATCAACTGATAATTGAACAAATATTTGATTTCTGACTAGTCAGTAATATTAACCAGTGATGTTTAATTTCAAATCTATATCTACATCTTTTTTAATGATAATCACTCTGTAGACATGTGTTGGAATGCCCGACCACCGACTGATTTGATGAGCAATATTTTGTGGTGTATGTGTAGGCTGGAAGATAGCTAGGTGCGACCAAACCAAAACATGACTCACAGGTACATGAAGTCACTGATTTCTGGACTGAGCCATGTTAGTAGGTGCAGACACTATCTGGTTAGGATCCGCAAGACAACAGTAACCGGTGGTTTGAATGACGTGACTCAAAAACGTTTGAAAAGCGCAGATGCATCCATTCTTTGTGTTCTCTCAAATTCTAACCTTCTGAATTCGTTGTGACCTTTATCTTTCTTTTCTCGATTTTATTTCATTGAATTTTACTCCTTGAATAATAACTTTCCGACTGCTACTTATATGTCTACTACCTCTACCACTATGGGATTTGAATTGACAATTACATCTCTGTGCTATTGTGATATGGTAACTTGGATTGATTTCCGTATGTTTGATGTTCTACGTTGTGACTGACTGACTAAGAATTACTATTGAATAACTTCGAAAGGTAATTTCTGTGAATTTAGTATAAAATCGTGACCGCTGATGTTCAGTTATATCAAGCATAAGATAATGATCACTGGTAACAATAGATCGTGCTCTCAAACTATCACGAATTCATTGAAGTTAGAAATGTAAACTATTCAATGACATCTTACTGATATAAAGCTTAGGCACTCACTGTTAAGCATTGAGGTTCGAGATTCAGTCTCTTACAAGCTCATTTATACTCTCTGCTTAGGAGTCCCATACTTGGATGAATTAAGTAGCAAGTGCTTTCCTGTTTTATAACAGTTTTCAACCTAGAGTCCGTTTTGATATGATACTTAAACTGTAAGAAATTCAGCTACCTAGCTAGTAACAAAAGTTTTTAGTTAAGGATTCATACATATCGAACTCGTTGAGGTTGTCCACAACTATCTCATTATTTAATTATCTTACTGTATCCCATTACAATCATGTTTTCCCATTCATTGTGTAGGCGAGTTCTGTACATCAGAATGTAATTTCATTTAGGATTTCATTTCAAGCTTTAAATTTCATTGTATTTGTGTTTTTTTTATTTAGTAAGTTGAACTGTACTACAGTTTTATGTTCATAGAGGACAGATTCGAATGTTTCTGAATGTTTGAAATGATAAACCTCTGGTGAAAATTACCCTCCTTCTAAATAAATGAGAAAGCAACCAAATGCTCTGAATACAGCTTATGTATTTCAAATTAACTAGGTTTCCAATAATCATTCATACTTGTTAGATTTTTCTGATTAATACAATCATGTACAATTTATATATTTATCGTTTTTATAGAATTGAAGATCCATTAGGAAGTTTGAATTTATTCTCAGTACTTCGTCAACATTTAAAACAGTCTGGTTTACAAATTGAAACACCCAATGAACGTATTCGTTTATTATATGGATCAGAAGAAGGTCTTTATGGTTGGGTATCAGTGAATTATATTTTAGGTAATATTGAAGAAGTAAGTTTTATTTTTCAAACTTAATGATTATTTTTGCCTAATATCATGTTTATTCTTAATTAATTTCTAAACAGAATTATAAAGATTGTTACTCAAAACAAAAAACTGATATTTTTACTACAGACTACACTAATCAATACTTATTTGCCCAACTAATAGCATTATTCAATTACTATAATTTTCTTGTTACACTAAAGAATTCTCAATATCCCAAACGTAAGATTTTCAAATAAATTTAAAATTTCAAATCATATTATGATCTTTCTATCGAATTGTATGATTGTCAAACAGTTTCAGTAAATAATTTAATCTATTTCGTCTGTTTCATAAACACTGACACTGTAATTATCCGAAAGCATATTTTATAAATGTCATCAATAGACAATATCTTCAATTTTCGAGTTTCCTACCAGTTTGACTGTTGCATATAAAATGTATGAATTCCAGTGTGTTCATCTCTGGTTCTGTACTTTTGTCGATATATATATATATATATATATATATATATATATATATATAAACAACATCAGTGTAATTGTCTGAGTGTTGCCGTACTTAGTAATTTAGTAATTTGTAAACTTTCTACAATAGGGTATAAATGTATGTTTATAACTATAATTCTTGAAACACGTAAAAAAATACCACCAACTGTGTAAACAAATTGTTTGGTTTGAAAGCCTAGGAATATATGAATTGTGTATTTGACAGTTTCATTATATTTATCTTAATTTTTTTCCTTGTTTGATTAAATGGTATGTCGAGAGAGAGAGAGTTAGTATGAATTGTAGTTAGTGTAAACTGGAATTAGATTTCAATGACTTGACAAGATATTCGATATTTAAAGGCTTTTTTTTTCTAAATATCATAATGCCTAATTAGTTCATCTGTGGATTTTGGTTCCTAACTGCTCTACCATTTGCAAAACAGTCATGACATTCTAATCATACCAATTTGTTGAAATAATTATGTTCTTCTTACAATGCATACTAAAGACAACTAACTCTATGATCATTGTACTGACGATCATTACTGTATACGCTCAAAACATATTATCATCTATGATTATACATTATGTCTGGATTACATACTTTATGTTCTAAACATATTTTTAGAGAAGAACTCCTCAATTAAAATGTCTTCTTTCGAGTGTATCATGTTTTTTTTCTTAGTGTCACAATACTTTTATATACACTTGATCTCTCCTGTAAACTGGTGTGGATTCGTATAATTGCAGTCATTGTTGTTATTTTTATTGAACTGGGATCATTGAACATTGAATGTACATTTTATACAGAAGACATTAAAAGTTATGCATAATTCTTTGCTTTTATTTCGAGTTGTACACTATCTTTTTTTAAATAGTGTATCAAGTTGCAGAATTATTTTAGATACTTTACTAGTAAGTAATCTTAGTGAATCTAACAATTCTTTAATCGTATTCATATTTAAAGTTACTACCTAAGATTGAACATCATAACAAATAAAACATTGATTACTAATATTGAATTACAAATTGTCTATTTATTATTTATTCTTCATTTATTACACACATGATTAGGGTAAACGAACAAATCCTACCGATACAGTTGGTTCTTTAGATCTTGGTGGAGCTAGTACACAAATTGCATTTGTTCCACAAGAATATTCAACTGTACCGAATGAACAATTAGATTTTTATCCTCTACGATTATATGGCAATGATTTCTTAGTATACAGTCATAGTTTTCTATGCTATGGAAAATCGGAATTTGAAAGACGTTTATGGACTTCAATAGCAGTAAATTTTAAAATTATTTTTTTTTCCAATTAAACATGAATAACTATGCATTAATTGATTTAATATTTATAAAAATTTATCTAATATGTTTTAGAAATTTTATTTATTATGATAATAATGGTTGGCAAGATTTATTGCATACAGTGTTTATGTTCATATATTTATTGCGTGTTCATTTTTCCATAAATGTTATTATAACGATGTTTCACATTTCATGATTTGCAAGAAACTTTCTTTTTACATCTAAATTTACGAAAATAAAAAAAATAGTTATTTCTGTGACCTGTGTAGGTTACCTCGATATTACCATAATGTCACAGGTTTTACATAAATTCGTAGTAGGTAGCTAGCAGTAAGATCTAGGATTTGGGACTCGTCATCTAAATGTACCCTAGAGCCCAATGTTTCTGCTCACACCTACGAATTAGGACAATTCGTTAGTGAATGTCACCATGATTACATTAGATGCTGAGCTTAGAAGATTCAGGTTTCACCATAAGTGTAGTATTTTAAAATCACTAAATCGGTGTACAAATTATTAGAATTTCACAGCTTCATTTATTCATAATTATACAATCACCATCGATCACTATCATTACAAATGTAGCTTGCTAGGGGGTAAGGCTTGGTAACTTATACCTATGTAGATTAATCTCGCACCACATTTTCGCGATATGTCAAAAATTCAAAAAAAATAGTTTATCACTAATCTGCAATTGTTGCCACTTGCTCAATAGAGACGCATTTCCAGGTCATTGAAATCATCCACAAAACTGGATTTCTCTTCAGTTATCCTGTGAGAAAGAATTATCCTTCTACAGGGGGAAGAATCGATCACATATATCACACTTTAAACATTATTTAGCTCAACTGCTCATTGGGGTAACTGAGATCGATTGAGTTGTTGTGATAAGCCTCAGATTAGCTGCATTGAAGGTCATCAAATTGACCCAAAATCAGCCTTTAGAGTTGTGACATGTGATCAAAACCCACACACACTGAAACTACTCGAAGCTATCTTGATTGGTCGGAAAAGTCCAACTTTGTGTTCAAAAACAACTGTATGTTGACCTTTGTTTACCATGGTTCTAGTGAGTGAATGTCATGCTAAATAAGAAATTTTGACCTTATCTTCAAAACTGTATTTACACAAATAACAAGTTGCTTGTATGTGACTGACGAGAAAGCACGAAATGGTATGTGTCTTCTCATATCTCTGTTCAAATTAAATATCAATAAATGATTATTATGGGGTTGTGAAGATTGTTAAGTTACACATTTTTGTAACCATGAATCGATCAATGTTAGACGACCTTTAGCAACCTGGAAGCACTGGACGGCCGTTTCGTCCTGGTATGAGACTCCTCAGCAGTGCGCATCCACGACTCCTGCACCCCGCCGGATTCGAACCCGGGGCCTTCGGCATTGTGCGCGGACGCCCCATCCGTTAGTCCACTGAGCCGGTATCTAACGGCGTTAATGTCTAACTTGATCAAATCCACGGAGTTGAGCAACCTCATACACAGTCTTCAGTAGACACTGCCTACACCCGAACAGGTTGAACATCACTGGTCACGTCTTCCCGATAGAACTCGGAGAAGATTCCTCAGGAAGCTAGTCACTAGTGAGCACAGGTAATTCGCATTACGGGGTTGTGAAGATTGTTAACTTTTTTTTCTTTTTGCAACTACTGATGAGGAGTCCCATACCAGGACGAAACGGCCGTCCAGTGCTTCCAGGTTTCTAATGGTGGTCTAACATTAATCGATTCATGGTTTCAAAAATGAATAAATGATTATATCACTTATTTAATCCGCATAACCATTTCAATGCTATCAGTGAATGTATTTCTAATTCTTAGCATCAATATCTCATCTGAGACCTTAAAGTTACACTTTTCGAGAAAACACTTTGCAAAACAATGAAAATGTTTCTGCTTAGAGGGGAAAGTCTGTTCATTATAACTAAAGATTAGAATATTTCAAACTTGACATATAATTAGGCGATAATGTTAGCCAAGTTCAATTTAATAATGATAAATATGGTAAACATTTGACACTTGTTGAGATAAAAATTATCATTAATTTATACAAGATTCAATTAAATGAACAACTGAACTAGCTTTCCCTTTTAGTTTCAAAAATCACACAACCGTTATATTTAAAATTCGAATTATTCAGCAACTATATATGAATACATAAGAATCGAAGGAAACATGTTTATTCCTCTTCATACTAACTAAATAAATATAATTGTATTTGAGAAATATCTACTTAAGAATCCTATTTTTTCTATTTATAGGCACAATCTGCTTTACAAAATGAAATACCCAATCCATGCTTTCTTCAAGGTTATAAATCGGGTTTGTACAATGCATTAGATTGGTTCTCTGGAAGTTGTTTATCTGGGTCTTATGTAAGGAAAACTTTTTCTGAGGAAATTTTCCGACCTGCTGTAAGTTACATGATTTAGCATTTAGATAGTTTCAGCAAAGTAAATTATTTATGTAATAAATTATGTCTGTTGTCAACTGTTTTATGCCTACGGTGAATTTCAGTTCAAAGTTTATCCAATGTATTCAACCTTAATATAATTGAGCATCCAGAAATAGCCTACGAATATTTAACCATAACTATAGATGATATTTATTTATGTGGTATATGGCTATTAGTTGAATGCCGCGCTTGCCTTTCATTTTGTTTAAAACTCCTTAACTGGAAATAACTGCATGATAGTCTCAAGTCTCAAACATAGTTCTTTTCGCCTTCATAAAACAGATGATATAATTATGAAGAACATTTATTTAAAACCTTTCACTGGAAATGGAAACTAAATTTTTTTTTGTTTTTTTTTTGATTATTTGATAAAAATATCGCGCCGGTGAATTGGATCGTTTAGCTGCCTTTGTTTATCATCTTCTTCCGTCCATCCAACACTATAATAACATATAACTCAGTAGCCTGAATACACTTCAGCTTGTTTGGAGTGCAGAAAATTAAAAAAAATGACCTATGGATTTTATCTATCAAATCCATACCTAATTCCCTGATGTTGAAGGAACATCATCCTACTCGGAATAAAAGATATTCCAAATGTTGTAACTAAAATTTTTGAGCCATTTAAGATTGCTATACATCTACAACTAAAATTAACCTATATTTTGTACATTGAACAGAGCTAATAATTCAAAAAACCGGGGAGAATTGAAGCATAATTCTTTATCATGAACTTGTCGTTCTAGTTATTTAATATGGTTGCATATTTCAACATGTCAATCTATTCGAGTAGATTTGGAAAATCAAATGTTCCCGTAAAAAAACAGATATTTCTGAACATATTTTTGTTACAAAAGTTTGACATTTACTGTAACTAGTAATCAGCAGGCAATTTTTAACATTGACCTTATATGTCACTCAATATTAGAGACGATAAACGATATATTTGATGAGAGATTAAGTCATCAGACCACCTGATCATTATGTTACTGTTAGCGATCTGTGAAAATTGTTGAATCTCATTGTTTACATCATGAAGCGAAATTGGTTAGACAATTAATGAAAACTAGGAAGTAGTGGACAGTTGTTTCGTACTATTATGTGCACATCCATGACCGTGCTGGGACAACTATGACTGATAGGTCTTACGGCAAGCTCTCAAGCTTTAGAACACCAAGTCTAAATCCAAGTTCTATGTTCGACGCGGTTGAGTTTTCGATGCTCACTGATTAGGAGTTTCATACTAAGACTATCATAGCTGTTCAGTAATTCCTGGTTTCTAATGGCTTTTGAAATGAAATCGGTCATTGATATAAACTAATCCGTATGTTTGTTAGTAATGCTTAAAAGTTGTTTTTTTTTGTCTTCAGTCTTAAAAATCAAATTCTGCATTTATCCACAGCATTTTTTGTTCTCCTTCTTGTAGTTACTTCATTCTAATGACAGATTTTACTACTCATTACTTATGTAGTTTTTACTGAAACAATTTTATAAACATTTATTTTTCTTAACGCTTTAGAATATGAATAGTTTTTCATTTAACGGTACCGGAGAACCTACTGAATGTGTCAAGCAAATTGAAAAACATTTTCAAAAGAAATGTAATTTTTCATCATGTTCGTTCAACAATGTTTTTCAACCGACTCCATCTGGGAACTTTTTAGTAAGATATTTTATTTTTAATAATCATAATGATAATAATAATAACAATAGTAATAGGTAATATTCCGGATATCATCAGTGGAACTAAGACCCAAGTTAAATTTTTTTCGGAACCCCTTCATATGTGTACTTATCTTCTTGTCTTGTAATTTCCATTGGGGCTTAACATATGTTATGCTCGTCTCTAGGCATGCTTAAACTATTACGAGTTCACATTAGTCGAATAACGAGAACAAAACAATGAACCAGCGTCCATGTAGGCTACTGTGATCCCTTGACTAGCAAGAATTCTTGATATAGCGTAGAAAGTGTATTCTACAAACACCCAGCCAGCACACTAAAATAACACAGTAACCAATCACAGCCGAGGATTTTTCCTGGTGGGAAATGTGATCTCAAGGTCAAATGATCGGTCCATGAAATAAATCCGAAATAAAGATATTTATCAAGCAAGTTCTGGGGATCTAACATCCCCAACAACATACATACATAAATAAACTATGAATAAAAAGTACAAATCGATTGTGTAATTAGACAAAAAGTAGATATTGAATATTTTAGTGAAGCAGCAGTAATAATAGAGGTTTTCCTAATGTTTTTCTATACGAATATTAACAAGATATTCTTAATAACAAATTTCTTCTCTTCCAGTGAGGATAAGCTTTTTTTTCTCCCCTAGATCTATTTTAGCAAACCATAAATAATTTTACTAAAGATTTCTTGTTTTATTCTCAACAAATTCACTCTTAATTCAATAAAATAATAATATCAAACAACAACTATTTGATGGCATTTATTATATAGATACATAAATATATTAGATGGCTTTGTTATTGTTTGTTAGCAGAAATATTTATTAGTAGTGTTGTTCAATAAATCATCCATAAAATAATTTATGCAAAAGTTGAATTTTTATGCAAAGTAATAAGAAAAAAAACAACAACAGAAACTTATTGTATCGTAATCCTACTTATCAGAGGTAATAATCAGTTGATTATGACATTTTGCTTTCAATATACCACTATTTCCATCCTATGACTGATACAAAATAATGTTCTTTACTAATTCTAAGCAGTCTGTGCTTTTTTGGGATCATTTTCTTTTCTTAAAATAAATAATTACTGGGATACCTGAAGTCAAGCCCCATTATAATTCCCATGAGATGCTAAGTACAAATACAAAAGACCTCTGCTAATGAAGAATTATTGACTGTTTGAAAAAAACACATCGTCATTGTTGTAACTATAAATATATTCTGATGTTCCAACAGGATAACTATGAATTGGACAATACAAATAAGACGTTCAATGCAAGTCTGTTTAATACGAAAAAAGAAATTTTAAAAAACACATTTTTTATAGGATTAGTAATAAAATTTGCATACACTAAAACTGCATTGTACTTAACGTTCATTGATTAATAGTTTACCTGACAAAAATCAATAGACAATACCCTAAAATTAACTGTCTATGACCAGACGATATAACTAACAAGTTCACAACTTTTTAAAATGTGATTACATTTTATAAATAATCAGGGAAAAACATCATTATCGTATGCCACTTGCATTGAAATCAATTAAACCCTTTAGGCAACATATAGTTAACATCCACTTATTAGTAAGTATCCACTTAGCCTGAATAATATGTTGGCTACTTCGAGACTAGTACGCTAAACAGCATGTCTGTAAGAATTTGAAAGGGAGAAAAATGGGATTAAAAGCTACTCAACAATTCAATAACCACTTGAAATAAACTTGCATTTAATAATTCAGTCGTAAACAATAAAAAAGTGAAATTATGTCGATCTGAAATTAAAAGAAGAAATTAATAAGATTTTGTATGCATTACTGGTTGATTGTGAACTGAAATGTTCACTAGTAACACCTCAAACCATGATACAGGTTCGAATCCCTTGAGATACACCAGTCCCTTAAAGACTTTACATGTCACTTATTGACGAGCACTAACTAAACTAGCACGGGGCCTAGATCGAGGATTTCTTTTTTAAATACCAAACATTTATTAAATCATTAAAAAAAATACTCAGTGAATGATAAAAACGAAGCAATAAATAATTCAAGAAATAATATATCCGTCCAGTTGTCATTATTCATCTCATACATAACTTTCAATGCACTCTAATATGCTTGGATATTAAATTTCTGAGCCTGTAAGAATGAAAATTCTATTAGTAGTTTGATATAACTGAAAATATAACGCTTACTAATCGATTAACTCATTAATTTTTGCCAATTCTGCTTTACATGGCATTATAAAACATTAATTTTCAATTGCCTCATATAATTTGTAATGAAAAATTTAGTGTTAGGGTTTGTTAAATTATTGGATGAAATACTCCAGTTTGTTGGTAATACTTAGTGATACAATATGGCCAATTCATGACCAATCACTAGATAAAATCATTGACATGAGCCTTCTATTGAATTAATATTAAAAAGACAAGACAACGTTTTAGTAAAATAGGTTTTTTTCGGATAAAATACACATGTTTAGTTACAGGAATAAACACAATTAAAATCCATTTAACATATGAACAATTGCAGAAAATACATAAACCATAGGTTAGTCACTCTCCAATTAAATTATTGTCTAAATATCACGCTTTGTTCTTGCCCCGTTGTATATTAATAGTTGTAAACTTGAAAATTTGCAATAAACTGCTGAAAACTGATATTTTAACAGTACAGTTGTATTTAATGATTTCTGTTAATTCGTTCATTTTCATACCGTAATAATGATTTCTCACTTCTGTATATCCAATCGGGATTCTTCCGGTTTTATCCCCTTTTTCTGCTTCATAAAAATTTATGTATATTTTTTCTCATGGCCAAGGTCATTCAAAATTCAATCATAACTAATTTATTTGTTTACATTTCAATGTGATTTCATTTATTTAGGATTTATAAATTATTCGTTCATTATTATAGCGAAAAAAAACAACATCAAAATGTTTCATGACTTTTTATAGCTAACATCATAATAATTACATTTTCGTAGGTGATTCAGATTACCAGTAATTTTAGTGTCTGCCTAATTAATTTAACTGTTTCAATCAAACTGTTACTACTATGTAATAATCTGTATTTTCAAAGCAACTAAACATCGTCCCATTTCTAGGTTAATTGATTTGAATGAAATGCATTGAAGGCATATTTTTCAAAACACTTGGATAATCTGAATTATATGAAATGAATTAGTTAGTGTATTCGATGTTAACTATTGTTCAACACCAGTTTCTCTCTTAAACGTCGCTGTCATCTTATCTACTATCACAGATACTGTTATTATATATACTGTTCTGTCATTTTTCTTGATAATTTCATTTGACTATGCTGCTTCGATACCAGAACTTACACCATTGCGTGTATATCTTCAAGGTTCTACTCTTAATACTCTGAAAAGTTGACATTGTACTTTATTATCAACTGTCTCCATTTATGAAACATTGCTTAGAGTACATTTTCATGTATGTGTAGGTTGTTGTGACCTGATGAATACTTTCAGTGGACTGATTATTTACATTTTAAATTATTATTCTTATTATCTGAAAATTGTAAGATAATTGGATGGTTACTTAATGTTTTCTCTCTCTCTCGCACATAGAATACTTACTTATATACGTGGTTTTTAGTTATGCATAACTTTTTTGAAAAATCTTGCTTCAATGATTTAAATAAAGGAAATGACAGAAATAACTGTATACGGTTTCTTTCCAACTAAGTATCACTACAGTTTCAACCTTGAACAAGGATCAATTTCTCTGAGTTCTCTTTTTTATTCGTTAAATTTTTAAGACAATGGATGCCTCTCTCTTCAATCAGTTAAATTATTTTATCATTAAACTGAATAAAGTATATCTTTTGTGTTTACAGTGAATGATATTTGAACTGTGTTCTTACCATTCAAATTATTTTGACCTGTAATTAATTAAACAATAATAAACATTGTAACTTTTCTTTAAAGCACTAATATTATTCATGTCTTTTACATTTTATTTTAGGCGTACTCTGGATTTTCCTATGCGATGCGTTATTTATTTCCCAATAAGAATAAAGGACTTACACTAACAGAAGTCAATGAAGCTGTTATGAATTTTTGCAAAAAACCGTGGAAAGAAGTAAACTTTTATTTTTTTTCTCTGAAATAATCCTGATTGCTTAGTTGTTGATTGTGTTTTGTAGTATAAGTGGTCTTAAATGATGAAATGCAGTTAGAAGGGAGGTTTTTGTTATAATTAATTCTCATCAACTAGGTGTACTTACAGTGTTAGAAGAACTAGGACACACTGGAGAGAATTTGTTCAACACTAAAGAATAAATAAACCAGCTGTTCATTACTACTCAGTGATCAGTCAATATAAATTCTCAATATCATGATTTTTAATAGACTACTAAGTATCATGCATTCAAAAACAATTTTTTCTCATCTTGAAACACCTACCTTGGTAATATTGTGTTATTAGTCAGGATGATAAGTTTCATCAGTGTTTTTTTTCATATTAATTTTCTTTCTCAACCTTACACTCTGTTTGTCTCTAGTTGGCCTTTCATTTTTCATATAGATAAATATTCTTAGCAAGTATATGTATAGACAGACAGACAGATACAACGCAGAACTTCGCACGTACGTACATCAGTTCAGGTCGACATACCGCATCTGCACAGAGACGCAATTGTTAGTTCAAATTCAATGGTGGTAGCGATAATAGAATTATTAGCAGTAATGTAGAAGATTAGGGAGCGAAGATATAATTCGAGAAGTATAATTCAGTGAGATAAATTTAGAAGGAGAAAGATAGAGATGATGAGGAATTCAGGTTAGAATTTGAGAGAGTACAAAGAGAGGATAGACCTGCGCTACTGCAAACGACTTTGAGCCATGTCGTTCAAGGTCGCTAACCATTAGTGACATATGTGACTTATGCACCCCAACTAGGTAGCCCACATCTACCAACATGACTCAGTCTACTTGTCAGTGGTTTCATGTATATCTGCCATGTTTTTGTTTTGGCCTCCCCTAGCTTTCTTCCAACCTACTCCTACATCAAGTATATGTATGATCAGATTGTTCTAATCATTTTCGTCTGGATTTACCAAAGAGACTAATTACTTTGAACTGTTCACTATTTTAGTCTATACCAATTGACTAATAGTCTTACGGAATAACAAAGATTAGAAATTATTTATATATTCCTCAATCCTATTGCATATACAAGGAAACGCAAACCATTACAATTCATATGACGCAAAGTGAGAACACAAAACACTAGTGAGATGAAGATTTACTGACTCTTCAAAAACACATCTCAAAACATATCCCGATATCACATCATCCTTAAACAACAACACAACCATTTATGTACTGAACTTTACACACAAACACACTCTATCATAACATATATGGAGAGAAATACATAGGATCACCACTGGAAAAGAACACTAAATATAACTCACTAGAATTAGTATAGATGATATAATTGTCATACTGAACTAGACTTCCCACTCGTCATGCACAATACAGTTCAGACTGATCTGATACTAGAAAATATTGTTGACCTGAAAATGTTACACTGAAATTTGTGTTAGGCTGATACAAAAAGATTGACCTAAATACTGTCATCTTATCCTGTTATATATATATATATATATATATATATATATATATATATATATATTTGTATATGGAATGACTGCGTAGCGTTGTTAAACTTTGTCACCACAGAACTCAACACCAACCAAGCAACAGAGAGCTGTCATCACCGTAGCATACCACATCAGCACGACGAAACGAAAATCACAAACCGAATAGAAATGATGTATAAACAATTGAAGTTAATGAAGGTTCATAAGCTCACCATCTGATTTTCCATCTTCACCAAGTACTTATTCAATTATTACTAGAAGGCAATATTCTATTTATCTAATATTTTTAGTATTAACTGAATACTTTCCGTTTTGATTAATATGTAGCCACCGATCAAAGTACTACAACAGTAAGACGGTACACTCCGTTTTAACGTTACTCACAATCTCTACTTAGTTTTCATGCCATGTAGAAATCAGTCAACAAAGTATGTTTAAAATCACATTAAAAATGATGTAATCTGTAAGTTGTATTTATTCATATCACAGTTAAAGATGCCAGTACTAAGCTCTTTGATTAGTACAGTTAACCTCCTATAATGATGGGACGTCTACTGGTTCTACTCTCACTTCACATACTTTGATTTAGACAGCTAACTAACCCTTACACGTGAAAACAAGCACAGTGAGAAGTTCAATTTTAAAACTGTATATACTTGTTTAAATATTTTTCCTTGTTTCTTCTTTTGCTAACATTTTTTAGGTGGCTAAAATTACAAAACAATCTGATTATGGATTTACTGCTAAGTATTGCTTTGACGGTCTATATATTATGACTTTATTGAAAATGTATGGTTTTACTACTGACGAGCTATGGAAAACAATTACATTTGATTCAAAAGTAAAATTAATTATAATTTTTTTCATCATAATTTATTGAGCCTTTGATTTTATGCTTAATGAGACTGAATATTAAATCTTCGGTATTATAATTATAAAAAAATTTCATTGTCATTCTGAGCAATACAATCAACGCCTAATTTTAATGTAGTAGTGAGCTTATTAGTTAGTTCATTAGTAGTATTAAAACAGTCGGTTCTGGTGACCTTGATTTTTATTGGTCATCCGCCTAGATTTCGTTATCTTCAGATGTGTGTGTATTCAAGTTGTTTGTTTATTTCAATTGGTCTCTGATCATGTGATTGATTAGCCTTTTCCATAGTCTGACCTTTGCAGATTTTTTTTTTGATTTCACTGCTGCAGATAAATATTTCAAAGTAATTAACTGAGGCGATGATGCGGGTTTAAAAAAGACAATTGTTTTTTATTCGGATGTTACTCTATGGTTGGTTTAAAATCTATTTTGTCAGTAACCAGTTAGGTTTCATTAAAGACTGATAACAGCTCTATAGTCATGGAAAATCAAGTGACAATGGCTGATATCGGTATTGACATATGATAATTACTTATTACGGAATGGTTGAGTATATTCTAACATAAACGGGTTCCATGAGCAACTCAATAGAATGGGAACCGGCACACAATATTTCAAAAATAATTCACCATTAACGAGGAACACAGGAATAAGGCTAAAGTCTAGGAGAATCATACATTCAAGCATATAAGTTGATACAGACCAACCTTCCTTCGCTTTATATATATACATATAATGTTGTAACAAAAATGTGATCTTGGAGCACCTAGAAAATTATCAATCTAAAGGTAATAGAAATTAACTTGAAAAGTGTATATATCATGCTGAAAATTTTATTATAAATATAATACACTCAGTTGTTGTCGCCAGTAAGAACTTAAAGTTTCAAAACAAAAACTTAGTAGTTTTGAGGTGTCCTTAGAAGTGACTGTTTGTCGGAATGTAAGTGAGACGTTCAGCCTTCACTCATGAATTCGTAGGTCTGAAGCCCAATCCACCTATTTCAATCTGGACAATTTTATAATGTTGCTCTCTGCACACAGGGTATTATGACTCAGAGAAAATCACACTAATTTATACCCGACAAATAAGTTATGTATGGTGTGCGCTAACGGAAAGCTTAAAAACCTCGTATTTAATGATGAATAACACACAGCTGTAACAATAAATCAGTCTGAATGTAATCGTTTTTGCATGATATCATATGGTGAATGTTTTTTTTCAGCGAACGATAGTTTTTTACCATAGATTCTTGCTGATTGATTACGTCTTGAATGGTTTGATGGCTCAATGGAAAATTATTCACTTTTTATGTTCTAACTTCAATTCATCAGCATCCTCGATATAAAAGTGTAAACACTTCTCAAATCACTTCTGAGTCTGATAAGTGATATACCAGTTTTATGGCGAAAAATATACTCAGTTCATTTGAACACAGTCATTTTAAGAGTTCACTTTAACAGCATCAAAGCAGGTCAGAAATATAAACGTATATTACAAGTTACTTAAATTTTTTTAATAGTAGTACAATTTCATTTTCATTCATTTCTATTGAATACTTTCTTTTCCTTCATAGGTCAATGATAAATCAGTCAGCTGGGCGTTAGGCTATATGTTAGACCAATCTGGTCATTTACCAAGTGAAAGTCCAAAAGTATTTGTCAGTACAAAATTATTTACTGGTTTATTTATACTATTCCTTCTAATCATTGTTGGTTCAATTATTGGGTTATTAATAACTAGAAGCATCTCAAAATCGAAAAAACCAGCTAGTCAGGTATAAATTGCATAAACAACAAAAGGTAACACAAATTCCATTTTCTAATCTATCTTGTGGAACAGAAAATGATCAACATCTTCTTTTTGATCTTTTCCTTATTCCACATCTTTTCCTCGTTTTTTTTTTCTGTACAGTAATAAAATAAATGAAAACAATATCATAATTACAGCTTAACGCTTTCCATTGGATTTTGAACATAAAAAGCTAATAACAACAAGTTAATAAGCAATTTTTTTATTGTCAGGCCATCATAATAATAATAATAATAATAATAATAATAATAATAATAATAAGCAGCGCACCAAAACGAAACGCACAAGAATTCCAGAAATTAATAGAAATAATTTTGAAGTTTTCACAGTTTTATTTTATTTGCATTTTATCTGTTATTATACAACTAAAAATTATGTGAAAAAATGAAATTGCAAAAAAAAAGTAATCTTACTATTTTTGTATACATTACTACAGTGTGTCTCTATAAATAACTAACCAAGTAAACAATAAAAATTAATTTGTCCTTTCTCTTTTGTTAATTAATTTAGGATATTTTTGTGTTGTTTGTTAAATTGTATAACATTTTTTTCCGATTTTCATTTCTTTATTGATTATTCTTTTCCAAGCCATTTGTGTTCAAATCAATCAATCAATCATCACTCTGTATTATGGTGTTTTATTTTTATATGTGTTTATCTATCCATTTATACATATACATATATATATATATATACGTCTTGTATATTCATCTTTTCTTTTTATTACTTTGTTAATCTGTTTACTTCGTAACTTTCTACTGGTTATCGTTATATTTGCACTTTACGTTGTCAGAAATGCGTAAAGAAAAATTAATAAGTCACTAAATGTGAATATAACAATAATTCTTTTAATTCAGTTACTTTCTAGTTAATAGACATGAAGGGAAGTATAGGAATGAGTAGCAGACATTCATGATTTCTACATTCAGCATATCTAAAGATGAAGATCATTTGTTATGATATGGATCAGGATTATTTTCTTATCTTCTCAACAAACTACTATAAACTCTCAATTAGTAGTCATTATCGACTAACCGAAATCCAAATGTAGATCACTTACCAATTGCTATTTGGTAAGAGCAGGAGCATTGAATTACATCTTGTTTGTAGGATATGATCTCAAGTGTGTGTAATGAAGTTCAAATTTGTAACCCTAGTCGAAAGCCAAGTACTTCAACAACTAAACTAACGCTAGTTAATCTATTTACAAGTTTCTGGGTAAAATTAGCTCAAAACAAATTAAAAAATTCTCCTATTAGTTGAGTGACAATAGGCCGAGATTAGTCAGTGAGAGGAGGCAGATACGTGTAATTGCACTTAATATGAGAGACCATCTTGTATGTAAAATTAATTCGACTTTCTTTGGACTGACTGATTTATGTTACGTGTTAATATTCTCATTCTGGACTATATTGGGTTCATGAACATTGGTCGGATGAGTTGAAATTGTCACACGATTAGGTTTTTAATTTAAACAGAATCTACATATGAACTGAAGGTGGTGGGATAACGAGACTTAATTATACTGTGGGAGATAACTACTTACCTCTTTGTTTTCACTTCATTATTAGGATAATGAAATGTACTGCTAACATGACTCAGGAGATAACATTGGTTACAGAAAACTTGCAACGCATTATAAAACTTTCTGATAGATGCGTATGTAAGCAATCAGACAAGAGAAATTACATTTTTCGCCTGATCTGGAGATCTCTACGAATAGAATGAGAGATTCCCAAAACTTCGTTTGTTCTACATAGACCGTTGTAGTCTTGGAAACTCAACATCCAAACTAAGCTTAATGGTAGAAGCACGAAGATCGGATATGGCTCTTGTCACAATGATGTGGGTCATGATAGACTTCAGTCAGTCAGCTACAACACAGAACTTCGTACATACGAACATAAAGTTCAAGTTGCCTTACCAGATTAGCATAGAGATGGAATTGTCAGTTCAAAACTCACAGTAGTAGAAGTATTAGCAGTTATTGAAAAGATTAGGGATCGAAGATATAATTCATGATCCAGTGAAATAAATATAAACAGAGAGGTCATTAAGAATTAAACAGATTAGAAATTGAGAGAAGACAAAATTGATGCAAACGATTTCGAGCTATGTCATTCAAAGTCTCTAACAATCCTATTGTCTGTGAATTCACGGATTTGTGCCCTCCAGCTTCCTTCCAGCCTAACCCTACATCAGACAGCATCGCTTGTCGAGGTTGTCACAGGTAAGTATGCGTAACACATGTCCCAACCATCTCAACTGGTGAAGCTTCACTTCTTCATCAGTTGAATTTCCATTCTTACCCAGTACCTTTTTCGGCATCGCTCACTCAATTGTCCTAGGATATACAAGTAATGCTTCGGAGATACATATAATTGAATACTAGTAACCTAAGGATAGCCCTTACTTTTACTCGCCATGTTTCACACCCATAGAGTAGGATGGAGCGAACATGACTCGTCATTTGGTTAGCAGAGCGGCACCTCGCCCGCACCTTAAGTGATGCAACTTGGCAAAAGCCAATTTGGCCTTGAGCATCCGTGCTGCATAGAGCCCTTACTATCCCGTTTGTTCCGTCAGCGCGTAAGCGACTATCTACTGGGATCCAGTCTGAGAGAGCTAGTCCTGCTTTAGAACCTGTTATACCTACACCAGCGAGGTCACATTAATTAGCGTTGGGGCTTCTATATACACGAAGCGTAAATCGCGGCGGCTCTTTATCTTAACAAAATGAGGTCATAAGTATGATTCTGCTCAGATGCTGTATGCGCGTTTCGGAGACGCAGTATACATCAGTGGCATAAGATTCTAGAGTCCTTGATAAGGAAGCCTGTTGTCATATTTTGCACAAGGTTAGGACATTAAAAGCTCCGACATGTAGTTTAGAGCGCCGTTACATAAGACAAGGAATAACATTTCGTGTACTCAAATCGTTAGCATTAGCGGTGCCAGGTGGTAAAGGTGTAGGGGATGGGTCAGTGGTGGGGAAAAGAGAGTAATTAGGAGGAGTATGGAGGATTTGATTGTTAGCAAGTTGATCTTGTGTGCTGTTATGAATATGAGGGTGAATGTCGCTCCCGGTAGCCCTCACTGTGGAAGGGAATTTCTAGAGGAACCTGAAAAGGAAATTGGATTAGCGTTGATCTTAGCGGCCAAGAAGCGTGACCAAAGAGCACAAGATACAGCCGCTTGAAGCTTCACGGACTTTACATGGGAACTTTTATAACCCCTTTCTTCCTTGTGAGATGTCAGCATCGCTGTAGATGCTGGTCGTTCGACGGAAACACCTCACTGCTTTCATACCCCTCTACAGTCAGTACTACGACTTCGCCTTCAGACCTTGAGCAGCTACTTTTAGTCTTACCGTCCTCCAATCCACCTGACTAACATGGTAGGACATTAAAGAACATATGCTCCAACGAATACAGCTCAGTTGGGTCATCACGATAGTCAAGCCCGACCACTACATCAAGGTAGCAGCTACGTTCGGGAAGAAAGACGTAAATTTTCATTAAATTATTGCGGGCTACGTTCTTATAACAAATGATAGTATTATAACTGGAAAATAACTCCGTCATCACTACTGCAGCTGGGTAGCCAACTATTATACCCAGCGTGTTATGATAGTTGTGTACATATCGACCCTGATGAGTCTAGTTTTTCTGCTCTTACTTGACAACAAAGACTCACTGCGATTCCTCAATCCTATTGCAAATACTGGGAAACACGGACCACTACAATTCACATGACGCAAAGTGAGAACACAAAACACTAGTGCGATGAAGATTTACTGACTCTTCAAAAACACATCTCAAAACATGTCCCGATATCACATCATCCTTAAACAACAACACAACCATTTATATACTGAACTATATATACTGAACACACACACTTTATCATAACATATATGGAGAGAAATACATAGGATCACCAATGGAAAAGCACACTAAATATAACTCACTAGAATTAGTATAGATCATATAATTGTCATACTGAACTAGACTTCCGACTCGTCATGCACAATACAGTTCAGACCGATCTAATACTAGAAAATATCGATCTGAAAATGTTACACTGAAATTTGTGTCAGGTTGATACAAAAAGATTGACCTAAATACTGTCATCTTATCCCGTCATATCAAATACGGTCACAAATCACGAAGTAACAGGTGTAATAAATTAAAGTTCACTTTAGCGTACAATCAACTGCATCGGAGGCACATGTAACAAAGTAAATGATGTAATCAAGAAAAATATAATCAAATTAAATATTTGAAAATACAATTTTAATTTATACACCAAATAAATGAAATTAAGATGAACAATAGTTTATACAAATAAAAAATTAAATCTGTATATATTATATAATTTAAATAGGCGTAAATAATTCCGTAGAAAATTAGAGAACTATTGCAAAACTAATAACCAGATGGAAGAAATAAATGACCCATAGGTAACCTATGTAAAAATATAGTCCCACAACTTAAAAAGAAAAATGAAAATGCTAAAAAGAAAAGCACTCGTTCAGTAAAACGACGTCGACGAGCTAAAGATGTTAGACGTTTTGACTGATTCATACATCCAGCCATTTCTTTTAATTCAGAATAATTCGATATTATTTTACTTGATGAATTTTCAAGTAATTCAGCATTAGCTGCACCACGTTGAACTTCTTCAGCTAAAAGTCTAGCATATCTTGTCATATCTTGAGTTAGTTCTAATGAATTTTGATATTGTTCTTCTAAATTGGAAATCTTGTTAGTAATGCCATTTTTTGATGAACGATTAGTAAGCTCAAATTTTTCAACAGTTTCTAAAGTTGAATTAGCTGCGAATATCGCTTTACGATATCGATCCTGATAAATATACAAAGTATATAATCAAATAAGGCCATAAATATGACTAGAAATTTTGAAAATATATTGATACATAGAATAAATTATACCGAATGTAGATTGAGATTACAATTAAGTGTAATTCACTAATTCATAGGAAATTTGATCCAAATAAAATAAGTGACGATTTTTGACACTGAAGTGTTAGTATTAGATAATGCGTACAATTGAGACGGGGCTAAATTCAGAAGATTCAAACACAAACTGCAAGAGAAAAGAATTAAGAGATATGTCATCCTGTTTGCGTAGGCGAAATACCTCAGAAACGGATCTCAAAAACAGTAGGTATCATAGTTGTGAATTGTTATATCATTTGATCACCAATTGACACATTATCGCAACTTCAATAGTGGATATAAATGATATAAGTTTTCGGTTTGTCAAATAAAACGTCTCTCTGAAAAAGCCTTTGAAGTGATTTTTTCTAAAAATCATAAGTTTTAAAAGCTTTCATACAAAAATCTGTGCCGAAATTAATAGCAAAATGATTACTTCTTTGTGTTATAATGAGCATAAAATTAACTAACATTTAAAGAAAGAGAATCATTGAATAATTAGTAATCTAAGAAAATATTTTTACATAACAAACATATTTTTAAACTTTAATTGTTCTGTTAGATACCTTTGCTCCGCCAGTAGAACCTTAGGGGCTACTGCCGGTCCCAAGCCCGGATAAAGGAGGAGGGTTGGACATGGGGTTGGCGGCCCCATTCCGTTGAAATCTAACTTGCCAAAAAAACGCTAACCAGAAAAAATAATTCAAACCATTTTAACTCTGCCCTGGGAGTTGGAAGAAGAATTATGACGTCTCGTGATGAAAGCCGAGTCCTCTCGGAAGTCACGGGGCCGATGCCTCTTCTGACAACCAGAGCAACCATTTTTTTAGGTACATGGAACGTTCGTACATTGTGGGAGACTGGAAGACTATTTCAAGTTGCGGCAGAAATGAAAAGATACAACCTCGAGGTGCTCGGCATCAGTGAAACACATTGGACACAGGTAGGACAACTGAGACTTGCTTCAGGGGAACTGCTGTTATACTCTGGTCATGAAGAGGAAGACGCTTTACATACACAAGGAGTTGCACTGATGCTGTCCAAACATGCACAAAAGGCACTGATAGGATGGGAATCTCATGGACCTAGGATCATCAAAGCATCGTTCAAAACAAAGAAACAGGACATTACAATGAACGTCATCCAATGTTATGCACCTACCAATGACTACAATGACGACGTTAAAGATCAATTCTACGAAAGGCTGCAGTCAGTCGTCGATAAATGTTCACCAAAGGATTTGACGATTCTTATGGGAGACCTGAATGCCAAGGTTGGAATGGACAACACTGGATATGAAGACATCATGGGACGACATGGACTGGGAGAAAGGAACGAAAACGGTGAGAGATTTGCAAACCTATGTGCCTTCAACAAACTGGTCATCGGTGGCACAATATTCCCGCACAAACGCATTCACAAAGCCACATGGATTTCACCGGACCACACTACTCAAAACCAAGTTGACCATATCTGTATCAACAAAAAGTTCAGAAGGACCATGGAGGATGTGAGAACCAAGAGAGGAGCTGATATAGCCTCAGATCACCACTTGCTGATCGCCAAAATGAGATTGAAGCTAAAGAAGCACTGGACAGCGGGGCAGACAACATCACAGAAGTTTAATACGGCCTTTCTTCGGGATACCGTAAAACTCAACGAATTCAAGATAGCCCTCACCAATAGGTTCCAGGCCTTTCAGGATCTACTCAATGGAGAGGAAGCAACATTGGAGAACAATTGGAAAGGGATTAAGGAGGCAATCACTTCAACATGTCAGGAGGTCCTTGGTCGCAAGAAGCACCATCACAAGGAATGGATCTCTGTTGGTACTCCTGAAAAAATTGAAGAAAGGAGGAACAAGAAGGCAGCTATCAATGTCTGCCGAACAAGAGCAGAGAAAGTTAAGGCGCAAGCCGAGTATACAGAAGCAAACAGGGAAGTGAAGAAGAGCATCAGAGCTGACAAACGAAAATATGTGGATTATCTAGCAATGACGGCGGAAAAGGCTGCAAGAGAAGGAAACTTGAGACAATTGTACGAAACTACAAAGAAGCTCGCCGGAAACTATCGTAAACCAGAACGACCAGTGAAAAGCAAGGAAGGGAAAATAATCAGCAACACTGACGAACAGCGAAATAGGTGGGTAGAGCACTTTCAGGAACTATTGAATCGACCAGCTCCACTGAACACACCCAACATCGAAGCAGCATCCACGGACCTCCCAATTAATATTGGCGCACCTACGATTGAGGAGATCAGTATGGCCATTAGACAAATCAAGAGCGGCAAAGCAGAAGGACCAGACAACATTCCAGCAGAGGCAATGAAAGCGGATGTGGAAGCAACTGCGAAAATATTTCACATTCTCTTCAAGAAGATTTGGGATGAGGAACAAGTACCATCAGATTGGAAAGAAGGATACCTCATCAAAATACCAAAGAAAGGCGATCTCAGCAAGTGTGAAAACTACAGAGGCATCACTCTTCTTTCAATACCAGGCAAAGTCTTCAACAGAGTATTGTTAAACAGAATGAAGGACTTCGTAGACGCCCAACTTCGAGATCAACAGGCCGGATTTCGTAAGGATCGATCATGTACTGACCAAATTGCTACATTACGGATCATTGTGGAACAATCAATTGAATGGAACTCACCACTCTACATCAACTTCATCGACTACGAGAAAGCATTTGATAGCGTGGATAGGAAAACACTGTGGAGGCTTCTTCGACACTACGGTGTGCCTGAGAAAATAGTCAACATCATACGGAATTCTTATGATGGATTCAACTGCAAAATCGTGCACGGAGGTCAGCTGACAGACTCTTTTGAGGTGAAGACCGGTGTCAGGCAAGGTTGCTTACTCTCACCCTTTCTCTTTCTCCTGGTCATCGACTGGATTATGAAGACGTCAACATCTGGAGGGAAGCACGGTATCAACTGGACAGTTAGCACGCAGCTGGACGATCTGGACTTCGCAGATGACCTGGCTCTTCTATCGCACACTCAACAACAAATGCAAGAGAAGACGACCAGTGTAGCAGCAACCTCTGCGGCAGTAGGTCTCAACATACATAAAGGAAAAAGCAAAATTCTCCGATGCAACACAACATGCACCAACCGAATCACGCTTGATGGAGATACCTTGGAGGACGTTAACACCTTCACATATCTTGGCAGCATCATCCACGAGAAAGGTGGATCGGATGCAGATGTGAGGGCGCGGATTGGCAAAGCGAGGGCTGCATTTCTACAGTTGAAAAATATCTGGAACTCCAAACAACTTTCAACCAAAACCAAAATCAGGATTTTCAATACAAATGTCAAGACAGTTCTACTGTATGGAGCGGAAACATGGAGAACTACCAAAGCCATCATCCAGAAGATACAAGTGTTTATTAACAGTTGTCTACGCAAAATACTTCGTATACGTTGGCCAGACACCATCAGCAACAACGAACTGTGGGAGAGAACAAGTCAGATTCCAATGGAGGAGGAAATCAAGAAGAAGCGGTGGAAATGGATAGGACATACACTACGAAAAGCACCCAACTGCGTCACTAGACAAGCCCTCACATGGAACCCTCAAGGCAAAAGGAAAAGAGGAAGGCCAAGGAACACACTACGCCGAGAAATAGAGAAAGATATGAGAGGAATGAACAAACATTGGACAGAACTGGAGAGGGAAGCCCAGGACAGAGTTGGTTGGAGAAAACTGGTGGGCGGCCTATGCTCCATTGGGGGTAACAGGCGAAAGTAAGTAAAGTAAGTAGATACCTTTGACATTCCACCAACAGTAATAGTCAAACCCATCCCAGATTACATATAATGTGAAATGATAGAAAGCACAAACAGTCTAATCTGATGCGAGTAGATTCTTACAACATATATGATACGATGTTTAAGGATTAGGTGTAATAGTCAAATTTCGATTTATCAGAGAATGGATCACCAACATATTGATTTCTTACAATCGTCTGTGAAACTATTATCATCTCTATTTTATGTTTAGAAATGTCTATAAGCGCGTTATTCTATTACACGGAAAAACAATTCATCTGGTTAGTAACCATATTTTTGATTTCAAATCATTCGGAGGCTTAAGTCAATAATTCGGTCTAGTGAATAACGATTGCTTGGTCGCATTAAATCACTGTATTTACCGACCGATTAGCATTCTATTTATTGATATCAGCAATCGAAAATTTCGTCCAATCAAACCATCAGAGGACCTCCATAATAATATCCTACGAATCTGCTCAAAGATAGAAGTGTTAGCAGGATAGTTTCCTGACTGTTGCATGCTTTGATCAGAATCGAACCAGAATACGCGAATTAGTTTGCTTCCAATCAATCACCGTTAGTGGATGGATTAAGACGCTGAAAGATTTTGATGTATATTCTGTAAAAACTTGAGTATTTTACTATTGCGTTTTGTTGTTCAATTTATTGGAACACATATTGTTCAATCCCAATTTGTGCTTTGAGTTGGAAAGAATAGAATGAAATACTGTGTTCAGTGAATACTAGTCAATAAGAGGACATAAATGCTCAATAAGATCCAAGTCATGAGTCAGTCAGTCATAGGCAACGCAGAACCCGGCACATCAGTCAGTCAGTCAGTTGCAACGTAGAACTTCGTACGTATGTACATAAGTTCATGTTGCCATACCACATTATTAGCACAGAGACGCAAATGTCAAATCAAATCCCATAGTGATAAAGATGGTAGAGGTATTAATGTTATAATAAAGAAGACTAGGGTTTAAGATATTATTCAAAAAATATAATTCTGTGAGATAAGGTTAGAAAGACAAAGGTAGAGGTGCTGGCTAATCCAGAAGATTACGATTTGAGAGAGCTCAAAGAGTGGATGCACCTGCGCCATTGCAAACGATTTTGAGCCATGTCGTTCAAGGTCTCTAACCATTGATGACTTTCGTCTCGCGGACCCCAACCAGGTAGTCTACATCTACCAACATGACTCAGTCCACTTGTCAGTGACTTCATGGATTTCTGCCATGTTTTGGTTTGGCCGCCCCTAACTTTCTTCCAACCTACTCCTACACCACAAAACATAGCTCGTCGAGGCAGTCGGTGGTTAGGCATACGTAACACATGTCCCAACCACCTCAACTGATGAAGTTTCACCACTTCGTCGATTGATCTGCCATCCTTACCTAGTACTCGTTTCCTAACGACAGCATTGCTTACTCGGCTGTCCCACGGTATACGAGCAATGCTTCTTAAACATCTATGATCGAATACTAGTAACCTACGAACATCTTCTACTCTTAACGGCCATGTTTCACAGCCATATAAGAGAACGGAACGAACTGCTGCACAGTACACCCGCCCTTTGGTTAGCGAACGGATATCACGCCTACGCCATAAGTGACGCAGGTTGGCAAAAGCCAATCGAGCTTTCTGTATCCGAGCTGAGATTTCGTCAGTCACCAGACCGTCAGCACTGATGAGACTCCCAGATAAGTGAAGTGATCTACACGCTCGACTACTTCACTCCCTATCACTAGTTCAGGTGCCGAAGCAACCCAGTCTTGAAGCAACATTTTGCATTTCGAGGGGGAAAACCGCATCCCGAACATGCTTGCATTGTTGCTTAGGGTAGTCAGAAGACTCTGCATTTTGTCAGCGTCTTCACCGAATAGAACTATGTCATCGGCATATTCTAGATCAGTAAGCGACTTTCCTGGTAGAAGGTCAACCCCTGAAAAATCTGACGAGCTTAATGTTAACTCTAAGAGGATGTCTACGACAAAGTTGAACAAGAATGGAGAGAGTGGACAGCCCTGACGGACACCACTTGATGTAGAGAATTCAGATGACAGTTCGCCATATGCTCTCACCCGACCAGTGGTGTTCGAGTAGAGTGCTTGTATAAGGTTAATGTACTTCTTTGGTACACCTTTCAATGACAGACACTGCCACAGAACCTCACGATCCACTGAGTCAAATGCCGCCTTAAGGTCCAGGAACACGACTATTGTCAGACGTCTAAATGTGTGTCTGTGTTCCAGGACCTGTCTGAGTGTGAAGATGTGGTCTATACAACCACGTCCAGGTCGAAAACCAGCCTGGTTTTCTCGAGTCTGCTCTTCGCGAGCTCTAGTTAGACGTCTAAGTATAATCGAGGCTAACAATCTAGAAACTATATTAGTTAAACTTATTCCCCTGTGATTGTCACAAGAGGACTTCTGTCCTTTCTTGTAGATTGGGACAATTAGCGACTGAGACCAGTCGGATGGGATTACGTCCATTTTCCAGATTCTACCTAGGATCTCGGTCAGTCTAACCGTTAAAACTGGACCACCATCCTTAAACATCTCAGGGGTAAGCCTATCGGGACCTGCCGCTCTACCTCTCCTTAGATTTCCTATAGCTTTCTCAACTTCATGTAAACTGGGAGGACTTAAATCGATTTGCCATTCAGGATGACTGGAGATCGTGGGCAACCGAAGAGTGGCTGAAGGCCAGTTGAACTGATCCCTAAAGTGTTCTGCCCATCGGTCCAGCCTCCTAGATTGAGAATGGATAATAAGACCATCCTTTTCCGAGATAGTCTCACTTACATTCGGGTTCCTAATACCGGTTTCTTTGATAAGGCGGAAAAGTTGTCTAGTGTTGCCTATCGCCGCTGCCTTTTCCATCGCTTTTGCTTTCGCCACCCACCACTGTTCACGGTCGTTACGTAGGCTTTTTATAAGTCTGCACCTAAGCTGACTACGCTCTTCATCATGTTCAGAGTCAGGTGGGAACCCGGCACATGCGTGCATTGATTCAAGTAGCCATACCACACGAGCTAAGAGATCTCTGAGTTTTATAAGTAGTAACTTTTAGTAGTAGTTGAAAAGATTAAGCATAGAAGTCATGAATGAAAAGGATATGAATTCGTGGACCTGAAAAATTTACGAAACTTGGGATCTAAGGCAAAGCAAAGAGTTAATGCGAACAATTCTGTACATATCAATCCGGCTGAGTTCACCGGTCAATGACTTCAGGGACTAATGAAATGTTTTGGCTTAAATGTCTTCAGCTTTCTTCCAAACTAATAGTCCACTAAATAAGTAAAAAATGATTCAGAATCATAAATACCAAATACGGCAAGATATAACAAAAACAAGCTGAGCCTTGATTGCTTTACTTATGTGGATAGTTGCATCAGGATTTCAGTTTAAACACAATTTTTATAGCCAGTTTTCGCACGGGTCTGTTTAACAAAGACATACAGAGAAAACAAAATTGCCGTGCTGTTACGGGTATGAGGGCGGATTTCACTTCCCGGCTGCCCACACCGTGGAAGGCTGTTTCGTGAGAAAACTGAAAAGGAAGGTAGATTAGTGTTGGTCTTACCGACCTGGCAGAGTGACTGCAGAGCCCAAGGGACAAGTGCTTGAGGCTGGTCAAACATGGCCTTTCCGTGAGAAGTTTTTAAGTGTTAGGTGCGCTCTTGTTTAAAAGACCTTACCACCGGGGACGGAAATCCATGAGATAAGGTGAGGTGTGACATTTTTATGGTCGGCCTTTTCTAACCCTTGCTTCCTTTTGAGAAGTCATCATTGCTGCAGATGCTGGTTGTCCGGGGGAAACACCTTACTGATGTCACACATCTCTGCAGTCAGCCGTACGACTTCGCCCTCAGACCTTGAGTAGCTGTTTCTAGTCTCGTCGTTCTCTAATCGACCTACCTGGCATGTTAGAACCTACAGGGACATATGTCCTAGCCAATATAGCTCGGTTGTGTCATCACAATAGGCAAAGCCGACCACCACACATCAAGATAACAGCTACGGTCGGGAAATTGCCATGCTGAGTCACGGGATTAGTTTTACTGTAGTATATAGCTGTTATGAGTTAATGCATTACATTAATATTAGTATGTATCTAGATTATAATATAAACGATAATAAACCTGATCAATTAAGTTGAAGGGACATAGAACAAGTTGGTTGATAAAAAAAATGTACAATACCTGCAGTACAAACAATTGTTTTTTATTCTCAACAATTGCTTCATATAGTGTTCTATTCGTAGATGAAATGTTTGTTTCACGTCCGAAGGTTTGTAATTCATCCAAAATCGAATTAATAGCCAATAGATTCTCTCTAACTTTAGTTTGATAATAATCTAATTTTTCTCGACAAGATTTAGTATTATTAATTCCTTTGCTAATGCATTCAATCTCAGCGATCAGTTCTTTTGTTTTCGTATCTAACGATACAATGGTCTCTAACTTGTGGCTAACTGACATACGTGACATCTAAAAGAATTTAAATTTAAAACTTGCTATCGTAGGAATTACTGTAGAGATAAAAACTTCAATAGAATATTAGAAAATAATAGGAATCAAATGGATATATGTATATACGATTAATTCGCTATTACAGAGTTATTTATAACAAGTCGTAGATGCGATTCCCTGATGCAGAATTATATACACTATTATTTAGAGATAAATAAGTATTGAATAAATCATTTGTTTTTATGCAATAATTTACTCTCTAGGTACTTGGGTATGGGAACTAATGATATTCCGATTGTTCAAACCGAAGTAGACCGAACAGATTCGAACCTTGATGGTTGCGAGTCGTGTGCCTCAGTAATCAAACCACCGATTGAGAGTAAATTATCAATAAGCGTATTAAATAATGCGGCTACCATGTGACAAATAACTGTGAAACATGGTTATTCAAACTGAAATAAAACTCAAACTCGACTTAATACATAGGAATTAAGTGAACAGACCAATAAATAATACGTTTAATATGAGAAAATAGGTAATTAAATGTTTTGATAATTTTAATCGATGTTTTACATTACAATAAAAGAAATGTGATACTTATGAAACCAATATAAATAGAATTGCTGGGATAGGACTAACATCAAATCAAACATTGGAGTAAATTGAACCAATAAATAAATGGATTGGGTCTAAAGTTGATTCTGCTTGCCATTAATTACTTTGTACACGTTATCAAGAAATGGCGATTTTCAGAAAAGAGAGCCTATTTTTGATGCAGTGTTCGTAATACGCAGTAGTATGCATAAATTAATTTCATCCGTATTATATTGAGTGGTTAGATAGTATGACGAGACATATACTTGTTTTAAACATTAGGCACATTAAATTATAAAATTTACCATAATTATTAGTAAAGTACAATATATGATCATAAACATGAATTAAGGATGATAAACAACATTTGTAAAATAAACATATTTATAACTCACAATCTGTCAAAAGTATTATGAGGTTGTTATATAAGCCGCAAAAAATGCACCTTCAATATTTATACCCAAGCACTACATATTATGGTCATTGAAAAGTGAATCCAAATCAGTTAACAACCTGATTGTTGAACAATTAGTCAATTCTAGTAATCTATCTCCACAAGAATCTTCATTCAAAATAACTTACAAAGTAAGTCAAACTAAGTCGAAGGGAAACCGGAAAACAAATTGATTAATAGTGAAGACTGGCGATTTACAAGCCTGGACTTAACGTTTAGAAGCGGTGCACCTAATCCTTAAGTTTACTACTGTCCTAATATCCCTTTATATTTTATTTGTTATTTATTGATATCAAACTGTTTGCGCTTCCTAATCTTCCCTTACTTTTCAAATGGACAATCATTTTTCACATCTCTGTTCGGTATCTCATTTTGACACATGTTCCTTTAATGTTTCTATCTTTCTTACAATCGTCAAATGGATAGTTTTTCATATCTTGTTTCGATGTTACTCTGTGAATACTAGATGGCTCCAAATAATGATTGACTTTTATTGCCTCTATTAATGATTCCATACTTTTTTTATAAACCATCATATGTGAAAAATAACTAGGTAGATATCACCAAGTAGTACTTCAATGAACCGTGATACCTAGAAATCAAGACTATAAAATACCTTAGGATATGTAGGCTACTTGGTTGGGATCCGCGAGACGAAAGTCACCAATGGTTAGAGACCTTGAACGACATGGCTCAAAATCGTTTGCAATGGCGCAAGTGCCTCCATTCGTTGTGCTCTCTCAAATCCTAATCTTATGGAATCGTCAGCACCTCTACCTTTCTTTCTAACCTTATCTCACTGAATTATATTTCTTGAATAATATCTCAAAACTCTAGTCTTCTTCATTGCCATTAATACCTCTACTATCTTTATCACTTTGGGATTTGATATGACAGTTGCGTCTCTGTGCTAATGTGGTATGGCAACATGAACTTATGTACATACGTACGAAGTTCTACGTTGCAACTGACTGATTGACTGATATACATATGGATTTCTTTGCTCATGTGAATTTTCATCAAGATAACTTGCAATTATATTGGTAAAGCAGAACAGTAAAACGAACCAATCAGGTGAAAAATCAGAACCTATACAGCAATTAACTCAAAGCATATAACTCAATCATTCAGCATTTTTGATGCACTATTTCAAAATACAACCAAGGTTCATTACAGTAAGCTATACTATGATTAAAACATTCTTATGATTTCTCATATACTTGTCTTCTAAACTCAGTTTAATTACATTTCACGCATAAACAGTTAACGAAAAGGGTTACATCGTCATCGCCGTAAACAGCGAACCTGGTTTCACCATGGAATAAAGATCACCTAAGCACAGAGCTGCCATCAACTAGGCCCTCTAATTTCCCATGGGTAGACACATACACAGACATACAGGACAGAGACATTAAACAATTTGTAGTATTTGAACATGTTGAATATAAACGCTTCTCTTTAAAAAAATTTCATACATTAAAACTATACCAATGCCTAGAACTTGTGGATTCAGAGTAAAAGGGTTGTTGTAATTACAAGAAGTGAGGTTTCGAACTAATTTAAACTGCATTTCATTTTAAGTTTTAAATGGTTCAAACAGATACTTTGAAACTTTTTTGCTTCAACATGAATAAATCATTTTTAAAATATATTTTTTATGCATGATTTCTAATTTTTATCTATTTTGACACGATATGTTTGTATACAACATAACGAAACCATTGTTTTTAAATATCTATTTTGTGATGAGTCAAAGCCAGTCTACAAAAAGAACCTGATAAATACCTCCCTGACGAAATGTAACCGAAGACTAAACTTCGTGAAGATAGAAATATAATAGAGTTCCAATTAGTGTTGTAATTAATTGATTGATGCACTCTAAGGATGTATAAAAACGTTTCAGATTGTAGATATGTTCAAGACAGCACAAAATACCTTACAAGGCATGGTCATGATTGACAACAACATTGAGTAACACAGTCCTAAAATAAGGATGGAAACAAACTGTCTCATGCTACGTCAAACACTGTCTGGATGCACAAAACCAGTCACACCTACACCCCATTTGTCAGGAATCCCAGATAGGATGACGAGTAGTTTCCCCCAACTAAGGCAGATACGACACATCATGCAAGAGGAAGAATCGTCAAACAACCCAGTCATAGGAAAACTGATAACAAGCGTTAAAATTGCAAGAGACTGTTGCACAGATACAAGTACATCATATAAACCAGAATAGACAGGCGCAAGGAACATGACCCGGGTCACGAGGCAGACCACAAACACACACAATCTGGGCAGTTCTGTTGATATCAATGAAAGTTTAGTATTAAATCAACCAAGTGCAGCCAAGCATATGCCTGGTCTAAACAGACTCCCACGATTATGGGAAGCAAATAACTCTATAGGCCGTAGCGGCTGAGGAGAGGTGCCTAAATAGTCGCTTATGTTATGTTGGAGAATTCCGGCATAAACTTCTGATATATACAGGTGCTGCACTGAGTGTCCCTCCCAACAAAAAAACTGACCTCAGTAGGGAAATGTACCCAGCTACACTTTGAGCTGTCAAAAAACAAAAATTTGCGATTTCTGAGCAGAAAAATTTAACGAAAGATCTTGAATTTATGTGACTGTAGCGGGTTGACATCAGACAATACTATGGATGGCTCTTCCGAGAGATAGAAAATTTTAGTCGACACTAAGGAACGGCGTTTCACACAAAAAGACCTCAGTACTACAAAAAATACAAATACAGCCACACTTTTTCTCCGAACCTGATATAAACTCTACCAAAAACAACTTAAATTTTCCAGTATACTCGCTAAATTTCTGAGCCTGATAAAATCTAAGTGCCGGCACTTTAAGAGTAAGCTAGAAGTGAGCCATACAATCAAAACCAAAGGTGCACCTGCATTTGCTGTACAAGAGAATAGCACCTGTTGAGCTTAAAATCAATATAGCCAAAATGGTCTACATTTTGCCAGTTTTGTATGATTTGAAGAACTACAGTGAAAAGATCTCTATGCACTTACGTCATAAATCCTTGTTACATATAGGTCCAGACATAACTCGCAGACTCTCGATTAGCGGCCGCTCATCGTAACGCAAATAACGTATTTTGCGCTAACTACCGTACTGAACATTCTTGGTCCTAATGTAAAAATATTATTCGTATAAGGTTGTAGCCGAACACTATTAAGGAAACACAATTAATGATAAAAAACATTTATTATTGTACTCTTTTTGTTTAACTGTACCAAAAAGCACTTGCAGCGTTCTTATTTCGCCTTGCTGTCATCATCCCTAACTTGTTGCTCACTATATCGCCCACTTTCTCCTTCGAATATATTATTTACCCTGGATTTATTTCTGATTTTGGTGACGGCATAGTAATTAGTGTTTAGTGGTGATCATAGTTAATCTCGATTCGGTCACCACTAAACGATATTGAATACCTCATCTTGTAAAAAGCCGAGCTCTGTTACATTGATTTTTTCGGCATTTATAATAAATTAATTGTGTTTGTAAATTGGTATGCCCCATGTGATTTTATGATACCTTTTATCACTGTGATTCATCGTTATAACAGATATAGTGCATTCCCTCGACACAGTCCTAAATAAAAGCACTGACTATGTACCATGTGAGGATTTCAGATCCCTCAACAGTCAAACCATGACATGTAGGCTTTACAGTTCCTCATATTCAAAATTTTACAAACGGATTACAGGATATGAACGCACTTACTATTGTCGACTTATCGAGAGCACATCACAATATCCCATTAACAGGATAAGATATTCTTTAGGCATTAGGTACCATACTTTTCAGACTGTTCGGGTTTGTACTCATGCCATTCGGCCTTGGGAACGCGTCAAAAACATTTCAAAGATATATGTACAATCTATTTTGGGAATCGCGTTCTGTCCAGTCTGGAATTAATATCACATGAACAGCTCACGAGAGCTGCTTTAAAACCGCTGATTGAAGATAGAGTGAACATACAAAAAAGTGAGTTGCAGGACAGACAATGGGCTATGAAGAACTTTTAGTGGTGAGAGATACCAGATCGTCTATGATCACCACTAAATTTTCCATATTATCCTGTCATATATATCAAAATAAATCCATATTTGAATACTTTACTGAAGGAGAAATTAGGCATTACATGGGGAGCAGCAAGTTAAGGAAAATGGCAGCAACGCGAAGAGAACGTTGCGCGCAAGAAGTGTTTTTGGTACAGTTAAACTAAACGAGTACAAAAATGTTTATTTTTCGCAAATCGCATTTTCTTCTTAGAAGCGTTCCACTACAAGCTTATACCAGTAAAAGGGAGGTGTATATCATTACGAAATACTGGTTGTTCACAACTTGTGAAACCTGCGATAGATTCCTTCAGTAGATTTTAAGTTGAATTCTGAGGCCATCGAAGCTATTGAAGAACTAAAGTATAAGCTAGCCCAAGCATATGTGTTGATGAATTTGAAAATAGATTGCCAGCGACTTGAATGGTGGACGCTCCAGGCAAAGTAGTACACGGTGTCCTTTATCAACTGGTCTAAAATGTGTGGCAACCAATTGCATCCTAATTATAAGGGCTTGCTACCACGGACAAAAGAGGCTTTACTTCCGGATGCGAGCATTTCTAAATCTGCCTAGCCATGAAGTAGTTCCGGCCCGTGTTGGAAGATTGGGCATTCATAGTTTACACATATCAAAGATCGCTGACAAATCTGAAGCCGATAGGTTTTTGTCTCGAGAAATCCAACATCCATGTTTTATATCGCAGATCAACATTGACATACGGGATATGAAGGGTCAGGACATTCAGGCAGCAAATGAATTATCGCAATTGTAAATTAACGTAATTCAGCAATCGACCAAAAATGTCGATGCATCAGCAGACAACTAGAAAGAGTTACAAAATCTACTTTCAACAAACAAGCGCAGTCTCAGACCCAAGCTACTACTGTCAATTATTGAAGGTATTTTGATCTACTGCGACGCAACCAGAGCATTGTCTCAACTTTTCCTTCCCGAAACTTCGTGAAAAATAATACTTAACAAATTCCATACTTTATCACATCCCATCGCGAACACTACCACCAAACTAATCAGTATTAAATATAAATAGCCCAATTTAGATGAAAATGTAACAAGTGGTACAGGGAATGTTCTGCGTCTCAACAGCTTACGGTTAGCCGTCACATGACTTCATCTATCGGAGTATTTTTATCGACAGACGAACATTTCGTGCAAGTTTATTAGGGTTTGCTAGGTCTTCTACCACAATCGAATGATTTGGATTATTCGTTTGCATGGATAAACAGTTCCACAAGGTTCCCAGTAGCCACAGCTTAAATAGTGGTCAAAAATTTCATCCAGAACTGCGTGACAAAGTTCGGTTCATCTTTATTAATTACAAAGCGAATGCTAGTAATTGTCCACGTTCGCCTCTCGGCACCACCATAAAGCATTGTTACCGTTTAAAAATCACGTTGAGCATTAGATAGAAATAGCCTACATAATAGGATAATGTAACGAGTGTATCAGAGAATCAGTGTCTCAACAGTCGACGGTTAACCATTATATGACTTCATCGTTCGGAGTATTTTTATAGCCAGACGAACATTTGGTACACGTTAATATAGATTTGGCATTTAGTTTACCGCCTTCTAATGGTATCTATTTTTCACTTGGATGCACTGACAGTTTCACAACGTTTACAGCGGTCACATCAAGGACCGCTGTTGAAACTGATTTAAAGTATTAGGTGGCAGAACTAGTTTTCTCAATCCTCGTGTTGAAAATATAAAGCTCGACCCAGGGGGCTATGTTGATCAACTATAAGTCAAATATCAAAACTTATGTTAGTGGATACTTGTGAACAGTAGTGAGACTCATCTCGTGGTACAAATGCAAAGAAACATCGACAAGTTGATTATTAAGGGTTGTTTATATAGACTCCAATTATACAACCAAATACATCGAATCTCGAAGCAATGCTGAATTCCAAAGAGGATCTAGTGGCTTCACTTTTTCAGCTAATGATCTACTCCGTTTATTGTACTTTAAAACATGCAACATTTTGTATCGACTTGGACCAGTCATATATATATTATATATACAGAAACACCAACCTCAAACTCGTTTTTACAGCAAGATAGATTTTATGATTTCATATGTCAACCTACTACCGTGAAAATGATACTGTCTCCAGATGAGGCATATGACATTCAATAATCATTCAGCTCATTAGTTTAGTTGCTGTCCCGGTTATGAGCACATACTTATGAAGGTTTCGCATTAAGTCGATAAACATTTCCCACCACAATTTCTCGTATAATCAGGCAGCTCAGATTCGTTAGCGTTATTCAGATTGCCACCAAAAGTATCAAGCATCTAAAATAAAGCTGATTGATTCTCCAAAGGGAATGCTCAATTGGAAATATTAGTAATTGCTCTTAATCGCCTCTCGACATCACCATAAAGCATTGTTACCGTTTAAAAATCACCTTGAAATTAGATATGAAACGAAGCACAAAACCAGTTGACAAATTTAATAACAACTATTTTCATAAAGAGCCGTCTTCTTGAAATGATATTTACTTAACAAAATATTTCAGCAATTTTTTAATTAGTTACTCCCTTAATAAGTAACACAGGAGTTCGCCAATTTCGCTAGCGTTTTAAAGACAATCATTTGTGCAAGTCGTAAATGTCAGCAGTCGGGCGAATCCCCTGCAGTATGAAAATACGATTAGTGTGTTTAACCGACCTCCATGGAAGAAATTCATATCATTATCACACATTGGATGGAATTTGTACCATTCATCATCACAGCTGATGCTTTCTCTGATTATCATGTAGGCCGCACTCATCCTGTGACTGAAAATATCACTGACTGTATTGTCTACTGTGGTGATTTAAGAGCGATATTTGCTTCAAATACCCAATTTTTATAGGTTGGTCTATGCTTTTCTTGAATTTATAGGACGATACATTATATTTACATTCCCTATTATCTCTAACTACCACCATTATAAATAGCTGATTTATTTTATGATACGGACATTCAGTTTAGTGTTTATCTCCCAGGAATACACTCATTTGTAACGTGGACAATAATCTCCATGTGAGGGAATTTAAACTCCTCACTTAAAAGATTATTATCAAGCTCGTGCATCCTATAGCCAAGAAACATAAGAAAACTGGTCATTTCAGGACCTAAAATTTCATCATTTACAACTTATTTTATGTGTTTCATGAACACTTCAGGTCAGCGTTTAAATTTTGTTCTCTATGTTACGAACCACTTCATGAAAAGCCGTCGTCAGTGACTAAAAGTTATGGATTTACCCATGTTGAGTGATGTATACAACCTCTCCCTCGGTTAATATTAGTGACAAATTTTAAGTAGTGTCTTGTTTCTAATGCGCATCCGTTCCGTAGATGTCTTGACAGTGTTCATTTCCTTCCAGAATATAGTGAAATCCTGGGAGATACAAGATATGTGTGAAGTCGAACGTCTATCATTTGTAGTTATGTGTTTTCTTATCATATATAAAGTTTTCGAGAACACCGTGAAGCAATTTGTCAAGTTTTACCGATTTCATTTGCTTATTTTTAACGATAGACTGGTCATGCTTTAGAATAAAATCATCAGCCTAGCAAATTGAGCTACAGTGACACCAAGTATGAGCATGCAACTTTTAGAAGTTAGCATTTAATGACTTCACCCATCCAACAGTCATGAGATTCAAAACACAAGGGGACAGATGTTAGTATTATTAGTTATGCACGTAAGGTGTTAACTGTCTTTCTTATTCCTACGTCTTACGAGAACGTTTCACCCAGATTTCACTTGAGTGACACCATCCTAAACCAACCAACCAATCATGGAACTAAGCCTGTCACAGGAAGCTGGAAGTAGAGCCCATAATTTCTAAGGAGTGGCTTGTCCTTTCCAAATGAACCTGTATAACTGTAGGGCAAAATGTAGTTTTCTTAATTTACGACGCTTTACAGTCAAAAATAATTAATCAGCTGGGCACTCCTAGGGTTTTATCTAATACTCTTAATCTCAGCAATCAGGATACAACTCTCACTCGTTGGTTCCAAAGACGACTTGGATCAGCCACTACAAGCTCTGGGCTTGCTGAGCAAGTATGCAGCACCACAATAGGGACTAAGGAAGGAAAGTCCTCAAACCTGGATTATTTTTAACAAATGATCAGCTCTGGTAGAAGATCTTCACTTCTATACAACAGTAGTAAATAGTGACCATCGCACAGTCTTGTTTAACATAGTCATAAACGGAACACTCACACAGGACGAAAACGAGCCCTATCTTTGTTAAACTAGGGCTAATAATACGCGTATGAGGAAGAGCCTCCTAAATACCCCATAAAAATGGGAGTGGTGGAGGCTGACAGTAGATGATCACTGGCAAACAGTGAGAGACATCATCTGGAATGCTATCCTTAGCAATGTACCTCAGTCACATCACACAGCCGGGAATGGAAGAACATGGGTTAGGCACGGCACTAAACGCTTGCTACAGGCGAAGAGGAGAGCCTGGCACAAATGGATGATCTCCTTCAAGGATTCCGGTCGTAGTTCTTACTTGGCATTGGAAGTGATAAGAGACGCTTTCACATGAAGCTAGCTGTCCAAATACAGGCAAACCCTAGGCATCTGTTTAGGTTCATGACTTAAAGAAAACCCATGAATCAGGCTATGCGTTCCCTCAAAGGCCCGAATGGGGAAGATCTCACCAACCTAGAGATGGCTGAGATCTTCAACGCAAACTTCAGTTAAACCAGGTATCCACAAGTTCAGTGTACTAAAAAAACCCAGAGCCGGTTGACGGCTTAGGGGATATCCGTATTACTCCTGACTTAGCACTAAGGAAACTAAAATACTTACACTTGGGAAAGTCACCACGTTGTGACGATATTTTCCCTATAGTCTTGAAAAATTATGAGGAGGCCTTCTGTTCACTGATATGTGATTCGTTCAGGCATTCATTAGAGTCACACCAACTCCCAGTGGAACTTAAACAAGCTATTCTCTCCTCAGTCTTCAAATGAGGAGATAGGATCGACCCAGCCTGGTACAGACCAGTCGCATTACAACCAATATTATCAAAGGTAATGGTAGGGCTGGTCAACGAACAAATGAGGGAGTGCATGGATAATAATAAAATACTCCATAAAGCTCAACAGGGGTTTCGGAAAGGCAGGTCGTGAGCATCTAATCTTCTCACAGCATGAGATAGTTGAAAATCCTGCTGGGACCGAAAAATACCGGTGTACGTAATATTTTTCGACTTTGTAAAAGCCTTCAACACAGTACCCCACTCAGGCCTAATCGCAAATGTTGCGGAAATGGGCTTCACTGAATCACTCGTATCTTGGCTCAGAAACTACCTTGAGAGTAGAAAGTTTTTTACCTAGGTAGATAGAGTGCACGCGAGATGGAGAGTACCCACATCGGGAATTTCATAGGGGACCATCTTAGACCCACTTCTCTTCCTGATATGCATAAATGACCTGTTAGGCTCAGTTAGCTCACAGGCATTGATCTACGCAGACGATGAGAAGATCTGGAGGTTCATTAGAAGCGAAGAGAATTCGGCTGAGCTTCAAAATGATCATACATCCATTGAGGAACCGGCAGTGAAAAACAGTTGAAAACTAAACCACCAACGGAAGTGTCATGCCATCTTCCTTCTGCCCCACATGACGCAAACGATTTACACACTCGATGGAAGTCAGCTCCCTAATGTCTCCACGGAGAGTTATCTCGGTTTGTTGGTCATTGAAAGCCTCTACGTAAGCCTGAACTATATAGGGGCACAGCCAAGGCAAATGCGACTCTTCACTTTATGCGAGGACAGCACAGTTCTATCACCCCAGAATTATTCTTAACGTTATTTAAGACATACGCGCGCGCACACCTCGAAGTTGCAACGTCGTCGCACCTCCTCTCCTTAAAAGAGACATAAATCTCTTGGATCGAGTGCAGATAAGAGCGACGAAATGGGTGATAAGGTTGAAGAAAAAACCTTACGAGGATGAACTCCAGCGCTTGTGATTATTCCCACCGAGTTATGGGAGAATCAGGGGTGATCTGATCCTGTCGTACAACATATTAGGCACGCTAAACCATCCAAACGGAAGCACCTTACAAATGCATCACCATCACTTTCCTCGAGGCAACCCTCAAAAGATTGCGCGTCAGAGAGCAAATAATCAGGTTTGTGAACACTTTTTTTCATTAAAAGTCATTACAACTTGTAATACTTTCTCAACCGAGGTGGCCACAGCCTTAGTGGACAGCTTTAAGTTGAAACCTGACAAACATGTACTAACACACGGATTATCATCTTCCTCGTTGACAAGTTGTGCCTGATGCATATCTCGAGACCTGCTAGTTTTTATAATTGCCATCTTCTCAGATCATTAACTTAATCTACCTCGCCTATTATCTATGTTTCCGCTCACTTGCTAACACTGGTCCTCTCTCACAATCATTACTACTAATTAATGAACCAAATCATCTATATATTACTTAGTTCTGAAATTTTATTTATATTAGCATTAGAATTTTATCCTTTTTATCCTTATTATTCTCCACATTGCAACCAACTGATCTCCGGTCTGATAATGTGATAGCTGCTGGTATCCAGACAATCTAGTGCCCTGAAACAAACGAATCCATTCAAATCCCGAGACATACAAACTCACAACCAACTGGCAACTGACTAGAATTAGACAGTCGAGTGACAAGACCCTTATTCATCGGGCACTACTGAACACCTGGAACCGTACCGACATAACAAGAGTTGAGCGCAAAGGAATCAGTTGGTTTATACTAGCTTGTGAAAAAGATATTGGATATTGGATTGGGTTGTAGTTTTGTTTCTAAGTCTATCAGTGTAAGCGAGGTTTTTAAAAGTCTTTATATAGTAATATACCCATTTGTATATCAAACTTTAATCAAAGTGGTGTGCAAGCATTGATAGTTTCAAACGTAACATGTTTCAGGTTTTAAAGTTGGCCTTTTTGAATTATTCTAATGACACTTTTGCACTGTTAAGAACAGGAGTTCTGCATAAACTATAATGTTTATGTTGCAATAAATCGCACATACATTTGACTTTACTACTGATTAAGGAAGGAGTTCATTCAAGTGCAACTCAATGTTGATATACTGGTCGATGCTGTTGTTATATTTATCCCTGTTTCCTATCCATCTTAAAGTATTTTGGCTTAAAAAGAACGACTTCACAGGGTTCTTTGTATGCAACTTAATGGGTTGACATTATAAGTCACGATGTTCGAAAACGTTTAATGTAGGTCGAACGAAAACAATAATGGATTGTAGTCGAGCGGAGGCACAACTAACTGAACAGATAACCTACAAGCTTACAGGAAAAGAACTATTCGAAACAATCTGTTTTTCATCCTAAACATACAGTTCTAAGTCTGACCAACCAACTGATGGATTTATACATTGACACCGATGTACGCCAGTTCAGCGTTCAAGAGGTTGCTTGTTTGCGCGTTCGTCTTGGCTTTGATTCCCACTTGCCAGATACTGATTATGCACTGCTGATGAGCCCCATGCTGGAACGAAGTAGCTGTTACTTGCCTTTAAGTTTCTAATGGTCGTCTGATATTGATCGGTTGATGATTTAAATGAAAGTAATAACGACACTTTTGTCCTTTTAGGTTCAAAGAAGACTCATTACAGCTTACATACAGAACTTAATCAATACTTTTTGGTGTTTATGTCTACAAAATCTGTGGCTTAAACAAATAGGAGTGCCAAAAAACAGGAATCAAGTGAAAATAAATTGACTGGTGGATTCTAATTTGTGAAAAAGATATTGGATACTAAATTAGATAGTGGATATTAGCGGGAATACTAAAAGTTTGCGATGCATCAGAGTTATCAAGGCTCCAGTCTTAACGGTTATTTGAGTGTCAGATAATCATGTCACTTATTCAGACGGAACCAGAAAATCCAGGACTGGAGGTTTCAAATACATATTCTAATTGTGATAACCCAACGACACTTATTTATGGTTTACCTTCGCTTTTCACTTCTGAAATTCTGTATGATGGTCCTAAAAGATGCATAGTCAAATCAAACGTGGGTAAGCTTTCTCCTGACAGTACTCCAAATAAAATAAACGGGGGTCATGAAGCAACCGGAGGTATCGCAGGTCTATGTCACACAGGAAGCTTTTCTATTCCTCATCCGCATAACTTAACAGATGTCATATCGAAAGAAAATAGGGCTTGCTCTCAAAACAATGGAACAAAGGAATCTTGTGGTTCAGTGGCCCATTTTTCAGAGCACGAGTTATCTGACATTCCTCTGAGTCCCAATAGTGAAGACAAGATGAATTTTGATGTATCAGATATTTCGAAACAGTTGACTTTATTGTCTCCTTTTTCTGGGAAAAAGTTTGCAACTATTCGTTCAGAAAGCAATTATATCCCGATGATGTCCAGTTTGCTGACAGGAAATAGTGATCGTGTTCGATCCTTGGATGTATTGCAGAATGGTACATTACATCCAAAGCGTAGCACCGTAACAATGCCCACTGTAGAAGATGGTCTTTCGAGTGGCAGTTACCCAAGTAGCCCGTGCTCTACTTCAAAATCTCGCATAAAAGACTCTACTTTCGACATGCGCTCGCTTTCAGGTAGCCCCGATTCAGTTACGGATATTTACTGTGGTAGACCTACTGTAAATTGTTGTTCTGGTAGTCTTGATGGCGAACATCTGCTGAACCCTGCTATAATACAAGACATTTCAAACGATATCATGGATATTAAAAGGACCTTAGATACTTCTGATCACACTAAAACATACACTCCTTCTTGTGAACAGAAAGCTGTAAATGCCTTACATGTGAGCAAGTCGACAGAGCAAAATACCAATCCAAGAACTGACAGAGTAAATGGTTGTCACTGTAGTGAGATGAAAACCGAATCCAAACACTTGAAAATGCCTCACAATAAAAACATTTCAACCTCTAGCCATACTTGGGATGAGCTTAAAAACCAGTAAGTGGAAAATCCATAACTATGCATATTTTATTTAAATAATTTTAAAACGTGGAAGCTTATCTATCACATCCACATAGAAATAGGGCTTTGTCGGTAATCGCCATTTTTTGCGTAACTGATAGAATTCTTTATTTCAATAGATTTTTCCCGTACAAAACTAAGTAAACTATGGTTATTAAATAGGTCGATTGATTAAGGTTTGGAATAGGACTCAACTGGCACAAACCAAATGATATTACAGTTCAGTTAGTCTCATATATGATACATAGTACTTATTACAACTTGATGTAATAAGTACAACTTGATACCGGGAAGAATCCCACACACAAGTGACTATTAAGTTGAAAAAGATTGTTATTGTGAACTGATATATGAAAACACAAGGCAACCATTGTTTTTTCGATAAAACTGTGCTATGGAGTACCCACTTTTCTACATCTTTAAAATCAAGATTATTAAACAATCATTGCATAAGCATTGCCTCAAAACAATATCGACCATTAAATAATTGTCGTCGTTACGTACAAATATCACTTGCCGCACCTTGGTATTACTTAAATAATGTTGCTACTAAATACAAGTCGTGTATTAAAGGTGGTGATTTGACTGTCATTCAATAATTAGTTAAGTGCCAAAATACACTAGGATAGAAGAAAACTGCTCGCCTACAGTTTAAGATACTCCAATTTTTATGATTACAATTAATTTGCGATTATGCTAATTACAAACTAACATAAATTGGTCGGGATATCTACACATGAATCGATTGCACCTATCACATTACAACTAGTCCTCAGATTTATATTGGTTACAGAGTAGTTCTCGAAAACGTCATCAACTAATTCCGATTGATATTTGACTTGTTTTCATCTTTGCTCTTCATGATGTATGTCACAGCAAAGTGTGGTGGTGAAGTGTATTTCGTGATTGAGATATCCAGTTTCCTATGGCACTCAGCTTGTGTGATAAAACTGAAATCTGTCTAAGTAGCAAAAGATTAAAAGATCTTGCGTGGTTATCCAAATGAAAACAGCTGATGCGTGGCGTAGAACCATGGCTAGTTTCTCCTTCAGATTTTGTTTCGGATCCAAAAAACATTCAGTATGACTTATGATTTGTCCTGATCATATAAACTAATGCGATTCCTCTTGTTCGGTATGCGTATATTAGGTTGATCGGCAATCTAAAATAAAGCTAGATATTTTAGATTACCGTCCAAGAATATTAGTACGATAGTGTTTCTCTTTTATTTCAGCAGTTGTTAGCTTCTGCCTTTATTCGTTATGCGGATATTGATGATTTTTTCATGAATGCCAGATAGTTCACCCAACCCTTGATGAAATTATGATGTGGGCCAAATAGGCATTTTGCATTTTGACCTTCTTGAGTAAGCCGGTAATGTTAACCTCAACTCAATTACGTTTTTGACAATTGTTTTATCTCTGTCTGATGGATGAGACGAGTTTCTTCTTACACGAAACATTAAGCCCGTAGTTTAGGCATGTAGTTTATAAACTATTAATTGAAGTCTAAGGTTTTCAAGCTCACTAAAATATCAAAAAGTTCATTGTCCTCGAAACAACCGGAGATCTCAGTACGTTTCCAATTTAGTAATATAACCTTGTTTTAGAAGTTTCTTATGAGTAGTGCCAAGACAATAGTACTTCACCGAATATTGGGGCTGTTTAGTAGACATAAGTTAGTAAATTAAAGATGACCTTTTTAAATTTCTCTTCAATGACTATGGGACCTTGACGATCCTCAACTTTTGTTTCTGAACAATTCTACTTCAATATTGTGTTTTTGAATCGACAGTTGGTTTTATTAGCACACAAATTATCCAGGCAACTCAGTGCAGTTTGTTGGTTTCGAATTTCAAGTTAATCGTTTTCATTCTGCTTCACCTACCTTAGTTTGAACATCCAGGAAGTATTACTAAAACGCAAAAGTGTGTTAACATCATCCAAGACCGATCGTATTGACAAGTTCATTGATTGTACCACTAACGTTTTAGTCTTATTTCATAACCTCGAACTTCATTCTTTTCTTTCGAACCAAATATCCCGTTGAATTCACAACTATATTATTATTATTATCTCCACTCCTTTTCTTTTCTACCTCATTCTTCGCTACTTTCTGTAGTAACACAAAGAAATATTTTGGTGCAGTATTCCTACCAGGTTCTACATTGACTAAATTTGTCTCTACTGACGTATAGACTCAAATTACTCAGTAAGATGACTCATGGTTTTCTCTGATGCAGAACTTACATTCATCCTGTAGCTGTATTCTCAATATTATATTATGTAATTTGGAAAGTATTGACTCATGTATAGTAAGTTACATTACTATCATTAGGAGAGTTGATTATACCACAAGACTGTCAGTGTTCCGTATGTGGAATCTAGCTCAAGCTGGTGACTAACATGCTGATTGTCTAAAACAGTGATTGTAGCATCACATAAATTTTTTAGGCCTTAATTCTAACTATCGTTCTGATTATTTTAACACCTGTCAAATGTACCTTAATATTTTCACCTATTTTTCCCCTTTTAGGGATAAAGAGAAACATATTGTTCAGGCTACTGTGGAATGTACCGATGCAGGTACATTTGATCAAGTTTCTTGTGAGTTAAAGTTTTAGCACCAGACTAGTGATATTTTTAGTAAAGTTTAAAACTGATCAAATATTGCATTAACCAAGATCCATCAGTAAATCTATTTTACTGCTTCTCATCCGCTATACACAACCTCAATTTACAACTACTGATATTATTTTTAACAAATATTTGTTAAATTAATCCGAAAAGTTACCAAGACTAATGCTCGGTTGCTGAACAGAGTTTACAATGATATCCACAGTAAAAATGCCTTGTTAAACTTTTACTGCAAGTTAATTACTAAAAACTGTAATTCACTCACGAAAATGTAACAATTGTAGTAAATTATATCGAATTTCATTGAAGTATGATATTGTAGTTAATGGCTTAATCTCTGTGTAGAATTTCGAATTTTTACAACTTATGAAAATATACTTTTATTTGCAGCATATCTATTATATTGACATTAAATATTGCTTGCAACAACAATAATACTTTTCCTTTTGAGTTGGGATTACTGATCGGTAGTTGCTGAATATTTTTTAAATTACTATGAAAGTTTTAATGTGCAATTCACGATTGTGTTAATGCACTACGTGTATACATTACTGATTTTTGTATTGGTTATTTGATGATTCTGAGACGGTGGATAGGATTTGCAGTCTAAGACGATAATTTTAGCAGAGCTTCATTCTCAGACTAAATCATCCCTATCAAGAAATTAAATTTCGCTAAGATGATTGTTTTAAATAAAGCTGTCGCTTGCACGTCAACAAATCAACCATACTAGATTAGTGCTCTAACACCAAGAAGGCAATCGATTTTAATAGTACCTACTGAATGTGTATTATACTTATTTCGGAAGACTATTCCGTCACCTTTAGCGTGTATATGCCAAAACGGATTAGAACTAAATGAGTCATCTTATCAAGTATAGCCTCACTCTATAACCCTTTGGCGTTGTTAGTACCACCCATACTACCCGGAAAACAGTTGCTTCGGTAGTTGTGCAAATTAGGTTTAGGATAGGATATTCCAAAAGGGCAGAGTATCTGTCAACTTGTGTGGCGTGTATTACATTCCCTCAGTGTACGTTGAAACCTTGTACAGATCATTTACTCATGCAGCTCCATATCTCCAGTGATGCTTCAGAAGTTGGGTATGAAGTGGTACCATATATCCGGTGTTATGCAGCCGGTATTGAAGCTTGTTCTCCTAAGGTAAGGGTAGCTTTAAGGAACGTGAAGACGGTACCTCGTCTGAAACTTACGGTAGCAGTTTTAGCAGCTCACTTAGGTCGCAGTTGCAATTTGAATCATGTTTGAAGTTTCCAGATGTCATCTTTCAGATAGATTCCATAATTGACTTGAATTATATCAGAAACAAATGCAGTCAATTTAAGACAGCTAGCCACGTACCGATACTTCACAGACTTTCCAAACCAGAACAATGGCGATTCATACTTATCTATAGTAAATTGAACAGCGTTATATACCAAATACTATTTAGATATCTAATTCTTGTGTAAAAATATTGTAGTAAGTGTATGATGCTGTGACTGTGTCCATGATTATATTCGAATAAAAATATTTGGTCAAATTAACTGATATTTTGATTAAGTTTTTAATTTTCCCCTATATATTAACATTTCTCAATCCATCCATAATTGAAATTCTGAAAAATAAGTCAACTGTAGCTATTCTAAAAACCAGTTCACCTGGTGAAAAACCTAACTTTTTCAATTTTATGTACTTGTTATTCATCGTATAAATTCAGTTCATAGTCTATAATTATTATTAGTTTTTGTTTAACCTTATTTCGTCGTTTTCATCTGGATTTATGTTATGCATCCTCAACCTATCTCAACGTACAATGCTGGTTGATCTAAGAATTTTCTTTAAAAAATAGGAACGAGTATATCACAAGATCTGTCATCTACTCATGAATTGATTGACTGTTGGTCTTTTCCGTGTTCATAAGTACAGACTTCCTGATTTCAATCCGCTCAATAATCGTAACTAATAGTTGGGAAACTTAGGTGATGCCATACGAGGTCGACTATAGTTTCATCCATTCCTTATCTTATTCTAAATATTCACTGTCATTCCTAACTTCATGTCCTTCGATATGGTATCGTCCATTTCAACTGTACTTCTTATCTTTAGATTTCTCTCTAAATTTATTCCTCTATTTTACTTCTCATTTCTTTTTTAACGTACTATTTTTCTCTGATGATGTGAGATGTAGCTATTTGAACCGATTCGTGTTAAATTCTTCCCTTCTAAAAAAACTGGCCTTCCATATCGCTTAACTTCTCTGTTTTTATTTTGGCATTTTTCCTTATTTTCTGAATATTTTTCTCACTTCTTGTATATTTTCAAAGAGTCAAAGGAATCGCTTACTATTTTTTTTAGGCAATGGTACTGATATTAAAAATAATATTCTGGAATCACCTACCAATTCATGTTCACACAAACTAATGCATCATTGGACATTCCCTGCACAAGTACATACGGTATATAGTTCAAGTGAAGATGAAAATTCCCATAAAAGTAGTTCTACTAAATCTTTTTCTAACAAACCTCAAATTACATCTCAAAATAAATCAGACAAAGAGCGAATTACAACATTTTCATCAACACCATCATCGTCTTCATTTGAAAATTCACAACAAAAAAATCAATTCAACGCATCAACTAGTCCAAGTAATCCAGGTATGGTAACAAATAAGTCAAATCCGAAAATTACAACTCGTACTAGTGTTAATTCTGATGAAATTTACAAATCATCTACGTCACGACATTCTGATCGTCAAGATGGGGGTAGGTTTTTGCTACAAAACTGAAAAGTTTATAATTTATTGTAGCCTTCATTAAGGTTGGAACTAAGTGGTTACAATTTAATTTTTTCATAATCTGACTAGCATTCATTAAGTTTTGAGTTCATTTCTTTTACTTTATTTCAAGTGGCTTAATACCTAATTCCTCCTACTGAAGTGTTCATTGAATAATACACAAATCTGTAATTGAATAGTCATGTTCAAAATAACAAGATATGAAAATGCTTGTCGATCCAGATTGTCTTGCTTCATACTACCATAAAAAAAGGAAATTAATAAGTAGCATTAATAGTGGTAGAAAATTAAATACATAAAACTCGAGAAGAATAAAGACAAACCAGGAATAAGCGAAATGGTATCAGAATACTAAACTTATAAGTACACCCATATCAAAGTAATTAATTTTGGAACCATGACATTTGGTATCTTATCTAGTAAATCCTAATCCAGAAAGTCTGCACCTTTAAACAAACGTCAGATAAACAATCAGTTTCATGGTATTATTAGCTGCATGCTGATTGGTCAAATCCAGTCCAGTCGATCACGTGAATTTCCTTCCAGAAGTTTTCTCATGCAAAGGCTATAAATAGACTCTCATTGTATTTATCTTTGCCTTCAGGCCTTCTAGCCTTCTAGCCTTTTTGCCTTGGCTTTCGCCATCACCTCCAGCTTCTTTTCCTTGCTATTTTGGAATACAATCCTTCCTGTTCAACCGTGTTTTGATTTGTGTTACTTGTCCAGTGTTTTGTGTCAAGAGTACTAAGCAATAAGATTTAGCCGGGAAATATCTTAACTAACCGTTACAACACATGGATTAGTACCATTGTCTTGATTTGTCTGTCTTGGTACTTTTGTAATTTCTTTTTATACTGGTCAGCTATGAATAACAATTTAAACGGTATCAACCACTTCAGTTTTTCATGTTTCACAGCCTCATCAGCTGATATCCCACCTCTTCCCAGTGTTATACACTTAATGTCATCGTTATTTATCCTGTATACCCACTATATGGGAGTAACACCCTGAGGTCATCTGTTGTGAATGTTAGTGTTTGATCCTCGATGATATGAATGAATTGATCTACATTCGTTATTGTTTCTAACCACGGGTTATTATTATGATAGAATACTGTCTAAGATCTCAAAAGCTTTTCAGTCTGTGAAGAGTAGGAAGTTAAAGATTTTACAAGACAATGCTGGTTTTATTTTGTTTTATTGTTCAATTAAACATATTCTCCAATGTTACTGACCTGTTAGCTGTTGAATCTCTCCACACATACTTAGCCCGTATGTATTACTATTATTGTCTTCTTTGTTATTATTTAATAACTACTGTCGATAAGTTTCTATTTACTCCTAAAATTAATTTAATCAGATTTCGACAGTGATGAAGATACAGCTCAACTATTAGATAAACAGTATCAGGCCGATAAACAAGTTTATATTCCGGAATTGAAGGACAAGTCTTGCATAGAGGTATGTTAATCTTGTTAGTTGTAAGTAAATTTTTGTTTTTCTTTAGTTATAGCACAGCTCATTAACTAACAGGGTACCAAGTCACCTGCAGATGTAGAGTAGCTTTCAGATGTTCGCCTCAATAGAGAGCTGTTTTTCCTTTCTGGCTTTTTATTAATAATATTAAAGATTCCCATTGTGAAAATTAGAACAACACATATAAGCGAACAATTTTGTTTTCGATTAGATCGTCATCAGCCTTTATTTTAATATACAATTTGAGTCAATAATCACAATGAAATGAAATAGATTACGTCACTACACACATACCAGGCAAAAGTACAAGTTGATAGTAGGATAGTAGTGAGAAAAATAAAATGTAATAACACAAGTTTTATCAATAGTAGGTCAAGCATGGATAAAAAATGGAAAAAAATCATTACAAAACATTAAGACCATTACGTAATAAGAAGTGTGTAAATATTTAGATAGTGAAGAATATAAACAGAAAGGCTGAGAATTACTAACAAATACAGTATGTGAAATAATACTAATAATAAAGTGTAAACCAAAAAAGAAAAAAAACTTTTTTAAATCTTAAATCGTTAGTTACGCCATATCCGGCCACGGAAGAGATAGGGGTGTCACGAATTTCTTCTGAACACATAAATTGGGGTTGAATGTACGAATTCCTATGGCTTCTGCTATATGTAGGAGACGGGATCGAACTCCGTTGCGAAATGATTGAGGTATACGATAGATCACCCGAAAAGATCTAGACTTATCTGCAATATGACCGCTATCAACCAGGCGTGCTAAGATAGAACTGTGTGTTGCCTTGATTGGTTAAACATTTTCATATAAATATTCATGTATATTGGAGTAAAGCCTGATGTCGATCTAATCGAAAACAATATTTTTATTAATACTTCAATACTGCCTAACTATTTACACTCTATTGTTTTTAATGCTAAACTTTACGTAAAATGCATGTCGTTAACTCTGAAGTCTATTCTCAGCCTTAAAATGAAGTCATTTAGTGCACATATTGTTGTTTAAATCTTCCAATTAAAATATCGGAAGAAATTCATGTTAAGTGATTAAGACGTCTCTGGTTTTAGGTTCTTGTTATTAGTTTCTTTCCTTTCAACTTGGACAACCAGCATCTGCAGCAATGCTGCCTTCTTACAAGGAAGGAAGGGGTTAGAAATGGTCGACCCTAAAAATGTCACACTTCACCTTACCTCACAGATTTTCATGTCACAATATATTGGAAAGGTATTCATTCCATCATTATTTCTCTCTTTTTATTCAATAGGCTGATCGTCAACGTCGAGTCCGAGAAGGTATGTTTATGTGTGTAAAAGAAGCATTGCTATTCACTAAATAATTCGTAATGATGTAAAAATTTATTGTAAACTAAAGTAAAATAGCTTTTCTCAACTAAGAGATTTCTGGATCATTCTCAGCCCCTTGCATTCTTATCGATTTCGATTGTTTTCTTTTGAATTATGTTTAGCTCTCAGTTGTATTTAGCATATTCGCTTCCCATATTCTTTATTTTATAGCGCTATGTTGCTATTTGGATAAATACACTTTTATACCTAACCCTGCGTTGTTAGCTATGATTCTCCAATAGTACTAACTCCGATGATCCCACGTATACTTTTTTGAAGTAGTTTAATTCAGGTAGCCTTAACGGTCAATTTAAGTTCAAAAACGCGTGCATGTTGGATGTTTAGATCATTTTGAGCTTTAGATTGTCAGTGCCGTTAAGTGCATTCGTAGAAATGGAATTAACCTTGAAAGTTTATCATATACAAATGACACTGTACTCCTGTCATTGATCAGGCTGGATTATCATTTTGGCGTTGATATCAAGTTTAGGTTCTAGGTAATTCAAAGCTATTGACTAGTTTTAAATAATAATAATAATAATAATAATAATAATAATAATAATAATAATAGTAATAATGACAAACTAAATGTTAAATGTATTACTTGTCACAATATGTTGAAAACTTTTAATCCATAAACTAGTTCCTAACGTCTATAATTGCATTTCCTTGTCAAAATAACGGTGAAAATTTCTCATAGATTTTTCAATTTGTTTAATCTTTTCCCAACATATAGCAACTTAGAGCGTTTTTAAGTTGTTGTTGAAATATAATTACTATTATTATCTCGGTTATAAAAACTGTCGATCGATCAAGCCAATGAGGGAACACTTTTAAATCTGACAAACATCCTAGTATATTACTATCTGTTATATCCAGGTTGGTTGTCTATGTTGTCTGGGCGTGTCATCGCTATACTCTTTTGGGTCTGCAGTCTCATAACTGATAGTTGAAATTAAGAAACCGCTGCAATTTCTTGATCTTACTGTTTTTAATTTAAGTTGGGAACCACTAGAATTCCCATGGTTCAAAATAGGAACACAAAAGAATAATGCAATGAATATTTGTTGACTGTCTAAAAACTCGTCTTCAAATAGGTCTCAAAATCACGTCATCATTAGGGCTGAATACAACCATGTATATATTAATTTCTACTTTATAGTCCCTCATATATGAGAAAATACAGAGTTACATTTAAAACCCGCTGAATGTAGTTGGCTTGACGTGATAGAGGCAATAAGATTGTAATAATGAACGAAAGATCACACTTGTTATGTTGAACGACGTTTGTATTGAATTAAAACAATAAATACTGACCTTAAGACGTTGTACCGAAGTCTAAACCTTTCATTCTGGCTGAAATTCATAATGAGTTAATACCAAAAATATTGACCTAAATAATGTTGTCTTATATTGTCATATCATTATTGAAATGTACATTAAATGGTAAATTGATTGGACAGAGAGGTAGTTTACAGAAGTCATCATGAATCATCGTTAAACCTTTCCCAAATGTCACGTACAACGTGACCTAATTGACGATGTAACTAATTTACCGAGCTTAGATTTCTGTACTCGGATTTGACCTATATACCGAGAGTTATTTCTCTACTTTTCATCTGTGTAAAATAAATGAAAGAAGCTTTAAAATATGGAAGTTGCCAGTTGGAAGTTGAATGTTTCATTCATCGAACCTGATTAGCTAAAGGAAGAAAAACATATCATGTGCCCGTGCCTATGTATTATCTCAACGTCAAACGATGGATGAGAAATTATAAACGGTTAACTTTTAGTCAAGGTCTCAGCCTACATGTTCTTGTTTAGGTTAAATGAATAATCGTTTATATATATCTATGAGATGGTGGAAGATGATGAAGATTTTGGAGGTGATGTGTTCTCTGAGCTGGAGAACAAAGAAAACTTTACACCTCCAACCTATATACCTATAATTTTTGGACGCTACAGTTCGGTTAGATGATCAAATTTTCATACTCATTTCAATCATCTCATTCGCTTAGTGGGTTTGGTGTTACTTTAGGATGTATGTTTTCATTAAATCAAAGTGCAGAATACAATAAAACCATTATTTCATCCATCTATAATCAGCAGCAATAAATGTCAGTTTTCTATTCCTTAGGGTTTCAGAATCAATTACTTCCTGATTTCCGATTTTATTCTGTAGTGTTGATAAACACTTCTCCTCAGTCAATCCCCTAATTAACAAATCTTCATATTCTAGTATTTATTATCTTATAATTATAGGTTTTTGTAATATTTCTCTATTTGATTTCCATCACGTTTCATAGTTTTCGTACTTTCATCTGTTTGACATCACTAACTCCTTCTTGAAATCCATAAATTTACAACCATATAGTAAAAGCAATATTTTTTCTTTCACTAATTATATACTCAACTGTACTACATAAAATTATTGATGAATCCTGTTATTATTGAACATTAAAAAAAGATAAGCGTTTAAATGTAAGGATTTCAATAAATTAAAGTAAAATTGTAATTAATCTGAACAAAAGTTTAGAACCGTCAACTTCAGTTTGTCAATAATTGGTAATATTGTTGTACATACAACACGCTATAGTATGTTCACTTGTTGAAAATGAAGTTCATCGTTTACTTTTTTTGTATTGACATGGTGAGTTTCAATTTTTTAGTCTCGTTTCACTTGTTTCCATATAAACAGCTTAGTTAAAGCATTAACGTTATACCTAGTCAAATGATTACACAGTATCCCAAGGTTGCACGGCCAGTCATCTACAAGTGTGGGTAAGCTCTAAAAAACAACTAGATCGTTCATCCAACCAACGTCACTACCCTCATGTCTACTGTGCTACTCTAACTACATATAAATACAACTTATTCATGTTGGAAGTCCATCTTCCTATATAACTCTATCTTTTCTATGTATAATTAGTCTTTTAAAGCGTTTGTAGTGTGCATTAATAACTCCGTCACGCCATATTTCTCAACTGGTCATCATACAAAACTAACTTGGTTTTCTGAACTTTTGCAATAGAAATAAATCTCTTCAAAAGCAAAGGTGAAATGGTTTCATATCGGTTACATTGGTTCAAATACTTTGATTTTTAAGTTCCTCTAGGCTTTAGTTTTATTCATTATTTCTGACACACTGTCCAAGAATTAGGCCAAACAACCAGTTATTAATTGACTGAAGAGTAAGTGACCTAAAAAAACTGATTTCCTTTAATTGCCTATAATGATTTGTCATGTTGATTATGTTGTAATCTGTTGTATATGAACTTGTCATTTTATTGCACAAAGAAAAGCTTATTTTTCTAGCTAGTGGTCTTGTGTTTGATCTGAAACCATTCAAGAGCTTAACATCAATTATGATCGACTCTGTAAGAATCGATGGAATGGTAGTAAGTGTTGTATACGTAAGTGCGTACGAGAGAACTATTAGTCAGTACACGATGATTCATTTTTACAGATTACTAAGGTGAAAGGCACACATCTGTTTAATAGAGATAATAATACCTCGTACTCAATCTCTTATTTTAATTGTTTTCAAGAATAATTATCTCGTTTTCATAATTTCAGCATAATTTATTTTACATGACTTTACCTTTCTTCCAGTCTCTGTTCGACATCCTGAACAACCAGATGTTCTCATACATGGATTATTGTTTCGAGCTCAGTATATGGGAAGTACTCAAATTTTATGTAACAAACAGTCAACACGAATGTCTCGTATGCTTCAAGCTCAAGAAATTGTTAATCGTATCAAGGTTAGACATTCATTTCAGTATCCTATATTCATAACTGCTAGTTGTCTCAGTAATTCTAGATCCCTCAAAAATTTTCATCACCAATGACCATTTGTACACAGTCAAATAGAAGACCTAACTCGATAGGTCAAACCCTGACTAAGAACACCTTAGCTATTGAAAAAGTTATTGGCTCTCTGGGCTCAGTAACTCAATGCATAACTCATCGCGGGTTCCAAGCAAAAGAGGCACTGAGTTTCAGTCTCAGATACTTCCACCGGATGACTTCCAAAATGGATGAGAAACAAGTCCTAGGTTTCACTGATAACTACAATCAGTCTATTCTTAAAAGACTTATGAAGAATTACTGTATCGAGTCAATCTGCACATGATGTACATATACAAAAGAGACTGATCGAAATCCAGTCTTAAATATTAACAGCAAAATGATTCCAACCTTTACAGATAATGATTGAAAACCTTAGTATCTAAGAGGAAGCATGATACTTTTACAGCAAATTGCTAAAGAATTCCCACGACATAGTACAAGATAATAGTTGCTCATCTTAATATTCCGCCAACCTTTGTCCAATACGTATTGAAAACCCTTCGTTTGAAATACTTAATCGTCTTAAATATTTCTGTTTTTGAAATTAACTATGGATTACGCATATGAATGACTTGTTATTCTCTGATTAATGCATCTGTTTTAAACTATGATTACCATGTAATTTATTAAAACTAATAAACAAACCACAGTCCTATTTTATTAATTTTCTTCATTATCAAAAAGATCCTGAATTTTATAACTTCGGATACCAGTAATTAAAGGCGGCCAAACCAAAACATGTCATCAGTTCATGAAGTAATTGACAGTTGGTTTGAGCCACATTGATAGATAGATAGATAGATAGTTGAGACCTGCCAAATAATTATGGCAAATGGTTGAAAGCTCTAGATGAAGTAGTTTAGGACTAGTTTCAGTGACGCGAATCCACCCGCTTTTTATCTTTCCTTAAATCCTTAGTTGCAAAATAATTTCAGATTCTTGATCCCACAAATCGATTCTCGAATCGTATTGTTCACACCTAATCCTTTTTTCACTATCACTGATACTAGTACTTTGCTTTTCGACTTTAAATTCATTTCTCTATATTCTGACTTGGTGTAGCAACTTGAAGCAATGGACCTATGTGCTAGGTTCTATTCTGCTTCTGACTGAATGACTTGGATAGCAATATTGTTGTTAAGCATCTTTTGAGAAGATCATTTTAGAAGAGATTACATGGTCTCCAGCCATGCTGTTATTGAAATACATATTTGTCTGCGTTCTAATGGAGATAGAGGATTGGTTCGAAAACAATTCACTGATGAAAGCATCTTGTCCACTTTCTCCATCATAGATATGCTCCTAGAAATAACATTATCCTCGTCTGAATTTTCAGGAGTAGACCTTCTACCAGGTGGCTTGCTTATTGACTTAGAATATGCCGATGACATTGTCGTACTTGGTGAAGACGCTGACAAAATGCAGAGTCTTCTGACTACCCTAAGCAACAATGCAAGCATGTTCGGGATGCGGTTTTCCCCCTTGAAATGCAAAATGTTGCTTCAAGACTGGGTTGCATCGGCACCTGAACTAGTGATAGGGAGTGAAGTAGTCGAACGTGTAGACCGCTTCACTTATCTTGGGAGTCTCATCAGTGCCGATGGCCTGGTGACTGACGAAATCTCAGGTCGGATACAGAAGGCTCGATTGGCTTTTGCCAACCTGCGTCACTTATGGTGTAGGCGAGATATCCGTTTGCTGACTGAAGGACGAGTGTACTGCGCAGTAGTTCGCTCCGTCTTATTTTATGGCTGTGAAACATGGCCAGTGAGAGTAGAAGATATTCTTCGGTTATCGGTTTTCGATCATAGGTGTCTTCGAAGCATTGCTCGTATATCGTGGGACACCCGAGTGAACAACGCTGTTATTAGGAAACGGGTGCTAGTTAAGAATGGCAGATCAATAGATGAAGTAGTGAAACTTCATCAGTTGAGGTGGTTGAGACATGTGCTGCGTATGCCTAACCACCGACTGCCTCGAAGAGCTTTGTTTTGTAGTGTAGGAGTAGGTTGGAAGAAAGTTAGGGTCGGCCAAACCAAAACGTGGCAGAAATCCATGAAATCATTGACGAGTGGACTTAGCCATGTCGGTAATTGTCGACTACCCGGTCGGGGTCTGCGAGATGATAATGATCGATGGTTAGAGACCTTGAATGACATGGCTCAAAATCTTTTGCAGTGGCGCCGGTGCATTTATTCTCTGCGTTCTCTCAAATCCTAATCTTCTGGGTTCTTCATCAACTCTACTTTTGACTTTCTAAACTTATCTCACTGAATCATACTTGTTGAATAACATCTTCTAATCCTAACCTCTCCGACTACTTCTAATACCTTTACTACCTCTTCTACTATTGGATTTGAATTGACAATTACATTTCTGTGCTGATGTGGTATGGTGACATGAACTGATGTACTTATGTACGAAGTTCTACGTTGCATCTGACTGACTGACTGAAAGCATCTGGATTGAGCTTAATGTGGAATTAACTAGTGCCTTACTAAAACGTTCATTGGTTTTTCCTCTTGTGTAATTTGTATACACATTATATCATCCTAAAAATTCTCATTTCCTAATTGTCAGTGATTCTTTTGAACCATGATTATTGTATTTAGTCTTCTACCATTATATAAATATGATTGCTGTTCTAATATCTTTGCTTTATATCTTGACAACATTTTTTCATGACCCTAAAGTAATCTATATGACAGATTTGATAGATTCATGTTTGTGTCATTTGCGACGATATGGTTACAACTAACTTATCGACTATCGATTGTTTTAAATGCTAATGGGTAGATGCTTACTTTTTATCAGCAATACGCAGTTGATGAGAACATTGAAACACATATCGTGACCGATGTGATTTTAAATTTGATATTCTTCTATTTTCTTCTTTTCTCTTTTAAAAATGCAGAGTGTAAGCGCAAATCCATGTTGTGTTGTTGTATCTTTGTAAATTTCTGTTTGTTTTCTAATAAATATAATACACTGTGTATAAATGTATATTAATAATCAGTATTATTATGTTTACGCTTGTTCATCATTTCGTTCTTAGCGTTTGCAAGCACACTATGCATTCAACCTTAAACACTTGGGTTTACATGATTATTTTTAAGTACCAGCATTATGCTACACCAAAACAAATAAAATCAAATTTTTTAATGCCATAAAACTCATCAAAGAGTGATTAGTAAAGTTAAGTAAGAGTAAACGATCTGAGAAAATTGGTGTGAAGATAACCTAGATATGGCAGAATCGGACAGTACTATTTGTTATACTCTTACACCAGTCAGTACGCAGATGGCCTTTTACTGACCAATACACGACAAGGATGGAAGACTTGACTACTCTGTCCTCGAAGGTAGGCCCAATACTGACTTGCCCCAGTCCAAGAAGAAGGACGAAGATCAATTACCACCAGTCCAAGATTTTCGTCATCATATCTCAGACATCTCTGTGTAAACACGCACTACCTGATCACATTGCATCAATAAAAGGAAATTAACATCTATACATGAATGAACCAAAGGTGGCTATTAGTAGAGAAGACTCAAATAATAAAATAGCAACAGAGTAAGAATAACAGATCATACAACTAAAGTTGGTGAGTTATTCAAGAGCTCAATATACAGGGATTATATATAGTAGAAAACCAACTCGCCAAGAAAACGCTAACCAGAAACAATCATTGAGGCCATTTAATCTCTGCCTAGAAGTTGAAGGGTCTTCATTTAGAAAATTTATGACACCTTATGATTAAAGCTGAGCTTCTTAGGAAGTCACCGATGCCCCTTCTCCTAACCATAGGAAAAATTAATATAGGTACATAGAATGTTTGCGCAATGTGTGTAACCGGAAGAGCTATTCAATTTACTGTGGAAATGAAAAGATACAACTAGGCGGTGCTTGGAACAAGTAAAGCAAACCAAACGCAGGTTGGGTAAAAAAGACTAGCTTCAGGTGAGATGCCGTTGTATTCCGACCATAAAGAAGAAAATGTCTCACATATACACAAAGAGTTGGTTTGATGCTATTCAGAGAACCCAAAAAAGCAGTCATAGGATGGGAATCTCATGGACCAAGGGTCATCATAGCATCCTTCAAGACAAATAAGGAGGAAATCGCAACTATTGTGATCCAGTGCATACAGAAGAGCTGATAGATTCATTCCAAGTGAAAACTAGTGTCAGATAGGGTGGCTAGCTGGATTATGAAGATATCAGCATCTCAGAGGAAGCATGGAATACATTAGACAGTTCGGATGTAGCTGAACTTCGCAAATGATTTAACTCTCTTATCCCACACACAACAACAAATGCAGGAAAAGACGGCCAATGTATCAATAGCCTCGACAGCAGTAAGACTCAACATACGCAAGGGAAAAAGCAAGATCCTTAGATGTAACACAACACTCGCCAACCGAATCGCACTTTATGGAGAAGCTTAGGAAAATGTGGAAACCTTTATATATCTGGGCATCACTATTGACGAACAAGGAGGATCTGATACAAATATAAAAACATGGATTAACAAAGCAAGGTCAGCATTTCTACAGTTGACAAACATCTTGAAGTCAAAACACCTCTCATCTAACACCAAAGTCAGTTTTACTGTATGCAGCTGAAACTTGGTGAACTAATGCAACTATTGTCGAAACGGTACATTTACTTATAAACAGTTGCTTAAACAAGGTACTCCATATCCGTTGGCTGAACACCATCAGCAACAACCTACTGTGGTAGCGAACTAACCAGACTCCATCTGAGGAATAAGTTGGGAACCAGCGCTGGAGGTAGACAGAATGAACATTGCGGAAATTATTCAACTGCGTCATAAGGCAAGCCCTAACTTGAATTCTTCAACTCCAGTGGAAAAGAGAATGATTAAAGAACACATTACCTCGACAACTGCAGGCAGATTTCCAAAGAATGAACAGCATTTGGGTGGAGCTAGAAAGGAAGGCCCAGCACAGATCAGATTGACAAATACTGGTCGGTCGCTTATGCTCCGTTAGGAGTAACAGGCGCAAGTGAGTGAGTTTGTGAGGTTGCTAACCACATGCCCAACCCACCTTAATCCGGGGTTTGGATCGGCAGTGACCGTTGAAGTGTCCTAGACGAAGTTAAACGATAATACTACTTCGAATATGTATCATTAATAATTACACTAAAACTAAATGTAGGCATATATTAATTTTCAATATGTTTCTAAACAAAGCTGATCATAACAATGCATGTTTCACAAATTTTTAATTATCTAATGATATTTTTTGTGTCATCGGTATGTGTTCACTGTCCACATTGTTTACAAATCTCCTTTTCAATTCATTAAACCGATGCATGTTTGGAATAATGTCTACTTTAGAATACAACGCATTGTTATGTATGTTTTTATGTATTTAAAGTGCATCAATGTTTACTGAAGTGGTAAGTTGCCAAGACAATCAACTGCTTGATTAACAGTGTTCAAACTGTAGTCTTACCGAATTTTGCTACGTTTCAGTTACTTAGCAACATATCGGATCCAAGGAGTGCACATACTTACAATTGTTGTTTTGTTTTTACTTTTAGGCTCCGGATGATGAGTCACATCCTAGTGTAACAGTTGAATTGTTTGTTTCAACAGAACGTATCATGATATTAAACAGTAATCTTGAAGTGAGTTTCGGTACTTATTTGTTTCAAAATGTTATTTGTGTTTAGATATATCTCTTTTTCAAATCAATCATGAACCTTCATTGGTTGAAATGGTTAAGGCATGTGTGACGTATTCTCAACCCAACTCCACGCGCAGTGATGGCTGGTATAGGGAGTAGTTTGGAGGAAAGCTAGGGGTGGCTAAATGAAAATGTGTTATTAATTCACAAAGTCATTACCATTGAACTGAGCCATGCTTTTTGATTCAGATTACTTAGTCGAGGGTCCATACGATCATCCCAAAAAATAGTTGAAGATTCTGGGTGTCATATCTCATAACCGATCACAGTGGTGTTCACTCTTTATTTTCATTCCCCAGATTCTTTCATTCAATCTTTTTGAAGTATACTTTCAATGTTTAGTTTCATTGCTATTCATCCTGTTCAGTTAATCTTGTCCTGTTGATGTGATCTGACAATTGGAACAATTTTTGATATATATGTTAAGTTTTTCATTAATTATAACTTCGACCAAAGCAAGAACAACAGGCTTAACTGATTAAAGTGAGTTCATTTATTTCGTGGATTATTGTCGGCTGATTACAACAGAAACAATATGACTACTTATTTACAACCAATGTACATATATTTTCTATCATTTTCATAAAGATTAGTCGAACAACGACAAAAGTTATGAAATAATTATAAAGTAGAAAAGTGGATGCATACTTATATGTTACTAAATGTGAAGATTCTAGAAGATAAATCTTAAAGACAAGTTTCCAATGGATGAAAATTGATTTCGTAGTTACATAATGATAGTTATAACATTGGACAGATTATTAGAGTAAGACGAACAAAGCTCATAAAAGATTATAGGATGAAAAAAAGAAATTTGTTAATGAGACTATGAAATAAGAAAAATTGAAGTTACCAGGGTAGTGCGAGATTTATAACTTCATTCTTCTGACTACACAGATATTCACTGTCGGCAAGCGATGGTTTATCAATTATTTTGAACGATTTTGAAACATTGTTATTGTGTTCAGTACTAAGCGGTTGACAGACGGTTGACATTGTCATTTTGATTGTAGTTGTTGTGAAATGCAAACAAGAACCGTTATTTCTGTTCTTTCAATGTAGATGCTTTGGTACGAGCGTGAAAATTGGTAAATACAACTGGAAATATTATCTATTTGAAAACTTGTAAGCAGCTGATGAGAATCTACGAATTAAATTAATTCGCCACACTCTGTTACGCTTATTATCTTTGCTTTAGTTCTATTCATCAGTAGGAAAAGTTGATTATAGCTGACTGATTTCTATATCAGTGTATGGGTGTATGTGTAGTAGTATAGGCAAGTTAGTTCATATGATTATAGCTAAGTTTACAGTTTATTGTCTCACTAAACTACAGAAGACAACATCACCAAAATGCTTCACTTTTATTTTCTTTTTTAACAAAAGTTTTTGTTGTAAAGAAGGTACAAAATATTTATTAAGCTCAACAAAGAGAATATAATTATGATACAGTAAGTGATTTGAGATGTACTCTAGATTTAGATTTATTGACTATGATTTCAAATCACAGAGTATCACCTACTTCACCTACTACGAAGTCATTCATTTCTAATATTTAGTAGTGAGCCTATCACTTTCTGATCAATGCCAAATACGATAAGACAATAAAACTGTGTCATCGGTATATAAGCGTAGGTGCAATAATATGGTTGATGTTCTAGGCATCTTATACTTCTACAAAGATCCATCAATTTATTTAAGTCACTCCATAAATTTCTTGGTTTTGTCTGAGAATTGGTGAGCCTAATGCTAATTTCTGTTTTGTTGCTGATATAACAGTGTGATTTCGCTTTATTGAAAAAAAGATCCCATTTTTGAATATTGAATTTCTTCAACTGAATAACGAGGCGAAGATGGCATTAAGAACGACGTAATGACCAATCAGTTGTGAATATGTCAGTCCTACAAAGGGTCGATCGTGGGGGGCGTTCCCAATAGCTCTGTGGCAACGCTTTACACTGTGAAGCCCAATTATGCAGATTTGAATCCACCAGGAGGCATTAGTCCCTTCAAGATTACTTGCACGCCTTGATGACGAGTACCGAATAATACGAAATCTATACACCAAGTTTCCTACCAAATACATCCGATCATCTAACATGTCTTTAAATGTATTCACTTACACAACAATCAAGAGGTTTAAAAGAAATAACGAATTAAAAATTTTCCATGTAAAATAATTAAAAATGTAATCAAAATACGTTTATTTAAAAGAAAGTAACTTTTATCTGATTCTTTTGCTTGGTTTGTCTTAGGATATCTTGATCGATCATGTATTACGTACAGTTTCGTATATTGCTGATATTGGCGATCTGTTCGTGCTAATGTCACGTCGATTAGATCCTTCAACACAATCGGAAGAATTTGAAAATTATCCTACATCTAATAATCAGAATAATGAACTGAAAGAAATTTCAAATTATAACGCTAATAATAATAATCATAATAATAATGCTAATTCTAATTCACCTGAACAACATCACTCAGTAATACCAGCTACTTCAAATATTTCCAAAGTTACAAAATCAACAACTATTGAAAAATTAAAAAAACCTATAAAAATGATTTGTCATGTATTAGAATCAACAGAAGTAAGATTTAAATTTATTGTTATAAAATCTATTTTTATTAAGTCCTATTTTATATGATTTCAAATATTGTATAGTATGAAAGTTTTGTTATGTTGACGTGACTAATAAAAAAGAAACATTCAGCCGAATACACTGTATACGTAAAATAGCAAAAGATTCTAGAGTTTGTAGCTTATATGCACGTGTTTATTCGACCGAATAACCCTTGATCACGATCATTTACAGTGATGTGTACTGATCTTCAAAAGATGAAACAGAGCAGTTAGAACAATTTATTTCAGGCACCTGACTCAAACAGTTCAACTATCAAGCTGAATGTGTGAGACAGTTATGAATGAGCTAAGATTTACCATAAAAATAAATTCATAAGTGAGTCATTGTCCATCAAATAAGTGTATTAGTTAGTTTAAACGATTGATCTTCTAGTTAGTAAGCGAAATAAGTATATAGGTATGTACAAAGGCATAAACTCACATAATCGAACCTGTGCAACTCTGTCTTTTGTTAAGGTTATTATAAAAATCTCTCATTGTTCTAAACATATGATATTAAATAGATTTATTATTATCATTATTAACTTCCAGCTAATGCAATCTATTGTTAGATTTGACGTAAGTTTCGAACACAACTCCAACATGTAGTTACCAAAAAAAATAACACTTCATGGATTTGATCCGTTAGCATTGGTAAAGTGTAACAATAAAAGAGAGTGGTTGACAGTGCAGATAGAAGAAATATTACGAAGTGACGAAGGTATTTGATCGCGAACTAGAGGATCTTTAGCGCTGTTACGGTGGTGTGAGCAGTTCTAACTTTCTGGTTGCCTACAATATTGGAAAAGACTTTTCTCGAAGGATCTAACAAAAAAAATCAGATTAGTAATTGTCTTTTTGATTTGTGAACTTGAAAGCAGAGTTCATGGGATAATTACCTTAGCGAGAATAGTTCTTCATATCTTCGTTCTGTACTCTTAAGGTTATATTCTTAGGGCCAATTTTTTTTCAACACCTACCTTTCGTTGTGAGAAGACAGCATTGCTACAAATGTTGGTGGTTTAAGAGAAACAACTTAATGCCATCATACATGTACAGTCGATAGTAAAACTACGTCCTCGAACCTTTAGTTGTTATCTTTAGTCCTATTGTTTTCCAGTCGACGATCGTAGCATAGTAAAACTTAAAAAAGAACAAGTGTTCTAGCCAATATAGCTCGACTGGGTTTCTATGATAAGCACGTCTACTGATATCTCTTCAGAGTAGGTTGTTTGATTAGGTGAAGTAAGTTGAAGGTAAACAGATTCTAGAAAGAAAATCAACTAAATTAAGGGAAGCTGTGAAGCGTATAATTTCTAACGCGACATAGTACAACATTCACCGAAGGATTCATTTTTGAAAGTCCTCCTCCTTCGTAAGTAAACTTTAATTTTGACCTGTTGTTAGTAAATTGAACTAATTGATTTGTTTTTTATTCTTTCAATAAAGGCTCAATTAATTGCTCAAACAGTTGGACATGCATTTCAACTTGCTTATTTAGATTTTCTACGAGAGAATGGTGTTGAAGATTTGGGCATTATAAAACAGTTAGATTATGATGATGTTTTAAAACAACAAGAGATATTCTGTGATGAACTTTCTTTATTCTGTGATAAAGATAATCATAAAGAGGTATGTTTTATTTTCTCAATGATGAGAACAACTCAAGTCTATTTTAATGTTTTGCTATTTTTGATTAAATAAATTACGTATTTATTGTTGAGTGGATGATTTTTGGCTTGATTGTCCATTAACTGTGGTATTCAGTCAGTTTGGGTTTTGATTGTGTTGGTCATGATAATTTTATTATTATTATTATTATCGTAAGTTGACTGAAATCAGATCATTGGAGGTACCACACTCATAATGACCTATCAACATCCTGAGTTCAAACCATGGCTTGGATTTGTCAAGGTTATGTGTTTATTCAGTAGTTTCGTTCTAAAACAAAATCGTACTGTTCAGTGCTTCCATTGATTATCTAACTAGAAATACTGGTACGTGATGTAAACTCTGAATAAGATTAATGTTAAAAATCACAAAAATGAGTTCACTAAACTGTTGTGATATTTACAATCATGTATTATTTTTGTAACGATTGTGTAATATCAATTTGCAATACATATTACCAACTAGTCCTCAAATGATAAATTTATTTTATGACTTGCGATTTGATTGAAATCTAAACAAGAATTTGTACTGTTTTCTGTAAAAAAAAGCTAGTTTCGATCATTAACTAATTTTCACAGATCTCCCTTAATAACTGAACCAGATTTTTTTACTTACTTACTACTGAGTAGAAAAAGGAAGTAGATAATTTGACCTTCTAAAATTGCAGTATTTTGTTTTTGTGACTGGGCATATCTGTAAAGTGTATGGTGATTGGTGCACATTAGCCTGTCTGCAACTAGACGGAATGTATTGTTAATTCTCAAATGTGGTGAATCTGTAGAATTTATCGAACTTACAAGTATTTTATTGAAACGTTTTCTGTTATAATGTCAAATTGACGGAAAACTATAGTCAAAAGCAGTAAAACTAATTCTGGATTGAGAATAAATGATACCGCCATCCTTTTCTGAGATAGTCTCACTCACATTCGGGTTCCTAATACCGGTTTCCTTTATGAGGCGGAAAAGTTGTCTAGTGTTGCCTATCGCCTCTGCCTTTTCCACCGCTTTTGCTTTCGCCACCCACCACTGTTCACGGTCGTTACGTAGGCTTTTTATAAGTCTGCGCCTAAGCTGACTTCGCTCTTCATCATGTTCAGAGCCAGGCGGGATAAGTTTTCGAGCACCCGTCAGTTCGGTAGATGCTACTGAAATCCACGGCTTTATCCTAGCCTTATGGTTTACCTTACTAGTAGATATCACTACTGTTTCAACAGCCTTCTTGATATCATTCCAACCTGACTCCGGATGGGAATCACTTGCATGGTCGCCTAACTGTTTTTCTAGTTCCTCCTAAGATATTTTCTTAGCTTGATTATCATTAAGTAAAACCCTAAGAGGTTTTCTTGCGATATTTTTCTGGCGTCCAGTAAGGCGCAAACAAATACGCGTTCGCACTAGGGCATGATCTGAATCTAAACATGTGCCTTAGAGCGAGCGACAGTCCTCTATTGAACCCCTCCATCGGTGGCTGATGGCGATATGATCTAGTTGAGTCCAACGTTGAGACGACTTTGGAGGTCGCCAGGTCAACAGATGTTTTTCCTTATGCCTAAAGTTAGTGTTTGCTAATTGTAGGCGGTTATCTGAGCATACTTGCAGCAGACGGTCGCCATTGTCTGTTCTTTGAGAAACGACACCATAACATCCACCAAGGTGTCTTTCATTTTCACCTAGTCTACCTACTTGAGCATTGAAGTCACCAGCCATGATAACTATATCAGAGCGGTTAACTTTTTGTAGGAGGTCCGGAAGCTCTCTGTAAAACTCATCTTTAACCTCGTCTGGACTGCAATCAGTGGGGGCGTAGGCTGATATGACTAAGAGGAAACGACGAGTGTCCCTATCCTTCCGAATCCCTACTGTCCTGTTTAGTCGGTCGGTGCACAAACGACTATCTACTGGGATCCAGTCTAGGAGAGCTAGTTCTGCCTTACGACTCAATACTATACCTACACAGTATACTTACACTCCGGCAACCTTACCGCCGGTGACGGAAATCCGTGAGGTAGAGTGAGGTGTGAAATTTTTAGGTTCGACCTTTTCTAAACCTTCCTTTTTTGTGAGAAGGCTGGTTGTCCGAGGGAAATACCTTACTGCTGTCACACCCTTCTGCAGTCAGCAGTACGACTTCGGCCTGAGACCTTGAGTAGCTGCTTTTAGTCTCATCGTTCTCCAATCGACCTGCCTGGCATGGTAGAACCTTCAGGAACATAAGTTCCAGACAATATAGCTCGGTTGGGTCATCACAATAGGCAAGTCCGACCACCACGTCAAGGTAGCAGCTTCGGTCGGGGGAATTTAAAGTAAAACACGATTGATTGTTCGATTGATGAAGGAAACATAACAGCAAGCAAGTTCTTTTGGGTAATATGTACATATATATCATGACGAATTCATCAGTTTGATAAATATTCATTGAAATTATTGAAATTTTTTGATCTTCTAATGGTTGACTCAATAACTAATCAGCTAACTGATGTGGTTGCCAACCCACATCTCAACCCTCCTCCTTTATCCGGGCTTGGGACTGGCATTAGCTCCAAAGGATTTACAGACGGAATTAAACTGAATTTGTGAATACAAATATGTTGATATAATGGAATAATCAAAACTAATTAATCTGCACTTGTTGTAATTTTGGATTAGAAATTCATGAAAAGAAGGGAATCATATATATTAAATAATTTGTAATTTATGTTTATCAGTTCACTCTCAGTAGTAGTAAATTTGCTTACACTAGGTACATATTATGTATAGATTATTGAAAAATATTTTGTTCAATTTTTTATGAATAAAAATCATAAAATAAATTAAAACTCCATGAATAAATGGTATGTGAACTGTTTTTCATTATTTCTAAATAAAAAAGCTTGACTCAGTTGTATTTTAGTTATCAACAACATAAAATCTAATACAAATGCTTATTGGTGGAAGTTACTACAATTTTCATCAACACAATGAATTAGTGAAAAAAATGTGAAATTATCGAAATCGATAAAGTCGCATATCGCAAATTTAGGGAGGGTTTATAGATGACATGTGGCTCAGGTAAATGATTTGGATGGAGTTCCGTTTCCTAAAGTAGGTGTGTTAATTGTGCATCTTTTGTTATTTTTCTGACCAACAAAATTGGTTTTATGCTGTTATGTGTCACTATTACTAATTTCGAAAAGAACTAATGATAGTGTTTGTTGTACAGATCTTCCCACTCTGAAGTTTAGCATACCAGTTGTACTCATCAGTTAGGGTTACATGATCAGTCAGAAACATCATATATATTTGTTATTGAGTTATTATTCATCGAGTTAAAGTCCTTCGTTTACGTAACCTTATCTAAATATACTCTGGTCATATACAATGACTCTCTTAAGGTAGCCAAATGCCTCGTCATATGAGGGGCGGATTGCCGGATGCCTGAGCCTGGCCTCGGGTTAAGCAATGTGCTGCCTTTGGGAGGGTTGTGGTGGCGGCTACCTCTTCGTGGTCCCGCTAGGCAACGTGGCGGTGGATACATCGCTGCGGCTAAAGTCGCTCCGAACGCTGGGGGTTTCGATCTCTAAGCGTAGGAAAATTCCCGAAAGGGACGTAGTAGGATGATCGAGGGCGGCCCTGGACCCTATGTTCGGGGAAGCAGCCGCAGACATCCTGTACTACTGACGCCGACCCTATGTGGTTGTCCCTTACATGCTTCACTCGATGTTGTGTGTGAACTGGCGTCGAGGCCCCTTAAACAAGGGTCTCAAGTTGGGTTCCGGTGCTTTAGTGCTGTAAAAGGCATTGAACACCAATGATGTCTGCCCACTTCTGTGGGATGAGCCCTGCTTGGCTGAGCGCTTGCGTTTGGTCGAGTTCATGACATCTTCCTCATGGAAGGGTGTACGTTCTAGCTGACCTTGTGGGACAAACTCGATCTCTAGCTTAATGCGGGCTAAGATTGGCCTCGATCGATTGTATCAACGCAAGGCAGTTGGAGGCCAGACGGTTGGAATGGCTGCTGGTTAGTGCACTGCTTGGGTGGCTCGGTAACCTTCTACGGGGTCCCTTGTCCGGAAGGATAGGCCCGCCTTGCCGCCCTCGACGATTGGGGATTGTAAGCTGTGCTTTGGTTGGTGGGATTTCTTGATTCGTAAGTGCCCGTGCAGGGGCCACTGCTCGTGTGCGTGCTTTTTGGATGTCCGATGTGTCTGCAGACCAAACCGGACAACATGTATGTACCCGAAAGGGGCAGGGGTCAGTACTGTCGGCAACAGTGAGTATCCTTGCGCTGTATATCAACGCAGCGATGTGCATGTGCAGCAGGCATGTTGGTTGACCATGAATACAATTTGCACATTATAATTGTAAATACTTATTCGGAATTTTAACACACACACATTTATTAGTGTTCATAAATATAGTAAAACAGAAAAGAAGATTGATCCACATAAAAAAAATTTGACCTTTTATTTTCTTAGGTTACTATACCGAAACAAAAAGGTGAATCATTAGGTGTTGTAATTGTAGAATCTGGTTGGGGCAGTTTATTGCCAACTGCTTTATTAGCTAATATGCATCCAACTGGTCCAGCTGCACGATGTGGACAATTGAATATTGGAAATCAAATAGTAGCTGTCAATGGGCAAAGTTTAGTTGGATTGCCACTTTTAACATGTCAACAAATAATTAAGGTAAATTTTGAATAATAAATAAATGATGAGTATATTCATGTTTATTCTCACATGGATACAGTGTGTTTTTTTGTATTTGAATTCTTTTATTTTACATTAATTAAGGTGTGTAACAGTCAAAACATTTTTTTGTCTCTTGAGTTAAATAAAATTATGCCATTATGCAACTTCATTGAGAAGATATGTATTCTATGTGTTCCTTATTTAGTCAGTCAGTTAGTTGTACGTAACATAGAACTTGACAAATGTGTACATTAGTTCAAGTTGTCATATAACATTAGCACAGCAGGATGAAATTGTAACAGTAAGTCTCAGAGTAGTAGAAGTAGTAACGGTATTAGAAGTAATCAAAAAGATCAAATGTCATAGATATATTTCGTGAAAAAATATCTATAAATTAATAAAATAAAATTTCAATCGAAGAGAAGACAACGAATAAATGTTTGTTGCAGACGATTTTAATCTTTGTCACCTGATGTCTTCAATTCTTGACGCCCGTAATCATGCAAACCTCAACCAGACAGACTACATCTATCTACATGGCTCAGTCCAACAGTTTTTTTTTGTGGACTGGTGTCATGTTTTGATTTGGTTGCTCCTAACATTCTTCCAACTTGCTTCTAAATCAGCCATCACGCATTGAGGTAACTGTCTTATTAGCATACTTAATACATGTCCAGACCATCTCAACAGATAAAGATTCACTACCTCATCAATCGATTCGCCATCCTTATTATGTAATACTCTGCGTCTAAGCATACCATCGCTAACTCCTTGGTCCAAATATACACAAGCAATAGTTTGAAAATATTTGTGATCGAATACCAGGAACCTACGAATGTCCTCTACTCTTAATAGTCATGTTTCACATCCATAAAGTCGAATGACGCGAACTGCTGTGCAACAAACACCCTAGATTGCAGACGGATATCTCACCTACGCTAGAAGTTACTCAAGTTGGCAAAAGCTAGTATTATTTACGCCTGTTACCCTCAATGAGGCATAGGCCACTGACCAGCATTCTCCAACCAACACTGTATTGGGCCTTCCTTTCCAGTTTCGTCCAATTTTTGTTCAGTCTTATCATGCCTATCTCCATTTCTCGGTGTAATATGTTTTTCGGTCTTCCTCTTTTCCTTTGACCTTGTGGGTTCCAAGTTAGGACTTGTCTTGTGACGCAGTTGGTGTCTGTCCAATGGATCCGAAGTATTTTGTGTAGACAATTGTTAATTAACACTTGTATCTTCTGGATGAAGTTTTTGCTTGGTGCTGATAGAAAAATTATGCCTCTGTAGTTTTCTCACGCTTGTTGAGATCGCTTTTCTTTGATGTCTTGATAAGTTGTCCTTTTTTCTAGTCTGTCGGTACTTGCTCTTCATCCCAAATCTAGTTGAATAGAATGTGAAATATTTTTGCAGTTGCTGCCACGTCTGCTTTCATTACCTCTGCGAGAATGTTGTCTGGTCCCACCGCTTTGCCTCTGTTAATTTGTCTGATGGCCATACTGATCTCTTTATTGTTGTTGGGTCAGCATTGATTCGGAAGACCGTGGGTGCTGGTTCGATGTTGGATGGGCTCAGTGGAGCTGGTCGATTCAAGAGTTGCTTAAATTGCTCTACCCACCTGTTTCGCTGTTCTTCAACGTTGATGATTGATTTGCTTTCCTTGCTTTTTAATGGTCGTTCTGGTTTGTGATAGTTCCCAGCGAGCTTCTTTGTTTTATCGTACGATCGTCTTAAGTCTCCTTCTCTTTCAGCCTTTTCTGCCGTCATTGCTAGATATTCTACATATTTTCGTTTGTTGGCTCTGATTCTCCTCTTCACTTGGTTGTTTGCCACTGTGTATTCAGCTTGTTGCTTGGCTTTTTCTGGTCCTATTCTGCTGATAGTAATTTGTGCCTTCTAGCTCCTCCTTTCTTGAATCTTATTCAGAGGACCAGCAGAAATCCATTCCTTGTGGTGTTTCTTTTGGCCCAGAACCTCGTGACGTGTTGAAGTGATTGCCTTCTTTATCTCTTTCTGATTATTCTCCATAGTAGTCTCCTCCCTATTGGATAGATCGTGAAAGACCTGGAGCCTATTGCTAAGGGTTATCTTCAATTCGTTGAGTTTTACGGTATCCCGAAGAAAAGCCTATCAAACTTTTGTGATGTTGTCCGCCCTGTTTTCCAGTGCTTCTTGAGTATCAGTTTCGTTTCGGCTACCGGCAAGTGGTGATCTTAGACTACATTAGCTCCTCTCTCGGTTCTCACGTCCACAATATTCCTTCTGATCTCATTGATGCAGATATAATCGATTTGGTTCTGAGTAGTGTGATCCGGTGAAATGCATGTAGCTTTGAGTATGCGTTTATGTGGGAGATTTGTGCCGCCTACTACCAGTTTATTTAAGGCACACAGGCATTTCTCAACGATTGACTGAATCCTCTCGTAGAACTGTTCTTTAACGTCTTGATTGTAATCGTTTGGTAGGCGCATAGCTTTTGATGACGTTAATTGTAATGCCCTCTCTCTTTGTTTTGAAGGATGGTTTGAAGATCCTGAGTCTTTGAGATTCCCATCCTAGAAGTGGTTTCTGCGCTTGCTTGGACAGCATCAGGGCAACTCCTTGTGTGTATGTGTGTGTATAGCATTTCCTTCTTTATGGCCGGAGTATAACAGCAGCTCTCTTAAAGCTGCTCTTTGTTGTCCAACTTGCGTGCAATACGTTTCGCTGATTCTAAGCACTGACAGGTTGTATCTTTTCATTTCTGCAGCAACTTGGAACACTCTCCTGGTCCCCCACATTGTCCGAACCTTAAAGAATAGTTGCTCTGGTTGTCAGAAGGGACATCGGCCTCATGAATTTCAAAGGAACTTGACAGGGCAGAGTTTAAATGGCTTGAATCATCTTTTCTGGTTAGTGTTTTTTAGCGATTTATTTTTCCACTGGATGTGGTGGACAACCCCCTGCCGAACCCTCCCCCTTTTTCCGGGATTGGGGCTGGCAGTGGCTCCAGGCGGAGGTAAAAGCTAATCTAATCTTTCTCATTAGATTCTAGGCTATCAGATCTGATGAGACTCTCAAGATAAGTGAAGTAGTCGATTCACTCCCTAATATTAGTTCAAACGTTGCCACAGACAAGTCTTAAAGCAACATTTTGTATTTAGAGGGGTATATATACCTATTTCACTAAGATGTAACATTTCAGTAGTCAGAAATAAATTAGTTTGCAGTTGATAAGCCCAAAGCCTTTATTTTCATATATGACTAGTGTATAGTATTTAAGTGAGTAATACTTAACTGTATATGGCATAAATATCCACTGCTTAAGCTTACATCTATTATATCTATCTTTTTATCGTTATCAAGACTCAGGCTGTATGTTTTTTTAATCTCCGTAAAACCTTGGATTCTCCTCAGTATTTTGTTGACAGGTGGTGATAGAGTGATGTATCAATGTGTATTTCGAAGGTTGTATGAATATTATGCGAAACTTGTTTATGAACAAACACTACTAGTTATGAAACCTTAGACGATTCACCACTGATTTGATGTATTAAATCATTTTAACAATTTTAATAATGAACTAGTGTAATTCATTTATTCAAAATATATATTTATGTACACTGGCATTTGAGCCACACCATTTTATAACAGCTAGTAATACCATAAAAGAGTTTAAAGCGAATCAGATGGGACCAGGATTCCAACTATCTAATGAGACTAATAAAATCAAATGTCTTTATAATTAGAGGTTATAAGTAATGGCTATTTCTTCCAAAATCGATCCGTTTAATTTATTTTTCCAACTGCTTACGTTATATATCTTTAAACATTCTCTCGATATAAACGTTTCTTTTACAGAACTGTCGGCAATGTACAGTTGTGAAATTGATGATCATCAACTGTCCACCTGTTGTTGAAGTACTTATTCGTCGTCCAAGTTTGAATTATCAACTTGGTTTCAGTGTACAAGATGGCGTAATTTGTAGTTTACTTCGTGGTGGTATTGCTGAACGTGGTGGAATTCGTGTAGATCATAGAATTATTGAAATTAACGGTGAAAGTGTAGTTGCTGTGTCACATGAAAAAATTGTACAACTTTTAGCTACTTCAGTTGGTGAAGTAAGTGTATGAAGGTGTATAATTAGTTAAAAATGATAACTTTATTCAATTTAAAAGTAATTAAAATTATTTTTCATACTAAAAACTACGTATATATTGTTAATCATTTTTAGAATATGATATACCCTAATAAATACAATTTAACTTTGAGTAAAATGTTGAAAATGAAAAAAACATGTGTTTTGTTCTAATGTGAAACTGCTCAAAATAGTTTTTAACCTTGAACCCCGCTATGAATTAGATCCAGATTATTCACAATTCACAGCGAGCATATTCTTTGTTGTCACTCAACGTTAAAACCCACTTATCTATTTTAGTCAATTCCTAATAGGATACGATGATTATCCAGTGTTAATGTTGATAATACTTGTCTTACTTTCAAAATAATAAATCATCAGTTTGAACAATTGAACAAAGCACGCACATTATTGTAACGCTTGCTTAAATAATTCCCAGCTAAATCCTAGTGCTTAGTATTCTCTGACCACAATACACTGGATAAGTTCCAAAGAATCAAAAACACGGTTGAACAGGAAAAGATTATCTTCCAAATAGTAAGGCTAAATGGAAATAAGAAGGCAGAGGCAAAATAGATACAACGTTAGTTTCTTTATAGTATTTACATGAGAAGGTTCTGGATAGTAATTCACGTGATCGACTGGATTAGATTTCGCCAATCAGCATGCAGCTAACAACACGAGAATTTTCTACCCTGTTCTCCAAGGATCGATCAGGCGCTGATTGGCTAGGAAACTAGCCAATCAGCGCGCAGCTGATGCGGTTATGCTTTAATTCCATCTATGTCCCACTAACACACATTACCAGTGGTATTGTCCTTTCTATATTTTCTAGCTCTAGCAAAGATTCACAACAGTACTCTAGATATAAGTTAGTTTGGGCATTATTTTCAAAACGATTTTTTGCTACAACTAGCTATTTACATGAATCGGTTTATTTCGGTCAATAATAAAATTAAACTTATGCAAATTACCTCCACTTGATAACTGTTTTTATTTTTTGAAATTTTCTCTCAATAAAGATACATATTCGAACAATGCCTACCTCAGTCTTCCGTCTATTGACAGGACAAATAATTCCTCGGTATATATAATCAGAATAAAAGAAATTTGTTTGATTATGTATAAAACTATCTTTAGAAATTCTATCTTTTGTATTTGGAGCATTTATTTCTGTGAATATTGGCAACGTTTGTCAAATGATCTGATTCAAAATATATAATAATAATAATAATAATAATCATAGGAATTTCCAGCTTGTACATTTACTCCGTATGTACACTGTCAAAAGCGTTGATGGCTTTATTATTTCCCATATACACATATATAGCCAGAAGTATTCTTATACATATAATTCTGAAAATGTTTCCTTTATGCAATATTAATCATATCTAAACTAATCATGATGTCATTTTATTTCTTATTATTATTATGTGGTCTGTTTATTTTTTTTTCTTTAAAACGGAATAATATTATTGATTTTCATTACATATATGAATTATGCAAAGACAGGATAATTCGCATAAAATAGTCTAATTTACTTGTATTCTATCTCTATATCGGCTTCTATTTTTTAGCTTATCGATAACACACATAATCTGTCTGTCATATATGAATCATATTGTTGTCGATTGTATAATAATTACACTGTATTAATTTATTTTCATTGTTCAGGTTTAATTCAGAATATTATTTTATGCATTTCCATTTTTATTATCTATATCGTAAATTTTTCTTTCCGAGTTTCCTTTTTTTTTCTTATTCAATGAATTTTGTTTATTCGCTTGTCCTGTATAATTTATTTATCCCATGTTGGCAATTTCATTTGCTTACATCATTTGCATCAATACAATCTCTTTTTTTTTCTTGTATGTATGTGTGTGTGTTTGATTCCTATTCAGTATTGTTGAATCGGCAGTGGCAAATTTTATCAGCCAGAAAAATAACACTGTCTGTCTGGTGTGCTGCTGTTGTTATTGTTGTTGTTCTGTCTTTTTCAGAGTCCATTTATTTGATACAAAAACTATCATTATCTCTGTAGTAATCATGTTTCAAAAAAAAATTTCTTGCCTCTTAAATAAAAAAAAACTAAACGCAATACTAAGATCAGTATTTTGAAAAAAAAACATATCGGTAATCATTGCAGATATATTACTACATAGATTGTTGATAAAATATGTTCAGGGTGTCCAAAAATTGATAAAGAACGTATACTTAAATGACTAATATTTATATGAATTTATAATAACAAACTAGCATTGAAACAAATAGGTAAATTCTAACACTAGGACACTTTGTATTTTTATTTATATCAGTCAAATAGCATATCATGCTAAAACGTATATGCAATAATCTAAACTCACCTACCAAATCTATCCTGTGTTGAAGCAAACGAAATTAGTTTAAAGTCTGAAAGTGAAAATATTAGCTCTAGGATATAGGTAAATCCGTCTGATGAGTCTCAAGTAAGACGAAATACACATTGCCAATTGGTCGTATTCGAAGCCATAATACAAAATTTAATAAAATTTCAAATAATGTCAATCCTTTCAGGATACGCGTGATGAAATGTTTCTCACTCTTATGGTAGGATGGATCGAAATACCGCGCAGTAGACTCTCCCTCTGGCCATCTGACAGATATCTCGCTTACGTCGTGGGTGATACGATTTTGGACAAAACCAGTTGAGTCTTTTGTATCCGTGCCGGGATTTCGTGACACAACAGGCTATCAGAACTGATAAGAGAAGCGGTCGACACGCTCAACTACTACATTCCCTATCAGTAGTTCAGGTACCGATGAAACCCAGTCTTGAAGCAACATTTTGCATTTCGAGGGTGAGAACCGCATCCCGAACATGCTTCCATTGTTACTTAGGGTGGTCAGAAGACTCTGCATCTTGTCAGCGTCTTCACCAAGTAGGACTATGTCATCGGTATATTCTAAGTCAATAAGCGATCCTCCTGGTAGAAGGTCTACTCTTGAGAAATCTGACGATGATAATGTTAACTCTAAAATCATGTCTACGACAATGTTAAACAACAATGGATATAGTGGACAGACCTGACGGACGCCACTTAAGGTAGAGAATTCCAATGACAGTTCGCCGTAGGCTCGTGTAAGGTTGATGTACTTCTTCGGTAAACCTTTCAATGACAGACACTGCCACAGAACCTCACGATCAACGGAATCGAATGCCGCTTTCAGGTCCAGGAAGACGACTATTGTCGGTCGCCTAAATATGTGTCCGTGTTCTAGGACCTGACGCATTGTGTGGAAATGTGGTCTATACAGCCACGTCCAGGTCTGAAACCAGCCTGATTTTCTCTAGTTTGCTCCTTACGAGCTTTAGTTAAGCGTCGAAGTATTATTGAGGCCAATATTTTGTAAACTATATTAGTTAGACTGATTCCCCTGTGATTGTCACAAGAGGACTTTTGTCCCTTCTTATAAATTTGGACAATTAGCGACTGGGACCAGTCAGATGGTATTACGTCCAGTTCCCAGATTCTACCTGAGATCTCAGTCAATCTAACTGTTAAAGCTGGACCACCATCCCGAAACATCTCAGGGGTCAGGCTATCAGGACCTGCAGCTCGCCCTCGCTTCAGATTTCCTATCGCCTCAATTTCATTAGGAGTCGGAGGACTTAAATCAATTTGCAATTCAGGATGACTCGGGATCATGGGCAACCGAAGTGTGGCTGAAGGCAAGTTAGACTGATCCCTAAAGTGTTCTGTCGATCGATCCAATCTCCTTATTTCTTTAGTGTTTGCAAAAATAGGCGGTTATCTGAGCATACTTGCAACAGACGGTCGTCACTATCTGTTCTATTAACGGCGACACCATAAGATCCAAGTTGTCTTTCCTCTTCACTTAGTCTACCTACTTGAGCATTGAAGTCACCAGCCTTTATTACTATATCAGAGTGCCTGACTTTTTGGAGGAGGTCCGAAAGCTTTCTGTAAAACTCATCTTTCACGTCGTCTGAGCTGCAGTCAGTGGGGGCGTAGGCGGAGACAACGAAGAGGCAATGGTGAGTGTCCCTGTCTCTCCGACTCCTTACTGTCCTGTTTAGTCGGACAGCTCACAAACGACTATCTACTGGGATCCAGTCTGGGAGCGCTAGTTCTGCCCTACGACTCAATGCTATATCTACACCAGCGAGACCCCTGGAAGCAGCATCAGGGTTCCCAGATACACGAAGGGTAAATCGAGTTGCTTCTGTATCTTGAAATGGTGAGGTGAAGTGAATGACGCTACTCGGATCCTGTATGCGCGTTTCCGAGACGCAGCATACATCGATGGCGCGAGATTCTCAAGTCCTAGCTAAGGAAGCCTGTTGCCCTATTTGACAAAATTTCCGTACATTAAATGTTCCAACATGTTGTTTAGAACGGGGTTTCAGGAGACCAGGAATAAATAACATTTCGTGTACTCGAATCGTTAGCATTAGCGGTGCCAAGTGGTAAATGTATACGAGAAGAGTCAGTGGTGGAAACAAGAGAGTAATTAAGGGGTGTAGGAATGATTTGATTGTGACCAAGTTGACCTCATGTGTTGTTACGGATATGTGTGCGGATGTTACTTCCCGGATGCCCACAACTTGGAAGTGCTTCTTGAGGAACCTGAAAATGAAGCTGACTTAGCGTTGGCCTTAGTGACCTAGGAGCGTGTCTGACAATTTCAAGGGACAACTGCTCGAGGCAGTTCACGCACGGCCTTTGTACGAGTAGTGTTCGAAGTGTTGGCTCTGCTGTTCAAACGGCCTTACCACCAGAGACGGAAATCCGGGGGCCAATGTGAGGTGTGACATTTTCAGGGTCAATCTTTTCTAGCCCCTTCTTTCGGTTGTGAGAAGGCAGCATCGCTGCAGATGCTGGTTGTTCAATGGAAACACGTTACTGCTGTCATAGTTCTCTACAGTCAGTAGAACGATTTGCCCTTAGTCCTTAAGTTTCTGCTTTTATTCTCACCGTTTTCCAATCGACCTGCCTGACATGGTAGAACTTACAGGAACATATGTTCCAGCCAATACAGCTTAGTTGTGTCATTACAATAGGCAATCCTGACCACCACGCTAATGTACCAGCTACGTTCGTATAAGAATACAAACCCTATGAACAAATAAACTTACATTATGCTAGTTTGAAGGGAGCATATCCAGTAATATAGTTTACTGTTTCGTAAACATAACTCTCGAATTCATTTAAGAAAACTGTTAAGGTATTTTATCAATGACAAAAAATACACCTAGGATATTGCAGGGATTATAACAATTACTGTGAAACTAAAAGTTTAAATTTTTTGAATTTCAAAAATTCTTATTAGAAGCATAGTGACATAAGTTTGGGTCATTAGTCCATGAAGTAAAAATCCTTCGATTCATTCTGCTATGTGACTAAAAAAGCCTTAACGCACAAAATGTGCCATTGTTGAGCCTGTTCTTCCCACTTAGCAGATTCTCATTGTGACTTTATACTGCTTAAAAGGGTATATGTGGGTAGCATTTTTATAGATCAAACTTTGTTTTATTTACAGTTCTGGGTTACAGTTGGCAGCTACCGTATCAGTACAAATCTGTCCGGATTATCGCAATAAATCTGCTCGATCGAACCAGTAATACTGAATCCCACTATCCTTTTCATTATTTTGCTTATTTTCTGTTTTTAATACAATTTCCCCATTGAGCAACGACCCATACTCTTATTATCCTGGTGTTATTTCTTGCCATTAATATAAATCAGATTATAAGCTGAGAGTCCCAACCTGGTTTCAAGGTTTTTATGCCGATTACCTCCGATTACCCAACATCTCAACAAACATGTCTATGGTAAACAACTCCATTGGTCAAGGATTAAAAGAAACTACTGGATACTTTAGCAAAAATATTTACAAATATACAAAGTAACGATTCACTTAGGAACTATGTGGGCAGAATCAATCTAGTTATTTATTAAAAGTATTTTATTTATATATGTACATTATATATAAATATATGATACAATTACAAAATTCAATATCCCGGTGGTAGAGCTGGACCTTCTGGCTCAAATTCATTATTCTGTGCACATGACTTCTCATCATTAAGTAAATGGGCATCATTTGAAGCATGAGTATTCAATTTATTCTGTTGCCATTTATCATATTTATGCCATAAATTTTCAAATGTTACGACTTTTTGACGTAAATGTTCAAAATTTTCCAATTTTGGTTTACGCCATAGACGAGGTTCTTTGTCTAGTGCACCAGCTATGATTTCCTAATATGCAACAAGAATAGAGTAAATCAAAACATGTAAGATAAGATGACATTTCTAAATGAAAATCAAATCGTAAAATTTATTTTGTCATACTTCAACATGATTACAGAGTTTTTTTATGAAATGTAGTGAATAAATGTAAAATATGAAACTATGGTAGTTTATTGAATAAAAGTATAGTGTAAGAATTAGCCAATCAGAATCAAGTACATTATTTTCAAGCTTTTTGCGCGAAATTTAGAAATAAATGATTTGTAAATTCCGCTGCATAAAGTATGTGGCAGAAATATCATTCTTGTGGTGGTGTTTCGTTCCCTGAGCTGGTTGTTTTGGTTGTGGAGCTTTCATTGTTCTTCTGAACAACATCATCAGCACGAACTTCAGATAGAAGTGAAGCATTAGAATCTCTCCACGTTTGACCTGTAGCTTGTTCTGCTAACCTCGATCTACAAAATAAATTGCTCAAACTGTGAAAAACACTACATAGGACAAAGTGGACGACCTCTTCAGCTCCGTTTACGTGAACATCAATTAGCAGTGAAACGCCACGACAACGCTTCGCTTATCTCAATACATACCGACAACTATGGACACACATTTGATTGGAATAACGTGGAAATACTGGGTAGGGGGAGGACAAAGAATACTAGAGAATTTTTAGAAGCTTGGCACTCAGGTCAATTAGCAATCAACAAACACATCGACATTGACCCAATTTATCAACCAATCAGGAGAATCATAGATGACACTGGATCAAGAAACAGGTCAAAAGAGGGAGGCAATCAAAACATAGTTGCAAACAACGACAGGTCAAAGGTCAACAACAACCAATCAAGATCGACGTTAGCAGAACAAGCTACAGGTCAAACGTGGAGAGATTCTAATGCTTCACTTCTATCTGAAGTTCGTGCTGATGATGTTGTTCAGAAGAACAATGAAAGCTCCACAACCAAAACAACCAGCTCAGCGAACGAAACACCACCACGAGGTCTGTTGTGACTTACTACGATTAGTACAATTTGATAAGCTGCATAAACATGGATTCATATGCTTAGGATATATGAAGATGGATTTAGCATCGAAACATTATTTATACGGGTAATAATAATAATCTCAGAGAACGAAACACCACCACAATCATCCACCTGAGCTACAAATTTTCTCCACCATCTCAATATCATTCTTGTTCAATGGTCAACGTTTAAAATCGTTTCAAATTTTTTCCTTACTTGAACGCTGGTTGACACACAGCTCAGAATCGATCACAATGGCGTATTTACTTTTTTATCTTAAAACTATATTGTAAGTTCCAGTATTTCCGCATACATATTTTTCAGTTTCTTCTAGAACTTTATTTTTAATGCATAGTATTTTTCAATATCATTGCTACTTATTTTTCAAATACATCTATCTTGTTAATTCCATATGGTATGACATAGACGGTATGATAAATTTAAGCTAATAGTTATTTTCGGTAAGCTCTATGCTCTTTGATAATGACTGACTGATAAGAAATTTGAAAATGCTGATCATCGTAACAACAATCTTTAATTTATAAATAATATGATGATTTCTTTTATATATGAATCCATAAAAAAATGTCATAAAAATTTAATTACATATTAATTAATGATAAACAATAAAATGAATTTTGAATATTCCACATAAAAAAAATATTGTTGACAATCATAAGAAGAATTGTCAATTTACATTGTTTAACAGTTTATAATTTAAAATATCAATTAATTGTTTTATAAGCCTGAAATATCTCCTTTATTAGGTAACATTTGTCGAGCATTTCTAGCTTTTTAATGTAAATACACCTTGCAATTTCATTGAAATCAAGAGTCGATCAATATTAGATCACCATTAGAAGCCTGTAAGCATTCGAAGGTCATTTTGTCCTAGTATTGGGACTTATTAGATGCTCACATCCACGACCTTTGGACGCGGGAATCTTGCAATTTACTATATTATTATCTACAAGGTTTGTGGAAGAAAATGTGGAACTTTGAAGAAAGTCATTCTCCGTTGGATTTAATCCATGTATTTCTGTATAACATTTTATTAAACAATTGCTTTAAGTTATGTAATTATCGTTTTATCTTTTTCCGTTCAGATGCTCCTGTGAATAATTCATAGACTGGTTATTCAGATTTCTTGTAGTTGCGACATATTGTGTAGCTTAATACTTATGCTGAGTTATGGTCTTGTATTTTCTAGAAGTAATCAAGTGAGTTTTCAATTTGAACAATGTAGGACAGTACGAGCTGTTTACTTAGTTAGTCTTCGCTGGTATTTGATTTAATAATATATTAGAATATCTTGTCAGATATTTATTGTTTTTGGATGTACAGTAACTGTGTTAGAAAACTCACTGTTAGTAGGACGGGTAGCAAGTAATAAGATTTTTAGACTAGTTATTTGATATACGCTAAACTGAAGTCTTAGATAGACTATCATCTCCTTTTTTTGAGCTAAGCTTTACACAGTAATAGGCATTGTAATAACAATTAACCGCAACAATTTCATACACTTCATCTTATATGACCAATTTATTGTTATGATTTGTAAAGATTGTCAAAGTGTAAAAATAAGTTTCATTCAAATGAAAACTACTTACACGACCGGAATATGAAGATATTTCGTGTTCTTCATCTAAAATACGTGCAAAACCACCATTTTTAGTACCGAATTCTACAGCTAAATAAGCGAATTTCGGAGGAATTGCACCATATGCACCAGATCCACCCGGTTTTAGTGTGATTAAGCGACGATTTTGATCCCATTCAGAGCCGATTTCACTTAAGGCTTTCTGAATAACAATAGGTTGAAAAAAAATAATTTTTCAGAATTTAGAGAATATCATGAAGTGATTGAAATGAATGTAGGTTTTCGTATAGATAGAGGGAAATAATAAAACAAAAGAGTATGTTATCAATATAAACAAATGAGAGCACGTGGATGAAGCCATAAGAAATTAACACACTAATCTATTTTAAAACAAACTGTTCAAGATCCTGATATGTTAATCTTAAGTACCTAGCGTAGAGCACCACAGATCGTGTCATCAATGGTTTCAATTGGTTACTTTATTGTTTGATCGAAATATGTTTTTCCAGATGCACCTAGTAGATTATCGATTCTTGCTTTTTGCTAATTATTCCGAGTGCATACAGAATGCTGCCGTCGATAATCTATGGTGCATACCCTAACTCCAGGTATGGATTCAGTGAAGCTTGCTGTTTTTATGCGAGTGGAAGATCGACATTGGTTCGTAGACTATGGATTATGAAAAAATCAGTGAGAGGAGCTTTCATAATTGTTCGCTTGTAGGTGTTAACAACTTGTTTCACCTAACAATTTAAATGAGGATGGCAAAGAAGGAAATGAACTTGATTGATGTTGTGCTCCTTGTCGAGACGTTTAAACATAACTGGCCGTAAACTGTGTGCCATTTTCCGAAATTATTGATCGTGATCCCATTGAGACGCCATTGTAAAAGTTATAAGGATTACTTCAAATTATCTGAAGGATTAAATATATGATTCTATTGAAGGGCCTGTGAAGTCAGCACAAAATCATGACTTAAAGTTGTAAACAAATCTGTATATGTTTATTTACAGGACTAAGAGCTTATCATCATTAACTAACAATCTGGAAAGATAAAGCTACTTAAATGTAAATATTCAGCAGTTAACTAATCACTAGCATGTCTTCTCTCTAAAAGAAATAAAACAAAAATGTATATATGATTGTTGATTGATTTAATATTGAAAGATTTTTCCAATTTTTGGGTGTTTAACATTTTGACCTATTATACATGTCATTCTGTACATAAACTAGACTAAGTATGTATGTTTAAAAAAATTTCTTTGGTTCACACTAAATTGATTATTTGTATAGCATTAAATGAGAAGTCGGCACTAACAAATGGACAATGAATAAATAACGTGTGTATTTTTATTGCCTAATTGCACTACATCAATCAGTCTGTGAATAGTGTACCCCGACTGTAGCTACTACCTTGACGTGGTGGTCGGGCTTGCCTATCGTGATGACCCAACCGAGCTATACTGGCTGGAACATATGTTCCTGCAGGTCCTACCATGTCAGGCTGGTCGATTGGAGAACTATGAGACTAAAAGCAGCTACCCAAGGTCTGAGGGCGAAGTCGTACTGCTGACTGCAGAGGGGTGTGACATCAGTAAGGTGTTACCCTAGGACAACCAGCATCTGCAGCGATGCTGCCTTCTCACAAGGAAGGAAGGGTTTGAAAAGGTTGACCCTAAAAATGTCACACCTCACCTACCTCACGGATTTCCGTCTCCTTGGGTAAGGGTGCCCACTAAGGGCCTTTAAGAACGGAGCTAATCCTCTAAATACCTTTCATAAAAAGGCCGTGCGTGACCGGCCTCGAGCAGTTGACCCTTGGACTCTGCGGTCACGCTCCCAGGTCTCCAAGACCAACACTAATCTATCTTCCTTTTCAGGTCCCTCAAGAAACAACCTTCCATGGTGTGGGCAGCCGGGAAGTAACAACCGCCCTCATACCCGTAACAGCACACGAGACCAAATTGGTCACAATCAAATACTTGCTACACCCACAAATACCTCTCTTCTCTCCACAACTAACTCTACTCACATTCCCTTATCTAACTGCACCGCTAATGCAAACGATGCGAGTTCACGAAACGTCGTTCCTGGTCTCTTGATACCCCGTTATAGACTACATGTTGGAGCTTTTAATGCACGGACATTAAGTCCCATAGGGCAACAGGCATCATTAGCTAGGACTTGAGAATCTCGCTCCATCGATGTATGCTGCGTCTCGGAAACGCGCATACTGGATCCTAGTAAAATTATTAATCTGATTTCACCTCGTCAAAATAAAGAAGCAGCTCGATTTACTCTTCGTGCATCCGGTAGCCCTGATGCTGCTTCTAGGGGTCTTGCTGGCGTAGGCATAGCATTGAGTCGTAGAGCTGAACAATCTCTCCTTGACTGGATCCTAGTAGATAGTCGCATGTGCGCTGTCCGACTGAACGGGACAGTAAGGACTCGGAAAGATAGGGACGATCGCCGTTGCCTCTTCATCGTATCTACCTATGCCCCCACTGACTGCAGTGCAGACGAGTTTTACAGAAAGCTTTCGGACCTCCTCCAAAACGCTAGGCGCTCTGATATAGTATTAATGGCTGGTGACTTCAATGCTCAAGTAGGTAGACTAAGTGAAAATGAAAGACACCTAGGTGGATGTTATAGTGTCGCGGCTCAGAGAACAGACAATGGTGACCGTCTGTTGCAAGTATGCTCAGACAATCGCCTATTCTTAGCAAACACTAACTTTAGGCATAAGGAAAAGCATCTGTTGACCTTGCGACCTCTAAAGTCGTCTCAACGTTGGACGCAACTAGATCATATCGCCATCAGCCACCGATGGAGAGGTTCGATAGAAGACTGTCGCTCATTCTGGGGCACATGTTTGGATTCAGATCATGCCCTAGTGCGAGCGCGTATTTGTTTGAAGCTTACTGGACGTAGGAAAGACACCGTAAGAAAGCCTCTTAGGGTTTTACTTAATGATAATAAGGCGAAGAATATATTTCAGGAACAACTAGAAAGACAGTTAGGCGACCATTTAAGCGATTCCCATCCGGAAGCAGGATGGAATGATATCAAAAAGGCTGTGGAAACAGCAGTGATATCTGCTAGTAAGGTTAACTATAAGGCTAGGATGAAGCCGTGGATCTCAATAGCATCGACCGAACTGTTAGAGGCTCGAAAACTCATCCCGCCTGGCTCTGAGTTCGATGAGGAGCGGAGTCAGCCTAGACGTAAGCTGACAAAAAGCCTACGCATAGATCGAGAACAGTGGTGGGTGGAGGAAGCGAGAGAGATGGAAAAGGCAGCGGCGATAGGCAACAGTAGGCAACTATTTAGACTCATCAAGGAAACTGGTATTAGGAACCCAAGTGTGAGTGAGACTATTTCAGAAAAGGATGGTCTTATCATCCAATCCAGGAGACTGGACCGATGGGCAGAACAGTTTAGGGATCAGTTCAACTGGCCTCGAGCCACTCTTCGGTTACCCACGATCTCCAGTCATCCTGAATGGCAAGTCGACGTAAGTCCCCCTAGTCTTAATGACGTTGAGAAAGATTTAGGAAATCTGAAGCGAGGACGAGCTGCAGGTCCTGATAGACTGACCCCTGAGATATTTAAGGATGGTGGTCCAGTTTTAGCAGCTAGGTTGACTGAGATCTTAGGTAGAATCTGGGAACTGGACGTAATCCCATCTGAATGGTCTCAATCACTGATTGTCCCAATTTATAAGAAAGGACAAAAGTCTTCTTGTGACAATCACAGGGGAATAAGTCTAACTAATATAGTATCTAAAATATTGGCCTCAATAATACTTCGGCTCCTAACGAAAGCTCGTGAAGAGCAAACTCGAGAAAACCAGTCTGGTTTTCGACCTGGACTTGGCTGTATAGACCACATCTTCACATTACGACAGGTCCTGGAACACAGACACACATTTAGGCGTCCTACAATAGTTGTGTTCCTGGACCTAAAAGCGGCATTTGACTCAGTGGATCGTGAGGTTCTGTGGCAGTGTCTGTCATTGAAAAGTGTACCAAAGAAGTACATTAGCCTCATACAAGCTCTCTACTCGAACACCACTGGTCATGTGAGAGCTTATGGAGAACTGTCATAGGAATTCTTCACTTCAAGTGGTGTCCGTCAGGGATGTCCACTCTCTCCATTCTTGTTTAATTTTATCATAGACATTCTCCTAGAAATAACCTTATCCTCGTCTGAATTTTCAGGAGTAGACCGTCTACCAGGTGGCTCGCTTATTGACTTAGAATATGCCGATGACATTGTCCTACTTGGTGAAGACGCGGACAAAATGCAGAGTTTTCTGACTACCACAAGCAACAATGCAAGCATGTTCGAGATGCGGTTTTCCCCTTCGAAATGCAAAATGTTGCTTCAAGATTGGGTTTCATCGGCACCTGAACTAGTGATAGGGAGTGAAGTAGTCGAACGTGTAGACCGCTTCACTTATCTTGGGAGTCTCATCAGTGCCAATCGCCTGATGACTGACGAAATCTCAGCTCGGATACAGAAGGCTCGATTGGCTTTTGTCAACCTGTGTCACTAATGGCGAAGGCGAGATATCCGTTTGCTGACTAAAGGACGAGTGTACTGTGCAGTGGTTCGCTCCGTCTTACTTTATGGCTGTGAAACATGGCCAATGAGAGTAGAAGATATTCGTAGGTTACTGGTTTTCGATCATAGGTGTCTTCGAAGCATCGCTCGTATATCGTGGGACACCCGAGTGAGCAATGCTGTTATTAGGAATCGGGTGCTAGGTAAGAATGGCAGATCAATAGATGAAGTGGTGAAACTTCATCAGTTGAGGTGGTTGGGACATGTGCTGCGTATGCCTAACCACCGACTGCCTCGAAGAGCTTTGTTTTGTAGTGTAGGAATAGGTAGGAAGAAAGTTAGGGGCGGCCAAATCAAAACATGGCAGAAATCCGTAAAATCATTGACGAGTGGACTTAGCCATGTCGGTGATTGTCGAATACCTGGTTGGGGTACGCGAGATGATAATAATCGATGGTTAGAGACCTTGAATGACATGGCTCAAAATCGTTCGCAATGGCGTAGGTGCATTCATTCTTTGTGTTCTGTCAAATCCTAATCTTCTGGGTTCTTCAACAACTCTAGTTCTCACTTTCTAAACTTTTATCATTAAATCATACTTCTTGAATAATATCTTCTAATCCTAACCTCTCCGATTACTTCTAATACCTTTACTACCTCTTCTTCTATTGGATTTGAATTGACAATTACATCTCTGTGCTGATGTGGTATGGCGACATGAACTGATGTACTTATGTACGAAGTTCTACGTTGCATCTGACTGACTGACTGACTGACAATAGTGTACCAGATAAGTATATTGACATAATGATACACATGTATATATATATATATATATATATATATATATATATATATATATATAATGTCAAAACTTCAAATTAATTTAGAGAATAAAATAAGTATAGATCTGATGAAATATCCATCCATCTCATAAATTAATGAGTTATACATAACTTGCTCAAATTGCTAGGATATTTTTTTCAAACGTACATACATCTATTGCTAGAAAACTTTGTTTTGGGATTAGTCTTCATTCACTAAATACGTTTTTCAACTGAGTGTACTTACGTGTTTACATAAAATGTTTACAATTTATTTCAAATCTAGTTATTGTAAAACTTGGGAAACAACAACTGTGTTGGGTAATGACTAGCGGAGGGGTTCGGGTCAGTCAGTCGGTTACAACATAGAGCTTCGTAAGAAGTAACGTACGTACGTAGGTACATGACAGAAATTCATGAAGTTACTGACAAGTGGACTGAGTCATGTTGGTAGATGTAGGCTACCTGGTTGGGGTCCGCGAGACGAAAGTCACCAATGGTTAGAGACCTTGAACGACCTGACTCAAAATCATTTGCAATGGCGCAGGTGCATCTACTCTTTATGTTCAATGGAATTCTAACCTTCTGTATTCGTCAAAATCTCTATCTTTCTCCTACTAAATTTATCTCACTGAATTATACTTTTCGAATCATATCTTTGCCCCCTAATCTTATCTATTGCTGCTAATAATTCTACTATCGCTATCACTCTTGGATTTGAACTGACAGTTACGTCTGTGTGCTGACGTGGTATGGCAACCTGAACTGACGTACTTATGTACGAAGTTCTGCGTTGTATCTATCTGTCGACGTACGTACATCAGTTGCCATACCACATTAGCACAGAGACGCAATTGTCAATTCCAATCCTATAATAATAGAGGCAGTAGAAATATTAGCAGTAATAAAAAAAATTAATGATCGAATACATCATTCGAGATGTACGCCCCAGAGGAATTGATTAAAAAAAGAGAAAACGGTCATGAGGAATTCAGAAGATTAGGATTTGAGAGAACACAAAGAGTGGATGCACCTGCGCCATTGCAAACAGTTTTGAGCCATGCCTTTCAAGATCTCTAACCATTGGTTACTATCATCTAGAGGACCTCAAACAGGTATTCGACACCTACCGACATGACAAAGTCCGACTGTCAGTGACTTCATGGATTTCTGTAGTGTTTCGGTTTGGTCGCCCCTAGCTTTCTCCCAACCTACTTCTACACCACAAAGCATAGCTCGACGAGGCAGTTGGTGGTTGAGCATTTGTAACACAAATCCCAATCACCTCAACTGATGAAGTTTTACTACTTCATCTATTGATCTTCCATCCTACTTAGTAACCGTATCCTAACAACAGCATTGCTTACTCGATAGTCCCAAGATAAACGAGCAATGCTTCGGAGACACCTGTGATCGCAAACCGGTAACCTACGAATATCTTCTATTCTTACTGGCCATGTTTTGCAGCCGAAAATTAGGACGGAGTGAACTACTGCGCAGTACACTCATACTTTGGTTAGCAGACGGAGAGGTTCGAGACTCAATCTTCGTCCTATTTGGGGCTTATCGGCTGGATAAACTTACATCGATGTCCACTATTATTATTGTTATCATAACAATAGAACAGGTATCAGTTTTCAGGTAAATAAACATTCATTAAAGATTCCTACTGTGAAAATAAGATCACAAATAAGCGAATAATACTGTTTTTAATTAGAACGTCATAAGGTTTTACTTTACTATACATGGATATTTATATGAAGATGTTCAACCAACGGAGAAAATTTATGAGTCAGCGATCATAATGTACTAGATTACGCAACACTGTCCTTATTGTGTGCAGAGAATTTACTTGCTGTGTAAAGAAAAATATGGTATCGAATGAAGTGATAACACATTATTATTATTATTATTATTATTATTATTATTATTACTAGTGCGCTATTTGCCTTATTTGTTGTAACCCACATCGAAATAAGCACCATTGAAAATCTAATAAAAACAAGGTACTGTTCTTAAATCAGAAGGGAAATAGTAGTGATTTTACACATAATAGATGAGAGTAGTTTGATACTTTATCTATTAAACATGTTTGAGATTCAGTTTCTAAGTTAACTTTAAGTTTATTTGTAAAAATTAACAGAGTCTATCATCTAGATTTATTTATATACAATTGAATTGATTATTCAATAAATTATAACTTCGATAGGCAGTTCAGGGAGGTAGTTTTGTTTTCACTATTATGAATGGCAGTCAGCGGGAGAACTGAGAGATCGTCTCATTTTCATTTTGCAATTCTCTAACTGAGGGGAACACTACCACAGAGAAGGATATGAATGCGAGACCATATGTGACATTATGGTTCCACATTGTTGATCAGGTCAAAACGAAGAGGATATTGATATCTCATGCTTCGTGCCGCTATTCAACGAAACTTCAACTTACGTCAATTCTAAATGAACAAAACTACTTTCCAGATAATCAATTATAAATAATATATATATATATATATATATATATATATATATATAAGATATAGATATATTACCTTAAAGTAAGCAGGTAGTGAGTTGTATAAATTTTTAGAAACAGGAATACACTCCACTTGTGCATGATGACGAATAGTATCAGGTTTACAAGCAGTTTCAATGAAAACACAACCTGATTGATTGTACTGCTCTTCAAACATTACAGTTAATTGATATTTGAAATATCGAATTTCTTTTATGACATCTTCGTCTAGTCGAGTAGTTGAACTAACATGTTCATAAGGTGTAAGTAAACAATAACCCGGTGTCATACTAATATGTGAAGGTAAAGACAGGAACACCTAAAGAATAAGAAAACATGACAATGATTTCTCTTTTTAAACAATGAAGTAATCAACTGTGTACATGATGAGTGTATTTTCGAGTGAACTGAAGTAAATGGAATGAATGTTTGAATTCACGACCTAGTAATTTGATAAATAACAAGATCATACACCGAGTAATAGTTGTGTTTTGAAATAATATGTACGAAAGACAGAGCGTATGGCATTGAACCTAGAACATTCAAGTTTCCTATTAAACACATTATCATATATTCATACTGAATAAAAATCTAGTGGTTTGTAGCTTTAACTTCAATTAGTTTGCAATATAACGTCACCTTTATATGCAATTTCATTATTGAATTAATATTTCGCTGGTTTACACGCTTTACGCCATTTATTTTCAAACTACTTCTTCGAAGGAAACTACCTACAATTATAATTTTCTTCATATATGCATTTTCAATTACAGTGAGTCATAAGCAATGTAAAGCTTAGGATATGTGTGCATCGATTCTAATTTTCAAACAATATTAGCAACGAGATATGAAAATTATCAAGATATGGGTCAGAATAGTAAAATTATTAATGGTATTATTGTTAGTAGAGTAGATTAGGCACTGGCAGTGTGATATGAGAAGAGGGAATGAATTCACGGAATTAGTACAAGATAATTTTAAAACACAAGGCAAAAAGTGGATGCATCTGTGCCATTGTAACTAATTCCGAATTATGTCACCTAACGTCATCGGATGCGATAATCACACGAACTATATAAACAAGTGGTATACACTAGAATTTCCAAAAGTCAGCAATATGAAACTTCAAAAAATGGAACCACATATTCACACATATTAATCATAGAACTATGCAAATGACATAAAGACCATTAGTCGAAGTACTGACTGCATAGAATGCCTATTTTTTTCAACCGTTTTATAAATGAATGGATGAATTAAATAAGCAATTCTTCAAAAACCTATTGACACTAAAAAGGAGAAATTCTACAACTTAAAGAAGAAATTACATAAGTAATTTTCACTTTGTTTAACATGTATTAAGGTAGCGATCCCACAATATTTAGGCTCTATAACCTTTGAATATTTGGTCAATTTAGTAAGTCGAAATGTTTACTCTACGTTAATTTACAATCCAGTTTCAAATAGTTGACATTAGTCTTCAATACGAAGCAAGTTATCAATTTGATGAAAAAAAAATATTAACAACTTTTAGTAGATTTCGGATGATAGGCGTTTCGTTATACTGCGGGGTTATCACATCGATGTAGCTTTATCCCAATATTGTTCACAACGGTATTCGAAAGTAGTATTTGTTTGTTAGGGACGTTGAATCCCCAGGACTCACTCGGAAAAGGTCCTAATTTTGGATTTACTATGTTCCCACGCATAACTTGCTTAGCTGACCTTGACATTACATTTCCCACCCAGAAAATTCTTAACTGTCATTGGTTGGTGGATTATTTCGGTAGTCTATTTTTTTGGCTTTGCCAAGGATGTTTCTATCATGTATAAATAAGCTCGATTTGTGTGCTTGTTGACCTCGTATTTTCTGGGTGCTTGTAGAATACACTTTCTATGTCCTATCAAGACTTCTTGATATAGTCAGCCAGGCCGACGACAACGGATTTGAATAGCCTATCGTGTCACTGCATCAATTGTCTTGGTGCCGTTAACGAGTAAGGTGAACTCGTAATAGTTCAAGCATTTCAATTGACGAGCATAATATTTATTACTTGAAATCGCCACAAACTATCCACTATCCTGATTGTATCGAAACGACTACATCGAAGCGTTCGAGTACAACCTAACAATAGATGCAGGGATTGGTTAAAATTCAGTCTTAAATATCAATAATGAGATAATTCGAAACATCATGAAAAAGAAAATCACAGGAATCGAATTCACATAATAGAAATAATGAAAATGAAACTTTTAGTATACCTTTTCACCAAGACTAACAATTAAATATTTAGGAACACGATCTAGACAAACTAAACACTTTGACTCAGCAAATACTCTTCTCTTATAAGCTGTATTGATAGAAAGAAAGAAAGAAGAAAAGAGTACAATAAAATCAAAACCTAAAAATTATCACCGAAACATGGCAATAATACTCAAAATATTTAAAAAGATTTTCCATGTAGAATATCAGTCAAATGATCGTTGAAAATCAAAATTTACACTAATCTCCCTAAAATATACGCAACATAACCCAGATTGTAAATAGGACTAAGAATGTTTAGAATAAATTAACCTTTGAACTTGAATCAATGCAAGAATTAGTCAGTGGTTCAATGGTTTCATCTCGTCTTCTTTTTTATAGAAAGTTTATTCATATTTAAATAAAATGCCTTAAAATTGAATAACTAACATCTGCTAACTAATGAATTTTACAGGAAATAGCTAATTCACTTATTTTACTATAATCTATTAGTATATTATGGTCGGTTTTTTCGACTACTAAACATTTCTTAACTCTATAGGCAGTAAGATAACTGTTTCAACTAAACCAATACACAGAAATTAAAATGAAAAATCATTCGCTATGGAACTGCGGAGAATAGTCGTTACCTAATTTCTATTTTAATGTTATTATATTTCAACTGAACGAATTATTCTTTACATAAACGTATATATTTTTTAGAAAAACAATTCAACGTTTGTTAGTTTTCTTTTAGTGACATTTAAACAGTTTGTTTTAACAATCAACAGAGTTACAGATGAAAAATTCATTTCACCTATTCTGAGTATTATGTTCTATATATGCATAGAGAAATTATTTATTTATTTAATAATTTAAGGATAAATTTATACAACAGATCGAAATTAATTGATAAAATATGATGACACACAAAACTTCATAGTCAAATTGGCTAACTTACATGAGATAGCATCTTGTTTACACTTAATAGCTTCTTTTTCAGCATGTACTCGTTTTTTCACAAACGTATCAGCATATTCATCCTCAACACTCTAGAAAATATATATACATGCATATATTTTTCAATAAATACCATTGAAGCGTCTACAATGATTAGAAAGATAAATACAGATGCAACATAAAAATCAAAATAATAGTGAAGCAGTCTAGACAGATATTCGCTTCAATGATTTGAGTGCTTTACTTTATAACTCATAATTTGTGTGTTAAATATAACTTATTTATACTACATTGTAGACCTGTGTACATGGTTAACAATAAATGGTTGGTAAGTAATACTATATCGTTCTATCTGAACAAACGCAGATTAGATTATATTGATTTTATCCACTTACAAAACACTTCATCCATATTTTATTACAATTATTCAACTACTGTTTCAGCCATTTAGAGCATCGCTGGAAGTTTGCCAAAGTCAAGGTTGTTAATTATATTGTTGATTCACGTTTTGTAATCTGTATATCATAACAGTTCTGTTTTTGTATGACCATTTTAAATTTCGGTAGTCAAAAGAGATTATATAGGGTTAAGTTTGATCAATAATAAGAAGTATGATCTGGGCTGCCGATTAAATCATTAATCCGATGATAATTGCCAACTATCATTATTCGAAATCTTAGCAACGAGGTCAGTTAGTGTAGTTATAGGACAGTTTATGTAATAAACTGAACAATGTTTCGTGCTTACAACAACATCAGTTTACCTTTCTGGCCAGTTTTGAAAATTCCAAATCCATATCACCAGCTGAGTGTAAACGTTCATCACGTATCATATCAGAAACTTGTTGATTTGTATTATCTTCTGGGAAGAAAGCTATTCGTTGTCCAGTTGAATCATGTGATTTAAAACGTTGTAAACTGGAAGGTGATATCAATCAAAAAAACTGCCAAGTCAGTATTTGTGTGATTTCTTTAATACAACATCATATAAATCAAATGTGTTTGCAGGAATAAATAATGTGTTTTGAAATAGTTGTGCTAATTAATGATGAACATCATGCAGTGTGTTACAACACATGCACAAATACACAGACTTTAAGCGATTATTTCAAGTTTTTCTTAATGATAGATGAGAAAAGCTTTCTGGTTATAAAAGTCCGTCAGTCGATGTAAGTCAACGCAAGACCTGACAATTCTTTTAGTAATTAAATACTGCAGATATACATAATGTGTTGGTGAGTAGAGAATTTACGTAACTAACTCGAAAATTATACGATCTGGTTTACTGTATTGCATTATTATTAATCAGCTACTCTACTCTGGATTATGATAGAGAGATTCCTTGGATTTCAACTGAGCCGTCAATGTACATAATTTTCATAAACAGCAAACGATGAATTTAATTTTTTTTATACGAGTAGTTGAACGTGAAGAAGTTGGCACAAAAACTATAGCACCTAATTCCCTTCATATCAATGTATATTGACGTACTTGAAAATAAAAGAAACAATTAAAACAAAAGCATACCTTTTATCGTCGGAATGTGAAGTTCCTGGAAGATTACGTATATGTACTGGCATTTCAACACCTTGGTCATTTAAACGTGTTAATGTGATTACTTTAGATTGACTATTTTCTGGTTGATTATTGATTACTTTTTTCTTTTGTATGGTATGAAGTCGTACTTTAATACCACGACGCATAGCTTCACGTAATTTATTTAAATTTGCCTTTAATTTTTCTGCTTTTGCCTATTTATAATGTAACATATTTTAAATACAATCAGATTATATAGAGACAATTTTCATTAAAATGCGATGCTTTTAAACTATGATAATAAATAATATTTGAATCAACGAAATTTACTCATATTAAATAAACAGATATGAAGATCCTTGGTAAGAATAATTGCAGAAGCTTTGTATTTTGAGTCTGACATCTTTCGGAACTTTCATGAACGGTCTGAAATAATTATTTTATTTGGAAATCTTTGCTTTTTCTGTCCATCGTTAAGTTCTGACCGAAGCTGTTACCTTGGTGTGGTGGTTGAACTTGCCTATAGTGACGATTCAACCGAGTCATACTGGATGGAACAGGTTGCTTCAGGTTCTACCATGTCAGACAGGTCGATTGGAAAACGTTAAGGCAAAATCAGCAACTCAAGGTCTAACGGCAAAGTCATTCTACTGACTGTAGAGAACTATGACAGTAGTAACGTGTTTCCATCGAACAACCAGCATCTGCAGCGATGCTGCCTTCTAACAACCAAAGGAAGGGGTTAGAAAAGGTTGACCCTAAAAATGTCTCAGCTTATAAGAAAGGACAAAATCCCCTTGCGACAATCACAGAGGAATAAGTCTAACTAATATGGTATCGAAAATATTGGCCTCATTGATACTCTGACGTCTAACGAAAGCTCGTGAAGAGCAGACTAGAGAAAACCAGGTTGGTTTCACACATGGACGTGGATGTATAGACCAGATATTCACACAACGTCAGGTGTTAGAACAGAGTCACACGTTCAGACGCCTCACAATAGTAGTGTTTCTCGACCTTAAAGCGGCATTCGACTCCGTTGATCGTGAGGTTCTGTGGTAGTGTCTGTCATCAAAAGGTTAGAGTTAACATTATCATCGTCTGACTCTTCAGGAGTGGACCCTTTACCAGGAGACACGCTTACTGACTTAGAATATGCCGATGAAATATTCCTACTTGGTGAAGACGCTGACAAGATGCAGAGTCTTCTGACCACCCTAAGTAACAATGCAAGCATATTCGGGATGCGGTTCTCACCCTCGAAACGCAAAACTGTGCTTTAAGAATGGGTTACATCGACACCTGAACTAGTGATAGGGAGTGAAGTAGTCGAGTGTGTTGACTGCTTTACTTATCTAGGTAGTCTCATTAGTGCTAATGGTTTGGTTTGTGACGAAATCCTAGCACGGATACAGAAGGCTTGATAGGCTTTTGCCAAGTTGCGTCACCTATGGCGTAGGCAAGATATCCGTTTGCTAACCAAACGACGAGTGTACTGCACACCAGTTCGTTCCGTCCTACTATATGGATGGGGAACATGGCTGGTGAGAGTAGAGGACATTCGTAGATTGCTTGTCTTCGATCATAGGTGTCTCCGAAGCAGTGCTCGTACATCCTGGGACAACCGAGTAAGTAATGCTGCTGTTAGGAAACGGTTATTAGGTAAGGATGGCATGTTGATAGATGAAGTATTGAAACTGCATCAGTTGATGTGCTTGGGATATGTGTTACGTATGTCTGACCACAGACTGTCTCGTCGAGCGATGTTGTCTGGTGCAGGCTGGGAGGAAGCTAGGGTTGGCCAGACCAAGAAATGGCACAAACCCATGAAGTCACTGACAAGTTGACTGAGTCATGTTAGTAGATGTCGACTAGCAGGATGGGGTTCGGGAGACAATAGTAATTGGCGGTTAGAGGCATTGAATGACATGGCTCAAAATCGTTTGTGATGGGGCATATTTATCCATTTTTTTGTCTTTTCTCGAATTCTTACCTTCCAAATTCCTCATAATTCTTATCTTTCTAAATTTACTTCACCATATTATACTTGAATAATATTGACCCCTAATATTTTCGATTACTGGTGATCCTGCTACCACCTCTACCACTATGGGGTTTGAATTGACACTTTTATCTCTTTGTGCTAATATGTTATAACAACTTGAATTGATGTACTTACGTACCAAATTCTGTATGGTAGATGAATGCGTATTCAGTAAACCGTTATTGTATGAGCAGGCAGAAGAGGAAATCAATTACTACATATCAATGTGTTTGGATAAACATGTAACATTCCTTAAACAAAAAAATACAAATTTCTCAATATATGAAGTATAAAACAACATTACCCCATAAATTATCTCTTACAGGATTAGACTCTAATTCTGCTCGCATCACCTTTGCAGCCATCAAATTAATATCATCGTTTGTAACTAGACGTTCTTCAAATGTTCTTTGACATTCACTGACAGTGTTTTCCGGCTTCGGGGTTAATTTTTCGCTTGATAATGATTCTAAAAGTAAGGGAATGTTGATCAATTAACAAAGTAAATATGGAATTGTAACTTGTAAGGCGATTGAAGAATAAGGAAAATTATGTCAGCCGGTTTTTTATATGCAACGTAGAACCTGGTGTACATTTGAATCAGCTGAAGTTGTTGCTGCACTAAACCAGCACAATGAGAAATGATTTTGTACAAAATGATGTATATATAATTAGATTAAGACAATCAGAGGTATCAAGGATATGCATCTAAGCTTATTCGGAACTCATTAGTCAAATGAACCTAAATCCCAGTATTGACGTTCAGCACGGAACTTATCGCTTCAGAAGTTTTGCCTCATTGAGTAAGCAAGTGAATTTTAAACAACCGCCAACATGTTTCGTAACATAAACGATGGAAAAATACAAACTCGTACAGATGTTATTTTATGGTTTAGTAATTGAAAATAGCAGTTCTCATAAACTGATGTCAACTAAGGAATAACTATTAAAACAGTAAATTGAATAATTGTTTTGTTTCAAATAATTAAACAAGACTTTTCAATATGTACGCCCGACTATAAAGATAAGACTGTGTTCATATCTCATGGTGAATAGGCCATAGTTGAATTGATAAAGTACAGGCATGATTTATTTTCCATAAGTAATATTCAAGAATTAAAAGTTAACCAAACACTTGGTTTTCGTTACTACGAAATAAACAGAATACAGTGTAAAGATGTGGGATATCATATTTCTTTAATGTAGGAAGAAAGAAATAATTGAAATTAGTAATGTTGACCGGTGGCTCTGAACATTAGATTGTTTCTGAAGGTGTTCTATTTTCTGAGCTGAAATGGTTAGCCATGAAACACCCAGATAATAATAGTAAAATATTAGATACTGAAATAATTTTCCCTCAATTTAATCTCTATAATATGAGAGAATAAACAAATAAACCCAAATTAACATAAAAACAACTATGATACAGCTCAATATAATTTTATCGCAAAGAGACAGTAGTCGCTAGATAAACTTTCAAAACTAGGAGGAATAAGAAATAGCTGTTCTGTTTTTGTTTGAGACTATCCATTAGCCTGTATTTACGTCCTCACATACAGTCTAGAAATTTAGATGTCCAAATAAGCATAATACTCCTTGGACTACTAAATCCGCAGCTATTAGGTTTACATTCCCAACGTTAGTGATAAACAATTTGTGATAAAGGACGAGGATTTTGAACCAATAAGTCATCAGTAGCATAGAGTTCATATCTCCTCCAAAGTAAGAAAATAGATAGAAATACAAACTGTTAGGGGGACATAAATGGAATAAAGCATGACCGCGTCAGATGCGCGCTGATTGGCTAGTTTCCTATACAATCAGCGCCTGATCGATTCTTGGAGAACAGGGTAGAAAATTCCTGTGTTGTTAGCCGCATGCTGATTGGCTAAATCTAATCCAGTCGATCACGTGAATTACTATCCAGAAGCTTCTCATGTAAATACTATAAAGAAACTAACGTTGTCTATTTTGCCTTTGTATTCTAAATAACAAGGCTAAATAGAAATAAGAAGGCAATCTTTTCCTGTTCCACCGTGTTTTTGATTCTTTGGAACTAGTCCAGTGTATTGTGGTCAGAGAATTCTAAGCAATAGGAATTAGCTGGGAATTATTTAAGCAAGCGTTACAACACAAACAAATAGCGAGAAAAAGAAATCTACAACTAATTAAATACTATCAAACGAAGAAACAATGTTAAGCATACCAGTATGTTCAGGTGAATAAACTACTTTGGTGTGTGAAGAGGATGAATTACTATCGTTAATAGTAGGAGTAGTAGTCTGGGATTTGCGCCAACGTGGTTTCGAGTCGAATGCACTAGAATTATGCTGCGACTTGGAACTGAGAAAACATTGAGAGCGAAAAAATGGAGATTAGTGTTATACATAAAATAAATCTGCTACGACAACGTGGAGGAATTTTTACAAAGATTAATTCCTATAGTGGTGTTGGGTTTCCTAGGTTACATTGTCTGACTGGGTAGCTTCTTTTGTCATCCAGAACATCATTAAGGCCCACTTCATGCTAAAAGCAACCAGCTGAACTTCAAATTTTCCATACCGTTTCAGATGAATTTCTGTTTAACAGCAAGTCACTGGATCCGCTTTAACTGGTGTATAGTGAAAATGGCAATAAAGAAAGTAAGTTTGCCCAAAGATGACTGAAGTTATCAGTTTTACAACTAACCTAAGAATCAATTATATTTCCTTAACTTTGACATGAATAGTCCCGTTGATTCTGACTTGTTGGTATTAAGAAAAAACCCTAAAACAAAATAATCATTTGCTTCTGATAGTTTTGTAGTTAACGTTGGTTTGCAGCAAATGGATATTACTGGCAATTTGTGACAGTATTAAGTAGGCTTCATAACCTAGTATATGGATCTGTACTTATATAGTAATTGTATGCATTTATTCGCCAACTCAGTCAATTCAATAGTTTACAATAATATAATCCATCTTTAAAATAATCAAATATCAATCTATAACATAAATAATCTATACTTGTTGATAGAGTACAAGTTTATATAGTCAGTTGTGAGCTATACTTTAGTTGCCCCGTTGGTACTAAGACTGATCCGCCACCAGACACCGAACGCAATAATATGATTATGTGACTTTAAAGTTAAGCTATCATGAAAATTTTAAGTCCTAACTGAAACAAACCAAGAGATATAAAGTTTCGAAGCTTGAAATTACTCTTAGCAAAGTTAATACTTGTTTGGCATTAGTACTTAGTTCGTCAGCCAGGAATAACTATATTTTCACAAGTATTGATGCATTCAGTAAAACTTAAGTCTAGGAACATTCACCAAGACAGGTTGGTGGATTCAGTTACACGACTCATATACAGAATCTAGAACTTCATGAACACATCAACCCTAATATTTTGCCCTACTGCCCTATGCAACGCCTAGATCGACAAGGTGAATACAAATAATACGTCTAAATAGATACAGTTACGATAAAAAAGTTGCTAGTACAATTTAGGTCAAATTTTGTTAAGTAGGATGTTTTTAGGAAGCTTTTCGACACTGAAACTCCCCTACAAGGAATTATTATGGTAAGATTACTCTAGTAACTAGTCTTATCAGTTTAATACTATGCTGCGACATTTTAGGCTTGCTATACAATAAACCTTACCTGACTATACAAATCATACACAGAAATCAAGATGATTACCATGTAAAGTAAGATCGTTAGATAAAAGATAATCGCTCGATTAAGATCTACAACAGTCTAGTTATTGTAAAGGTTGAAGGTTTTATGGATCACTACTTTTGTTGCAATTATTTCTTATTTTGCTTTACATTTCCCCTATAATATCAAGTTAGTCAAACTACACAGGCCTTGAATGAGAAACATAACCCATAGGAGTAAATAAAAAAATAATGACAAACTTCGTGATGAAATTATATATGATTACCAATTATTAATTACCACTTTCTGTTTTCATGTCTATCTCCAAATCTATTTAACATATCATTCACAGTATCCTCATCCCACCGCTGAAGTAATAAATCTCTTAAACTAACACCAGTTTCTTTAGAAGTGTTAGCACAATGAATGAATGACCTGTACAGCCATAATTGATTTTCTTCTGTTAATATAGATTTTGAAGAAGTTTCATTACAAGGTAAACCACTTCCCCCATCCTTCAAGTAGGGATTGAGTTCATTTATTTTATAGCTATTATCCTGACTACTTTTCGTTGTTTTAGTTCCATTTGACTTTGAAGTAAATGTATCAAAGAAGCAGTCCAAAGATTTAACATCAGTGATCCAAGTGTTTTCCTAAATTGCAAACAACTAGTTATTAAAAGAACCTCGATTTACTTGTACAGTAGTTGGTTCAGTAGACTTTTTTTGTAGATCTGTATCACCTTGAGTCCATTCATAATCGCTATCTGATGACTGCGTTAATGATTGAATGCTAAACAAAACCTACAGAATCATCACTGCTTGATTTCTTATGTTTTCTTTTCTGCTTGTGCTTTTTATGAGACATCAGGGTATGTTGACAGTGACAAATCGCAGAATATAGATGTTTTGGCCGATTTCAGAGCACTGGAAATATTAGTTTCACAATAGCTTAATGAATCATTATCAAAGATGAAATGAAAAATTATGTCGACAAACCCAATAAATGATTACTGGGAAATATTATGAAGTGATGGATTACTAGATTTAGACCTTAAGTATCCAAAGGAAATTAACATTAGGTAGGGTTAGCTTTCTTTACAGACTGTTTGAAAAAATCCTGTTCAATAAAGTCTTGTGTAGTTTATAAACTATTTCATATCTGAGACTGCGGCTTATTTTGCTGGCTAACTAATCTTAATGATATTAGTCAGATGTGTTTGACAGCATTATTGTGTTGAGAAAGTAATATCGTAATGGTATTTCGTGACACCCACCAAATACATCTATATTTACTCGGCCGTGAGTGACACAATTTCAGTAAGGACTAGTGGTACTGCCCCACTGCACAAACCAAATTAAGTAGAACAAGACTCAAACTTGTGGCCTACTGATTGCCAATTAAGTGGTTTAACTATCGATAGTATCAAGTTCGTTTTTATTTCCTAGGTTAACACTATTGAATTGAAAACAAATTTCAACCTTAGGAACGTTATAATTAAATTTCTACTTTTTCCAATGCATATAGCATTTGAATTCATTACCAAGGTTTTCGATCAAAGCATAATACACTGACGACCTTGAGCCGCTTAGTTCACTTAGTCCCACCGGTATACTATGCTTGTATCACGGAATTGGGATTTGGTAAAGGTTTAACATGGAGGAATATTATCTAGTCTTACTAAACATTCTAAGTTACGCGTTGAATCACATCAAGTATTACCAAACACTATCTGCCTAAGAAGCAGGCATGATTCAGGGTTTAGCTTAATCATCATCGTAAATCCACCCCTTGGTTTCAGAAATAATATCCCACAACTTCCCAATGATGACGAAGTTGTCGGTTTACAGACCATTATCTCGCGTCTACATAATATTTTTATTAAAATCCATTATATAAAGCTGAAAAATGTGACACACAACATAGTTTTTCTACCTTATCTGTATGAAAAACGATTTGAAACTGAAAAGTGAAAGCGTTGCAAAAAATGTCGGTTTCCAAAGTTATACTGGAAAACCAACTAAACGTAGGGTACTTATTCCAATTTGCGCATAATTTTCGAATACCTTGATGTTCAATCTATTCAATAACTTAATGACAAACGAATTTACATTAATTCATTGTTTCTAACTACCTTTTAGTTACGACTCTGTGACCTAGATATTGTCCAGTTTTGATATTCTAGCTAGTGGGAGGTATTATCTCTACATGGTTTTGAAAGTTGTTCGCTGCCTACTATGTTTTCAGTACAAGCAAATATATTTGTTCTAAGGCATAGGAGTTGCTGTAATAAACAACACTGATAAATAAAATCTAAGCAATACACTTCTAGTGTAAAATCTAAGTAAGAAAACTTCCCCTGAATTCTTCCTTGGGTTACCGCCGGTTCCAAACCCGGTAAAAGGAGGAGGGTCGGGCATAGGTTCGTCAACCCCATCCCACAGAAGAATCACTTTTCATAAATCGCTAGCCAGAAAAAATAATTCAAACCATTTAGACTCCGCACTGGGAATTAGAAGGAACTCGTTCGGGAGTCACGAATCTAGTGCCCCATCTGACAACCAGTGCAACCATATGTAAGGTTTGTGCAATGTGAGTGACCAGCACAGTGTTACGAGTTACTGAAGAAACCAAAAGATACAACCTGGTAGTGCTTAGAATTAGCGAAGCACATCAGATCCAGTTGAGAAAACTAAAACTAGTTCCAAGAGAGTTGCTGTTGTACTCCGGCCATAAACAATAAAATGCTACCCAAACACAGAGAGTTGCACTGATTTTGTCCAAACAAGCAAAAAATCAATTGACAGGATGGGAATCTCATGGACCCAGGATCAACAGATCATTCTTCAGAGCGAAAAATATGACATTAAATAGAACGTTGTCTAATGCTGTGCACCTACCAACTACTATAATGAAGACGTAGAAGATCAGTCGTCGAGAAATGCCAATCAAAGTACTTGAACATTTTGATATTAAATGTCAAGACTGGAATTGACGACACTGGATGTGAAGACATCATGGGACGACATGGGGTGGGAGAAAGAAACGAAAATGGTGACAGATTTGCAAACCTATGTGCTTTCAAAAAACTGGTAAACGGCGGCACAATATTCCTAAACAAATGCACACTCAAGGCCACGTGGATCTCAACGGATCACACTAAACAAAACCAAATTCATCGCATCCTCATCAACGAGAAGATCAGAGTGACCAGGAAAGGGGATGCTTTAGCTTCAGATCATCACCTGCTAGTTGTCAAGATGGAAATGAAACTCAGGAATCACTGAAAATCGGAACGAACTATGTTACTAACGTTTGATACGGTCATTATTCGAAGTACGAACAAACTCAGTGAATTCAAGATATCCCACAGCAATAGGTTCCAGGCTTATCGTGATCTATTATATGAAGCGAGAGTTACCATAGAGATCAACTGGAAAGTGATTAAGAAAGCAGAATCTTCATCATGTAGCATGGTTCTGGGTCACAAGATGCATCTTCACAAGAAATAGATTACTGTTGATTCCCTGGGTATGATTCACGAAAGGAGCACTGAGATGACAGGAATCAACATCAGTTGAACAAGTGAGGAAGAAAGTCAAGTGCAACTACCCAGTAAAGAGGACTGAAGAAAATACCGAACTCTGAGCATGTAGACTGCTTCAGGCCGACTCCTGAAAGCTGATACAGTTGATCAAAACAAATTGTTTTAAAATCAGTCCATAACCAACCATTTGAGCATGTCACGTATTCTGTAACATAAGCTGGATACGGACTGTCTTAAAGTGAACAAGAAACTTCTTCCTGTTAGTAACTAGTAGGAGCTGCATGTTACTTACAAAACATACTACAAACAGTGTTCACCACACTGGTGTAAGAGGAACGACGAAATATTTTATCAGTTAGATAATTCCGGAATTCGGATACTATGTGACATATTTTTAAAAGACTGGACAAGCAGAAAAGCTAAACTAACTTAAATAGTAACCTAGCAAAAAATAGTGAAAACCTTCGCTCAAACAGTTTTCGAGTAATTTCACACACATAATTCTCTTTATTGTTTTGAAAAGTGAAACTGTTGGTGAATAATAATGTGAATTTATTCACTTCGTTAGGATCTGACCATTATGATAGGATATCAATTAACTGCTTACTTACTGTTGAATTCAAATTTTATACTCCGTTTTACCCTAGCCTGGACAACTATACTAGAAAAGAGCTCATTCATAACTTCTTTAGCCGCAGAGTTAAAAATAAAAAGAATAAATAAAATAAAAACGTTATATCACTGAGCCTCTTTATTATATTTTGTAAATCAACATTATTACAAACAAATTGGTTTTTCTGAATTTCCTCTATTCATTCGACTAACTTTCCATCAGTTATCTCACTAGTGAATGGTCTTCATTAACCTACATAAGTGCAGGGGTACATTTATTGTTCTGATATTAAAAAAGTCTGAGTAAACATACCTTTGTTTTATCCATAAACGTATGTGCGAAGCCGTTGTTCGGCTTTGAACAAGAATATTTTCTGTTCCGCTCCTCGTCCCGTCTTCTTTATTCCTCTTTTTTCAGAACCTTATTCCACTCCTCATATATTAGTCTGGATATTTGCAGTAGACTTGGTTACCCTACCCAAGAACATGTAAAATCATTAGCTGATGAATATCAACCATACCTTTGTACATTTACCGCATCTATTCTTGTTATATGAAAACCTATCTCTACCATGAATCGTTTCTCAGTCCATAAGATGATTGTCGTAACGCAACCTTCGTAACTTGCGCCAATTATTCGCATTGAACATTCCATCTTTAAGAACACAATGAATCTTGTGAAATGTTTCAGTAAATGTATACCGTTTTAAAAGAAATATGTAGCTAATCTTAACATTTTGATCTTGCCTGTAAACTGACATGTCTCTTGTAACATGTTTGTTATTTGAGAATAAATTATTATTATTATTATTAGCCCGATTCGCTTGGTTGATGATTTCATTCTAGCGCACATTTAGCTGTTGAGTAAAAATAACTGGTTCCTGTCATCAAATTTTAATTTACCTGCTACTGAAGGGACAGAAATATTCAAATGAGGATTTGAAACTTTTCTTGATAGTAGATGTAAGGTTGAGAGTGGCTTCTGAATTCGGAAGAACAGGTCTAAAAGTTCAGATACGCGCCTTGCCCGGATATCCGAAAATAAAAAGAAATTTATCGGGGTAAATAAAGGTTTTATTATTACTTAAAATTTACAGATCATTACCTAAGCAATATTATACTGTTTTACCTACAAATCAACACAGTGTGTTTCCAATTCCGGAAGAATGCTTCCTTTTAGGTCCGAACTTGCACTCTTCCAGGCCAGATGAACGTTTAACTCGCCAGGGTATCAAATCCGACATAATACAGTTCAGTAGAAAACATAAAAGCTCCAATAAAGATACAAAAATAGAAACTATAACTAAATACAAATATTATCATCCCGAAATGGGATCAAACAGACCACCAAAATTTAGTACAGAAAGAGTCAGCGAGAACATATTACAAATTTATACATGGAGGGATTTTCTCAAAAGAAAGCATTCAAGATGGATTCCACAGTAGACTCATGAAGACCTTTATGGAATGTGCTTTAGTATATCTTGTATCCGAACTTACATTTTTGATTTCAAACAAGAATCGCCTTTGTTAGACTCAGTAATCACTCATGCACCCAGAGATGTCTTTTAAAATATTCTCCTACCGTTACCTAACTGCGATCATACTGTTTTGTCATCCTTGTTGACGGTTGGTGACTGAGTGTATGAGAGGGTTTGATCCCATCAAACATGTGTCACACAAGAGTGTGCTGCAACAGTGAACTGAT